AATACTTCGTTCAGTTACGTATTGCTGGATCAAGCTACTTGGATATGGAAATGAATGCCTGGAGCAGTACAATCGTTTGCATGCATTGGATTGGGTAACAAAGAATTGAATGGAGGGAGATTTTCTGTTAGCTCGCAATGTATGGGCTATAGTCAATAGTATACAGTATCATCCTTCCATCCTTCCAGTCTTAAAACCAACTGAGTTACACAAATAGGTCCTCCTGCATCTTTGCTCCGCCAGGAGTCCACCTGCTTGACAATGAACAAAGACCACTCTTCATATAGCATCACGCTTACAAACATAAAGGTGCCTGTATCTCCGAACTTTACAATGAAACGTGGGGTTTGAATAGAGCAATGGGCTCGGCTTGGCCAACAGCACCTTGTGTGAAAGTTTCACGTTCAATGTCGCAAACAGCCCAAAAAATATTTTTGGTCGTCGTCGTCGAAGAGGTCATTATATGGATCGGATTTGGCCAGTGGCGACATGCGAAATCTGGGATTGGCAAGCTTGATCGTGAAACTGGCACCCAAGGTGCAGTTGGCCAAGCCGAGCACATTGCCCTAATAAAAACCCCATGTTTGGTTGTAAAGTTCGGAGATACAGGCACCTTTATGTTTGTAAGCGTGATGCTATATGAAGAGTGGTCTTTGTTTAATGTAAAGTAGCTGGACCCTGGCAGAGCAAAAGATGCAGAGGGTCGTATTGTGTAACACAGCTACGTTTGCATGAATGAAAGGGTCAATGTATAATTACTTTATGGATCATCTAGGAACAGGCATGTATTGCTAGCTAACGGCCACTTTTATCCAATCATCATTGTTGCGAGATCCACTGCATGGGAACGATGCCCCTGCTCTAGACGTTCATTTCCATGATTAAAGTAGGTTGATCCGAGCTGATTTGGTTGAGTTACGCTCACACAAGATTACATCGGTTGAGCTACATCGAGCGTGCTTTATGTCCAGAGTGATGTAATCTCTCTTTGACCGCAGCTCAGTCAAATCAGCTCGGATCAACCTACTTTAATCATGGAAATGAATGTCTAGAGCAGGGGCATCGTTCCCATGCAGTGGATCTCGCAACAATGATGATTGGATAAAAGTGGCCGTTAGCTAGCAATACATGCCTGTTCCTAGATGATCCATAAAGTAATTATACATTGACCCTTTCATTCATGCAAACGTAGCTGTGTTACACAATACGACCCTCTGCATCTTTTGCTCTGCCAGGGTCCAGCTACTTTACATTAAACAAAGACCACTCTTCATATAGCATCACGCTTACAAACATAAAGGTGCCTGTATCTCCGAACTTTACAATGAAACGTGGGGTTTTGAATAGAGCAATGGGCTCGGCTTGGCCAACAGCACCTTGTGTGAAAGTTTCGCGTTCAATGTCGCAAACAGCTCAAAAAATATTTTTTTGGTCGTCTTCGAAAGAGGTTGAGCCCCGGATCCAGTTTGGCTGGTAGCGACATTGCGAAATCTGGGATCGCCCACGATGAACTTCATACTTTGACACAAGATTCCTTTGACACCGACGAGCACGTTGTTCTATTAAAGAGCCCGCGTTTGATTGTAAGATTCTGAGTTATGAGGGTCTTTATGTTTTACATATGCTGTAAGCGTGATGGTATATGAAAGGTGGCCTTTGTTCAACAAGTAACTAGACCCTGACTGAGCAAAGATGCAGAGGGTCGCGTTTGTGTAACACAGTTGACTTTCAGGGTCGATGCATGATTCTTGTACACTTCATAAACACCCAGTTAATAGCCCCTTCATCCTATTCACCTTTGCTTCGAAATCCATCGGGTAGGAACGATTTCCCTGCTCCATCCCATCATTCCCATCATTAAACTTTCTTGATCCGAAAGGATTTGACTGAAAAACGCTCAAACACAAAACATCATCCAATTTCACAAAAATCATTTTGCAAAGTTATTTGTAGACTGCCAGCTAATAGCCCATTCCTCCCATTCGCCTTTGTTGCCCAATCCAATGCATACGAAAGATTGTCATTCTCCAGCCCATCATCTCCATCCTTCAACTTCCTTGATCCGAGAGAATTTGACTGAAAAACGCTCAAACACAGAAGTATCATCCACTACCAGAAGAATCATTCTGCAAAGTTATTTGTAAACTGCCATCTAGTAGCCCCTTCCTCCCATTCATCATTGCTACCCAAAACAATGCATGTGGATGATTGTCCTGCTCCAGACCATCAATTCCATCCTTCAACTTTCTTGATCCAAGAGGATTTGATTTAGCAATGCTCAAGCACAGAAGTATCATCCAAGGCCATCAAAATCATTTTAGTTTCCAGCTCTTCCACTTCCAGCTCATTGCCTCTTCCTCCCATTCTCAACTGTTGCACCATTCAAGTACAACTATACCACCTGCGAATGATTGTCCTGCTTCAGCTCACCAGCCAATCCTACCAATGTCTTGATCCGATTGTCTTTGACTGAATGGCAACTTCATGACGTGTACACCTCACTACAACACCTTCGTTTCTTGACACTACACAATGTCTTGCACACTCTTCTACCACCACCAATCGTAACAGCGTTCATTCGAGCAGTTGCTATTAGCATGGCCTTTACTTCATCGTCCTCAATAGCGTTCACAACATTGTCACTCTACTACAACACACGCTCTTGCACACTCCTCTGCCACAACCAAACGTAACAGCAGCTGCCATAGCAAACGTCTTTGATCCATTATCTCAAGTTACTTGCAGCAACATGTCTTGAAATCTTTTTTTTTTGTGAACAGCAGGTGACAATCACAGAGAAGCGTCTTTATTTACGTGTAGCAACTTGCTCTTATACGTATGAATTCCTATCGACATGGACCTGGATATTGTTTGGTGCATGGGATGGAAGGGTCTTGGTATCTACAACGCGTGGAAAAATATGATCTTACGTATCCATTATGGACTTGACCTTGATGCTATCATTTTGAACGATCAGTTGCATTTTGATCACCTCCTTTGCATGATTCCATGGCAGCTGCTATCATCACCCATTGTGCAACCTATCGAACATGTACAACCAGCATCATTCAATTGCATGTTTTGGCATGCTATTATGCATATCATTTACCATCACGCGCCAAGTACCACACCACATCAATCCATTCACCTTTGCACAATGCACATCTAAAGGATAGAAACCTTCCATATCGATGTATCTTCTTGTTAGTGATGTTTGGATTAAAGCGTTACTTTTTCGAATACGACATCATTGTTGGCCAATCATCTAAGGAAGCTTCCTGCTTCCTCAATTCGATCTCGTGTCTTGTGTAGCGGGCATTTGATGCATTACATTATAGAAAGCTTTATACGGAATTGTAAGTGTGTATCGTCCATTTGTAAATGCTATGACAAAAAGGAAAAAGAGAGGAAGAGAGAGCGTGAGATTGATTCATTATGCCTTGAACAAGGATCATATTCGGTAGCATGACAAACCTCACTTCCTTTGTGATTAGACGTTGTCAATATAGCACACGTTCCTCTTTTGTGATATAGCTCTTGTAAGATATTATCCACTGATATGGTCTAAGGCCTGAAGAGCAGCACGAGAGAGCACTTTCATTATCCAAGAAGCATACATGCTTATTATCTACAGCCTTGTGCCACTATTAAGGTATGATTGACAATGAAGGTTTATTAATATTGGTACAAGATACAATGGTGTCATGCACATACACAGCATGAGCCAAGGTACATATGAATGCGGAGATGCAGGGTTGTCTCTGCCTAATAACGGTATCCCCGCCTTTCACTTGAGCCTTCCACTTTCTTTGAACTATTCTTACAATGCAACCGCGATCCCGCGCGGGTTCGCCGCATCAAGGCGATGACACCAATGGATCGACTAAGCATCACTATTCGTCTTCTTGGACCCCACCTTCTTCGACTCCTCGACGTCATCTCAGTCCTGGCAAGCTTTCAAGCCCTTCTTCCAGTGCTACCCCTGCTTCATCCACCGGTCTCATTTCACCACGCCCAACTCATGTACACGCCATGGTACGCGAAAGGTCATTTCCACGTGAAGAGGGCAATAGTCGACCCCCATCGATCCGATCAGCTTCATCGTTTGGACGACCCCTTAACAGACTTGTTCATGGTGCACACTCGCGTCGTCCTTCTGGATACTCAAACTTCAGCACTATGAGTGAAACGTCACTGCCATGGACAACACGCGATATTGGATTTAATGCCATCTCGGGTAAGGGAGGATATGTGTGCGTGTGTGTACATATGTAATAGGGATTGACATCATTTTACACGTGATTTAGGCGTATTAAACGATCCTGTGAAAAGAGTTCAATCGACATCCAAGCCGAGTAAAGCTGAAGTGCCTCCGGTCGCAAGGGCGTCCATCCCCAAAGTGAAGCCATCTGATTTCGACACTTATCTCGAGCACATTCGCCCTGTCTTTGAACGATATCAAGCCAACAAGCAGACCGAAGAGGAAGAATATGCATCACCCACACTCAATGATACGGCAACGAATGAAGAATTACCAGTGCATCAACGTCCAAGTACACGCAATCCTTATGGCCAAGTCTTATCCAGCGATAGCTTAGCACTTGTTGATCCTGCACCAGAAACGCCATCACCTGTACCTCGAGAATTACCAATGCTTGAAAATGTGCCGCCCATCTTTTTCGATCCCGAATTTCACCTTGAAGATCCAAGAACATTTGACCAAGTGTGCGAAGGTGCAGACATTACTGGCAACAGCGGACCCAATCCACCCATATCAACCAACAGCATCTTGCAAGAAAAGCTATCGTATTACTTGGATACAGTGGAGGTGCATTTGATACGGGAGATTGAGAATCGATCATCATCGTTCTTTGAGGCATTATCCAATTTACAAGCGCTACATCAGGAGACACTCGATTGCGTATCACAAATTCATGCGATTCGAAAGATGATGAAAGAGATCCAGACGACAACATGCAACAATGGATTGGATGTAGTGAGATTACGAGTGAGGGAAAGGAACTTGAACAAGCTGAATCAGGCAGTGGAATTGGTCAAAGAGGTGCATGCGGCTCAACCCAAGATCCAAGTATTACTCGGTCAAGGGGATTATTTTGGCGCATTGGATTTAATTGACGAGACACGTGGATTACTTGACCAGCACGATGGAATCGATCTAAGAAAAGTGCGTGCCCTCGGTGATTTTGCTAGCCAACTGGATGAGATGGAAAAGGCTGTGGGTGTCATGATGCAACACGACTTTCTCAGTATCTTATTGTCTGATCTCAGCTATCAAATCGAATCTATCGACTATGACGAGGAAAAAAAGACTTGGCCCGGAGCAAAGGTCAATGCTGGCGTAGTACAACCTGACAGTGAGCTGCAAACCCGACTCAAATCCAGCAGCAATGCTCTTTTACGTACCAATATGCTGGGATCGACATTGCAAGGATATCGTGAAAGATTATTATCAGAGATCAAGGAGATTGTGCGGAAAAAGTATCCACCTTCTTCACCCAATGATGATGGAGCGTAAGTAAGAGGAATAAGGAATCCGAATCATATAGCCTAACCAATGTCATATTGGCAACAGGCAAAGTGGAATTGCAAAGCAACTACGTACAATGACATTTGACTCATTCTCTCGAATGCTTACGGACGTGTTGATTGGATTGGTCAAGGCAATCGAACGAGCGGCTATTTACCACCGAACGCTGTGCCAACTTATTGATCAATGCATTCCTGAGGATGATGTTCAGCGCAACGAGCTCAAGAAGGAATCAAGTGATATCGTCTTTGCAGCAGCTGATCTGGCTCATGTACGCTGCGCCAAGCTTATCGGTTTCAGAAGCGAGCAAAATGCACAATTGAATCCTACCGACTTTTATCGATTAGCCAACATGTTACGCACTTTTATTCAGCAATGCGAAGCTTTTTGTGGACGCACATGCTTTGGTTTACGTGGCACGGTGCTATCCCAGGTAGGTGAACAAGATAATGGTTATGTTAGCTGGGGTATCTAATGTCGACTATCTCATAGCAAAAAGCGTTCATCGATCACTTTCATATGGAGCGAATCAAACAAGAGGCACAGCTTATTGAGAACGAGCAATGGATCGCACAAGAAGTTGCTTCAGACTTTCAAGGCATTGTGGACCGGATATGTGATGGCAGTATATCTTCCTTTGCTGAAGGGGATGGTCATCAACCACATTCCAAAGACAACCAACGCAGTACTCGTTTCCTTATCATTCACGATGCCAGCTATTTCACCGTTGGATGCAGCTTGCTTCTCATCAAGATGTTTGAGGATTACATGAGATGTATATTGAACCTTGAAGGAATGACAACTGATATCATGCAAAAGCTGATTGAACTGCTAAAGGTAAGTTTGGATATGGGATATGGAATATGAGATGATTATATTGACATGCTTTCCCATAGCTATTCAATTCGCGTGTATGTCAAGTCATTTTGGGTGCTGGTGCAATGCGATCGGCTGGTCTGAAAAACATTTCTGCAAAGCATCTAGGTAAGTTAAAATGGCACTATTACTCAAAAAGACTATACACTAATATGCCTTGTGATAGCCTTGGCATCCCAATCCATCGGCATCATGATTGGCTTGATACCTTCTGTCAAAGAGTGTGTGGGACGCCATATGCCTACAAAACACAAGGTGTTGCTCTCCGAGTTTGATCGTATTCTGAAGGATTACCAAGAACATCAAAAGGAGATCCATGCCAAGCTTGTTGCAATCATGAATGAAAGGTTTGCTGTCCATGTCAAAGCGATGCAGGTCATCAAGTGGGACGAGCTGCCTGATACGGAGAAGAGCCCCAATGGGTACATGGAGACGTTGGTCAAGGAAACAATGACATTACACAAGGTTCTCAACAAATATTTGCCACACCATGATCTGCAGGTATATTTTGGATAGAAAACGAGGCACGATTCCCGGCATCTAATGTGGTCTTTATTATAGCAAATCATGTCAGATGTCTTTACCTCTTTCACCACTCAATTGACCCATGAAGTCCGTCAGCTTTCAATACACACCAATGCTGGCAAAGACAGGTACGTTATTTACTATGGATTCAAATCGAAAGGGAAGGAGACTAAGGCGACGAACGATTATCAAACATAGACTTGCAAAGGATGCCGACTACTTTACTCAAAAGCTATCGTCGCTCGAAGATATTAGCCCTCCATCAAATTCTGTCATTGATGCTGTCAACGATATCACACTTTCCTAATTTGTACAATATACCACGATCAACCCAAAATCATCACTTTTAGACTGCAAATTGTTTTACATCATACAACCCACTTATTACAACACCCTCCATTCATCAAGCAAATAAACCAGCAAATGTACATCCACGTAATCGAAGCAATCAATTATAGTCATTACATGTCATGTTTATTGAATAAAGAGGAACAAGAGCATAGCTACTAGTAGCATTGCATATAGACTAAAGCTTACCTTTGACCTTCCAAGGACATGAAAAAGCCACCAGACTGCATAAGTGAACCACTAAAAATGTCAAAGAGACATGTTAGAAATCATTGACCTGATAGATTATTGAATCAGGAAACGAGAATGATTCTCATTGAGTGCTTGATCAGGTAAAAGCGATGGTACATTATCAGCAAGGGTCTTCAGTAGCAGAACTGACGAATTTTATACCATTTGTCTCATCATAAAAGCACTCGAATGGATCATCCACGCTTCAAAACAAAAAAATAGATACTTGCCTCCATGAAAAATAAACTACGCGACTCCACCCTGGTGTAAAAAGAGGATTCCGAAAGAGAGCCATAAAAGCAAACCTATACCAATGTGACATGGAAAGATTAGTCCACTGATCCATCAATGTCAAACGTGAAAGAGAATGGGAGGTATAAGGCATATCAGATGGTGATGCATGTAAAAGGTTTTTCCACAAGGGATACTTCAGGTAAGGTGGATGTGATCATCTTGTAAATTATGACAAGGGTAGTGGTGAAAATCAATAGGATACATACCTCTTCAAAAATTTCTCTCCTTGCTCCAGGGTAGGTAAACACGTGGCTTGTGCATGTTTATTGCATGGTTTTTTCTGTAAAACGATGGATGATTAATCAAACATGTTACAACAACATTCCCAAAACGACGCGGGATACGCGATGATGATGGCTCAGATACGAGGAATTCCAAATACAAGTCCTTGTCAACATAATCCCAATTCAGGAGTATCATACTTGCAATCATCAGAGCTGCCATCGTATCGCGTAACCCACACATCACGTATGAATCAAATACTAACCTTATACTATTGTAAGCAACTATAGCTGGTGTGCTCTAAGCTCTATTGACAAGAGAGAAGAACAGGGTAAAGAACCCTACTTGGCGAAGCGCGCTCTTTTATCTTTGATCGCAAAAATTTTTTTCAGGCGGCGACCTCCCCCCAAGCCTCCCACTATCAAGCGGTCACCAACAGCAGTATAGCGAAAGATGAACGCGTCGTAAGGAAGCATGGAGTTGATGTTGTTGGTGAACCCCACCTTCCCCCCTTCTCTTATCGGATGAGTTTACCCGCAAAGTTCATTCATTTGAGCACTGTCCATTGACTCCTTTTTCTCCCCAATGCTTGTGAAACATGGAGAAAAGCACATATCGTCTTTGTTCTTGATTATAGATGCGTGTGTGTGTTACATTTTGCTCTTGACCAAAGCGGTAAAAAATCCAACCATAATAGCAACTCAGAACTTGATGGTTTTCATTCTCTCGGTTTTCAGATCCCAATGTAATTTGGTAAACAAAGAAGTCTATGTATTGAAGGATAAAGCGGGCCGAGCGATCAACCGCGTCAAATTAGGCAAAAAAAGGAGACGCCGGCTATGAATGTCAAAAGTAAACTATCCCTTACTTATGCGCATGGCGTGTCTTGAATGCTGCAAACCATCAGCGATGAAATTGTCATTGTTCAGGAGACAAAGGAATCATCAAACAGTAATGAGTCTTTTTTTCCATCCATGCCAAGCCCAGGCCTTTATACATTATTGATCAAAATCTTACTGCACTCTCCCCCCTCCTTCTCGTTTCTCCGTATACCCTTCTCACCCAACACACACACGCACACTCACTCCTTCTTTCGTCGACTCTATATAAATTGAGAGGTTCCAAAAGACTACATGTGGGAAAAATGGATTTTTCTTCCAATCATCACCTTGATGCTCCTAGCACACTATCATCTGATAACTCCTCTTTGGGCGCAATTTCATATACACACCACCAACGCAATGGCTCAGGGCACACGACGCTCAATGCACAAGAAAGCTGCATTTCATCTACCAAAACACTTGAAGCAAACGATGATGCTTTGCTTCACAAAGTAGAATTGAATGACGATGAAAAGCATCCACGCAAATACGATGACAACGATGATAGCACGATGCATGCCGATGATACCACCATCACCAAAACCTATACACCTGAAGAAGAAAAACAACTGGTGCGAAAACTCGACCTTCGTATCATTCCACTCTTTTGCGCCTTTTATTTTGTCGACTTCCTTGATAGATCTAATATTGGCAATGCAACGTACGTCTATCTTCTTCACATCATGCACACGACAAGATGACTCAATGAATCAATTATAGGATTGCTGGTTTACAAAAAGACCTTGATGTAAAGTGGATAAAGCGGGATGCATTAATAACAACCCGAAGAGAACTGAATGGTCATGCATTTGATGCTGATAGATGACGGGCCCCCAATTAAGCACTGCCATTTCAGCCTTTTTCATCACGTTTGTACGTACATGATTGAAATGATCGTAATCCTAGTGCATATGGTGCAAAAAGCATGTGCTTAAATGTTATTTACCACTAGATCTTATTCCAAGTCCCATCCAACATTGTAATTAAACGACTTGGTGCACGTTGGTGGCTATCCATTATCATGTTGACGTGGGGGCTAGTAACATTATCGATGGCTTTGGCCAATAATTTTGCAAGTCTATTGATTGCTCGCTTGCTTTTAGGGTAAAGCGCATACAACACATGTATCGAATGTCATTACTCAAATCATAACATTGCATTTAGAGCGGCCGAAAGTGGTTTTGCACCAGGTATCCTTTACCAAATGTCACGTATCTACAAGCCCCAGGAACTCGGATTTCGTGTAGCCATCATGCTTTGCATGGCTGCCATTTCAGGCATCGTTTCAGGTCCACTCGCTTATGCATCCACCAGCATGGAAGGTGTATTAGGCTTGCATGGGTGGCAGTATTTGTTTATCTTGGAAGGTGCACCCACCGTATTATTGGCGCTCCTGGGATTTTACCTTATTTTCGATAATGTCGATGATGTAAAATGGCTCACAGCTGAGCAAAAAGCTGTTCAAAAAGCACGCATGCTGGAAGTGATGGAAGAGAATAGCAAGGATCCCATCACCTGGAAGACAATACGTACAGTACTTCTCGATTACAAAACGTGGCTATTCTCGGTTGTTTTCATGTTGACTTCTATCAACCTTACAAGTCTCAATGTATTTGGACCCGTGCTCATTGATGGTATGAAAATGCCATGTGCATACATTAGTTCGAGAGAAGATGATTGATTATTGTAAATGTGATTTGCAGGGTTTGGTTTCCCAGTATTACAAGCACAATTGCTCACCACACCCCCTTGTGTCGTTGCTGCTGTGGCTGTTCTCGTTTGCGGATTTGTCGTCGACCGGCTAAAAAACCAACGTACTCTACTTGTATCCTCGGGATCAAGCGTTGTTGCTATTGGATACTTAATGCTCCTGCTACAACAAGGGCGATGGTGTAGGTCATCAAACGTTCACATTCATACCACCATGATCTAATCTTTTTTCTTCTCCTTCCTCAGTTTCCTATGCAGGTACCTTTGTCATAGCAACCGGCGTTGGCATGGAAGGTTGGTATAAAGAAAAATGCCATCCATGATACATCCAATGATTCACCTTTGTTTATGCATGGCGACAATAGCTCCAATTGGTGTCAGCTGGAGTGCTATCAATTATCATGATCTTACTGTACGAGCTGTGGGAGTAGCCATTGTCAACATGATGGGAAATCTCGGTAGCGTAGGTGCATCGTTTTTATACACGATACCCGGTGATCCAAATCATGGTAACAATAGCATCCTCCTTCATATCATCGCCTTCATTATACTCACATCTACTTTAGTATTTGGTAATAGCTTCAACCTCACTTGTGGCGTGCTCTGTGCAATCATATCGGCATTGACAGGGCTTCTTTTACGGCGACAAAACAAACATAGAGAACCACATCTCAAATACTTTTACTAGTTCTTTTTAATAGTTTTTTGCGGAAATCATGTACATCTAACAGGCTATGATGCGTATAAGATTTGTCGAATGTTGTGTTGTATGGCGAAGTATGATATGCGTTGTATGGGAGGGTCGTTTAGATGTATTCATCATCGGAAAGGAATTCATCAGAGTCGTAGTTGAGCTGCTCAAAGTTGACACGATATCTAAAATAAAAGACGACATCATGAGTCATTCATTCCTTCATTCCTTCATCCTCTTGAGCTTGGTAATCTTACCTGAGAATACCACCAATACCACCAAAGCCCTTGACGAATTGAGCACCTTCTTGGGAGCGGTTGGTGACAAATTCAAGGCTGGTACCAAAGTCCTTGTAGGATTCGGCGAACCATTCCAAGAGAGGCTTGACTTCGACAACATCCATTTCCTGGTTAGGAGCAGCTTCCTCACAAGTATCCTTCATGAATGCACGATCCTTCTCTTCTTGCTTGGTAGGGTGATAGACGATTTCGGAACCAGCAGCGTTACGAAGCACATAGCGGTTGAGATCAAGACCTTCGTACACAATCAAATATTCGACAGCACCAAGTTCAAGGGCCTTAAGAGTATCATCGACACCGAAGCAGTACTTGCCGCTGTCTTGGGAGATTTCATCAAAGTAAGTTTGGATCAACTTCTTTTCTTGGATAAACTTGACATTGGAAAGGGATTCAGCTGACAATTCAATGGCTTGGTTGAAACCATTTTCACCACCGTATGACACATCAACCACCTTGACAATCTTGGCTTGAAGACGCTGATCGAACATATCGGACTGTGAGAGTTCATTCTTGAAATCGGCGGAACCGGCCAACACAAGACCAGCTACGTTGACCTTATCATTGGTGATGAAGAAACTGACAGCCAATTCGGCAATCTTGCGAACGTAGTTGTGACGCTTTTCTTCACGCAAACGAGCAAAACGCAAAGCAGACTGACCACCACGACCGTGCTTCTTTGGCAAATCAACTTGCATCTTGTGGATGACATCACGAGTGTTGCCTGAAAGAGTACCGAAGAGTGTGCCGTTACCATCCATGACAATAAAACCAAACTTGGCATCGTCTTCCAAAAGCTCGGAGAGTGCTTCAGTGTGGAACTTGTTATCGCAAAGGTACAATGACGTGTTGATAGGCTTGTGTGGTTCGAAATCAATGTTGACCTTCTTTTCCTTTCCTTCATCTGTGACAATGGTACCACAGTATACGACAAGACCATTGGGTGGCACTGAACATAGCATAGCATAACATACATTAATCACTCTATTCCATATATGACCCTCTTTACTTTTCAACATACCTTTGTTGTACAACTTCAATCTTTGTTGAGTGGATGTAATAGCTGACAAGACCGAAAGACGATTCACACGAGATTTGATATTAGAAGCAGTGCCGTATTCATCAGCAAGCATTTTGCCAACTCGAGAGATTTGATCTTTGGGGGCTGTTGTTGTATCACACTACTTGTTAGATCCTGCTGCGACTATTTATCCTGTCAACCCTCCCCCTTCCCAATCCTTTCCACTTACGGATAATAAGAGAAATCATAGAAGTGCCGTTTCTATAATAAAAAGACATGGGTATCAATATGACATGTCGTAAAAACAGTGATTGTCAACTCACCCTCGAGCAGCTTCCAAGCTCTTGATGAGCTTCTTCATCTTCCACATTTCAATGTTGTGGTCGGTGGAATCTCCTTGTGCGCTGGACATTTTGAGTAATAAAGAGGAAAAAGAAAAGGGAATCGATTATAGCTGCGGAATGCTGCACAGAGACAAGTGGTGGTCGAGCAACGAGTGGGATAAGGCCCTGTTTTTCGAAACATGAACAAGCCACCACTAATGGCTGTGTTTGTGTCACTTTGATGCACTTTATCTCTAAAGGAAAGTAGTACAAACGTATGCAAACTCTCTCCCAAATCCAAGTTGGTGGTTTCTACACTTTTACTGTTTCCACTTCCATATCACCACACTGTGAGCTATAATACATCCATGATACGGCGTTCGTTTGACATGTAGATTAAGACATTATGCAAGTTGGATGCTGCCTATCTTAAAAATGCTATAGTTTATCTTTCCGTTACACTACTATAAACATGATCCATCCAACACGTTCAAGATATGGGCAACCCATGTCTACATACGCGTTAGTAATACTTGAAACGATACCAGCTTTAGTATCAGATGCCAATGCTATTATAGAAGAAGACACTCATAACTTCAACAACAGTAAAAGGCGATGGTATTTGTTCTACAATTTGATTCACATTTGTCTATGGGCGGGAATGATTAAGATACTACGCATATCGATGGGGAGATGAAGGATGAAAGGTGATAAGTCTACGAGCAGTAGTGGTTGATGACGCATATAATACAAGCACTGATTTAAGAAAAGTATTGCATTTCTAAGCCAATGGTACGAATAGGACTTGAGCGACTTGATAGATCCGCCGTTAAACCAATGCTAAACAAGGTATTCTTCAATCGCCCTTCCCACATCAATGCAAGACCCTACAACGTGTATTCAATAAATGCCGTCGTTCCATCCTTTCCTTCACCAATCACACATTTACCTCTGTAAAGCCGATCCTTGCTTTGATTAAGCCTTCCAACTTTTGAGTCTTGTCTTTACCAGGATCTCTGTCATTCTTGGTGCGGTATTCGAATCCAAGTGCAAGATCACTTTCGTATGAATATATGCTGAAGTCGTATCGAGAGCACATGGCTAATTCCTTCGAGACTTGTGCTACATACGCGGTTGACATGTGACCCACCAAAGGATTCAGCGTATAGGTGAAGCAGATGGGAGGGGTGCCAGCCGATGGTAATGTGTGATAACGTAAACCGATCGATACTACAACATGCATTGTCAGCTCACCACTTGCTTAAAAGCATCCATCATTGATACTTACGTCCACCGCTCTTATCCAATGTGCCATAATATAACTCGGTTCCCAATGCCCATTGGCCCTGGATACCAGCTGCTACATTGCTAGCATTTCCATCCAATGCAATTTCCTGCTGCCCAAAGTTGTATAGCGCACGCACACCAAGAAGGCCATCATCGGTGGTATATGAGCATTCAGAGCACCATTTGCCGACATCATATTGCAGCTGCATGGCCATCTACAAAAATGCACCCCATAAGCAACGCTTGTTCTCATCCATAGTAGCTATCTTTTTACCTGAGGCTGGCCTGGAAGACGTGGTTGATTTACAGCAGTAATTAAACATTGTAGATGGGGCGACAGCCGTCGAACATACATGGCTTCAAGACGTGACCCGGGGAATGACATACGACCATACAGTAGATAATGATTGATGGCATCTATGATAGAATAGTATATTAGGGATACTGTACAATACACAATGAGACACAAAGCTGCTTGCCTTTGTTGGTATCTGTTGGCTCTACTATGCGAAAGCGATCAACCAAGTCCTGGAAATCGACTGTTGCACTCGTGCCAATGTCAAGAGGTTGAGAAGTGTACAGGTAGCCGATGCTGCCATTGAGTGAAGGGAGAGCGTTCATGGTATACGATGGTTTGAATTGGGGCGTTGGGAGCTTCGAAAGGTACAATGAGAGTCCTCGAGGTGTATAAAAGTCAAGTAGAGTCCTCGACCACGAGCATAAGTTTGAATACTGGTTTTCTTCTCGCCATCCCGTTGAGCGATAATAACATCGAAGGCAATATTCCATAAAGTCGTACATGGCGACAAATGAGAACGCACGTTAAAGAGCAGCGACTTGCATCCTGTGCGGGAGAACAAGACCCTTTTGTCCACAAAACCCAGAAGCAGCCTGATTACTGTTAATTATGCATCAGCGTATCTAGGTTGCATGAAGCCACCATTTGTTGCTATTGTTTCGCTGCTTGGATACCATTGCTGCTTGTACATGTGAACCCTCCATGCCCTTCTTGTTGCAATAATATAGCTAGTTTATCATCACATGAAGTAAACATTGGCCCATTTTGATGGCCTTTTTTTATACAATATGGTCCAAGGTACAAAAACGGGGAGGCTTATATATAGAGAGAGAGAGTTCAAGGATGTTGTCAAAAGTGTCTAATAATGGGGATTTACAAGAAAAGGTAATATAAACAGAATGATGGTAGTGTTATGCAATCATCAATCTTCTTCGAGCTCCTTGAGATATGCAATGAGCGTCCTCTTGTGAACGATACCAAGATACTGCCCGTCGTTTCCAACGAGACAAACGTAGCGTGCTCCAAGCTTGGTAAACATTTCCATTAGCAACTCCATGGAAGCGTTTGGACTCAAAGTAAGCGGTGCCTTGGATGATGAAGCACTCTTTTAGTAAAGCGAATTCGCATAAAGCAAGCAATACATACCTGATCCACATAAACAGAAAAATCGTTTAGCGGTGTTGAATGACGTTGCTCTGTATCTATATCGTCGGTATTGTCCCCGTGTGTGCTCTTTGATGAGATTAAACAAAGAATGGAGCTGCTAACATCATCTGAAGTATCAGGAAGCACACCTTGGCTGCCTCGGCGGAAGTAGCAAGGGATGTCACGGAATTCTTGTTCACCCATAGGATACGGGCTCTCATCAAAGTGCTTTCGTAAGACGTCAAGCGCATGTGACAACTCACTTGTCGCAATGTAGCCTTCTAGATAGCGACCTTGATTGCTGAGAATCGGTATACCACCATCTTCACGATAACCCAAAACATCCATCTCGTCAAGCTTGTCGTAGAGGTTCCCGGCTGTGTTGATTTGATCAAGGTTGATAGAAAGATGATCTTTCTCACTCAAATCTTGAACCGTATGTGTGTGAGCATATTCCTTTCGTGCATCAAGATATGGATAAAGCTGCAAGTCGATCAGCAAGTCGTAGATGCCTTCCACAAACATGGCGTCGGCAACCCATTTTGCCATCATGACCGAAATCATAATCGGCACAGCATAGACCAAAGAGAACGTCAATTCGAACATGATAATGACAAGGGACACTAAAGGGGTATGTGAGCTAAATTTGAATCATCCTTCACAATGATGTGCACCATTTTTACCTGTTGTTCGTGTCACACCAGCTAAAGCAGCAGCAGCACCAACCATAGCATAGACTCCAGGGATGATGCACTTGCCTTGAGTGGCAAGATCTTCCTCACATACCGAAAATGGCCACGTGTCAGGATACGTGAGAGTGAGGTATTGCATAATAAGACCAATTACACGTCCTGTGATAGCACCGATAATCAAAGCCGGAAGGAAAATACCACCTGGTACGCGACAACCAAAAGTAACCATTGTCAGAATCATCTTGATCACCAAGGCAGTCAGCAAAAGGTATAGTAAACGAGGGATTTCGGTCACAGTGGCCCTGAAAGAGCATGGTGATGGTGTTAATTGGATGGCTCTTTTTGCGCTCTAGGATTACTTACGCGCATAAACCAGCATTGTCGTCTTCAGGAGAGCATTCTGAAAATAAGTTGTATGCAAATTCATTCAATCCCAATCTATGTATATCCATATACAATGTCAATTACAAAGAAAAAGGTATACAATGAAATAAACTTACCGAGCAAAGGGGTTCCAGAAGCTGGTGATAGCTGTGACAAGCAAGATAACCAAAACCTCCGTTACGGGGTACTTTCCAATGATCGTGTTTTTACGCAAGTGCTGGTACTTGATATTGTAGTAGGTGGTTACAGCACCGAAAAATCCCTATCGGCAAGGTTGAGCACGCCATTTCATGCATATTTGAAAATGATTTGTCTTACAGCAAAAGCTCCAGTGATGAGGAAGGGGATAAGCTCAAACACGTGATACTCCTTATCATAGTGTACTTGGAAGAGTACAATCTTCCCGGTGCCGAAGGGATCCATGAGCTATGTTGTGTGCATGTGATGGATCAGTATGCAGCTAAATGCAGTAAACGCACAATGCTGGTTGTTACCTTGAGAACCATGGCGGCGACCATGGCAGCGCAATAACTCCGAATCATTGTCTTAATGGGGAAGTAGTAGCTGACCTCTTCAAGGCTGAATAGCACGCCACCGATAGGAGCACCAAAAGCGACAGCAACTCCTGCTGCAGAGGCTGCTGAAAGAATCTCACGACGCTTGCCTGTAACAATGATTTAATCAAGCACAATGACGTTAGTCGATTTGCCGATTATGGTAGGACATTTTCATGTGTCACATTCAAGTACATACTCTCGTTCTTGTTAAACTTGCGGAAAAGGCGGCAAAAGATGTTTCCAGCTGAACATGCCAAATGAACGAATGGACCTTCCTTGCCACAATTTAAGCCTGAAGAGGTAGAGAAGATCTAGGATGGACATGTAAAATGAGTTACAACATGGCTGGGTTCATCCAAGTGGTTCAAAATTACCATGCCGACGCTCTTGACAAATAAGGTCTTGATTCCAAGGAAGCCCTTGATAACGAAACCGGCAAGGATAACTTTGACTTCGGGGATACCAGAACCTGCACTGTAGTAGGCAATCTTTGTTTGAGGTTTGGGAGGGGGCATGTCGGCATCCTTGGCAATGGTGGATTGGGTACCCGATGGGGTCACGCCATTCGTTGGCTTTGTTGAAGGAGTGCGGAAAGTGACCTTCTCGGCTGAATATTTGACCATGAGAGTTGCAATCAGCGCGAGGAACAGCTGGTGACACCAAAAGGTTAAATGCGGGCTCATTTGAATGTCGTTATTGAATGGGTGCACTTACTCCTACAGCGGTGTACATGAACATGGCAGTATAATAGGCACCAGATTCGGTGGATGCACCAAAGACTTCGGGCCATGTTCTCCATGCTGGGCAAGGCTCATACTCTACATGCAATGAAAAGAAAGAAACCATAAGTACAAAGAATAAAATGCATAGCCATGTGATCATTCCCCCGCATGGTCACCTTGTTTGCCCCAGCAGCAGAATTTGCTATTGTATCTCCAATTGGTGGTACAATATCCCCCCTTTAGATCAGACATCCATTCTTGAACGACGTCAATGAGTCCTGCTATAACTGCTACTGTCGCACCCGTCAAAATCACAAGTATCCATGCTTGTGATGCATCCTTGGCCTTCATCCATCGCCCACGTAGTCCAGGTGTCTCTCGCAATCTACGTAATCTTAATCCTTCCTTGATGTGGTCGTGAATCCAATCTACAAATATAAACAACATGAGTCTTACATGGCGTAATACTTGCAGCTTTTTTTTCTATACCCACCAATCGTCGAGTAAGATTCGTACCACACACGCACACCTGTGTTTTCCTTGATCAAGCCTTGTCTATCTTCATCGTATGATCCATGTCGCTTGTTAAATAGCTTGAACTTGTGATGGTCACTCGATCCATGTTGATTGTGTGCTCCATGGGATGCTGTGATAAAGGTTGCAGGTGCAGAGTTGTTGTTTGCCTGGATATCGCCGATAGAAGGTGTCGATGGGAATGACGATATTGGTGAAACATCATTCAGGGCATTATAGTGTTGTTGGTTGTTCTCCCGCCTACGGTTGAGAAGCGAGGATCTCTCGGTCATAGAATCATGGTTTGGCTGCGACATCAGGAAAATCACTCACGCCCGCTTCTTTTTAAAACAGCAGGGTATACACGGGAGTGGGGTGATAGCGAGTAAAAGGGAAAAGAAAAGACGATAAGATTGGGCAAGCACAAATAGAAGGGCTCAATTTATAGGTAACGTGGAGACGATGCGCTGTTTTTTTCTTTATCCAAATGACATGCTATATGGTGGGAGTGTCACGGGAATTTTACCCCCAAAAGCGCAATCATCTATGATGAAATCAAGGAACTCTAATTCACGCCGCTTCTTTGAAACGCAGCAAAATTTGGATAGCCTCCGTACATTTATATTTACATAGATACCTTCGTCATCATCAGCTACTTTTTACCTCTCTTACTAATCGTACCTCTTCTTACTGCATTCCCCCCCATATATAGGTAAACGCATCAAGATTATATAAAGGTCCAAAAGATGCATACTATGCCTGCATGCAATGAGAAACCGGTACAGTGTGACCATGCACAACAACCCCGCACTCCACAATCGGCTTCCCACCATCATTGCGATGGCATGTTTCTGATATCCAAATGTACAATAGCACCCGCTCCCCAATGATACGTTGGACCTATTATCATTGATCCTCGAATGTTTCTCAATAAACTCATTGTCTTGGTAACGCCGGCGTTGGAGGCAATCAAGTTAGGCTTACTTACCCCCCGAGCTTCTTTGTTTATTGCAAATACTGTAAATGCGCATACGCACGCACATAAACCCTCAGCTAATCGGCCGACATTAAATGCTTGTACATTGTCCTTGGCAAAAGGACGCTAATCCAATCCTATCCTTCACAACAGCATTAATGCTTGTCGCATAGCAACGAATTAGCTTTCCTTTACGCCTCTCAATGGCACCATATGATTCTATCGTGCGGATAGACATGATCCCCCATTGCCTTGCTGGCGCATTACATACACCCATTACTCTTTGCCATGTGTGTACATGCAGCGCAACCTTGTCTGTTGACTTTCCAAACGGAATGAATAGGAATAATTTCGATCACAACTGACAGATTCAGGCAAGACGTTGCGCTTTGTGTGGCCAATGTTGGTTACCCGGATCGTGAGGCGTTCTTGTTTTCCATCGGTACACGTATCTTTTCGATCCTTGCATTATCAATCGTTATCATAAATGATAGCAATTCCATCATAGATCATCATTCTACTATCTCAAGATAAAGGGCAAGGAGTATCGATTGCCTAAGGAGCCTGATGATATCAGCCATCATTCATCTACAAAGGTTGGGGGCGGTGATGTGCATGCAGCGACACAACCTGTGTGTGGCAACCATAGTATATACGCTATTACTTTTACGGCTATGGCCCATTCTCCTCGTTGCATGAAACACACACCTCCGCCCTTGAAACCTGGTTAATTATAAAATGTTACACTCGGCTCTTTTTTGATCCCACATCCATACCTCCTCCCCCACTGTAGTATATTGGGTATACTTTGCTTGACATCTTCGGTCGCACAATTGGATGTTGTTGGTTGCTGTGGTATATTGTTAAGCCTATAATGCGATCATCAGCATACACTCTAATACATGAAAATAGACCGCCTGATGCGTTTCAGAAGAACATTCTCCGGCTGACATAGGTAGGTGAGGGCACAAATGGGTGATGCAAAGAGCTGGGATTACACGCACGTGGCCAAGTAGGAAGATCATCCTCCAGCATCTGATCGCCAAATGACATGAAGAATACAGGAGACATGAAGACCCCCCCTGAAGGCTTTCGATTGGAACCAAGCAGTAAATGGCATCCTATCTTTCCTCAAGCTACTATCTTTGATTACTTGGGTGAGAACAAGAAACAGGCTACATATGATTGGTAGCTACCACTAGAAAGAAAACTAGAGAAAAACACGTTTATCGGCATTAGTATGTGAGATTAAGCGTCGAACCTTGGCATACCAAGATAACGGAGACCTTTCTCAAACCTACATTATGTCATTCTTTCTCGAGAATCGTCGCACTACATACATGTCCCATGACCCTCATAATACAATTACCTCACTAGCGGTCATTAATCTCATACATTTGTAGACGTAAATGCGAACGGCCCAATGATGATGATAACGTGACTAATTGTGAGAAGCCCTACCATACGTATCTTCCCACATGATATCGGCAGGGCGGAAAGCCAAGATCAGATTATTGCTGACAACAGAGAAACGACCGCCCTTGTAATAACACAAAATCTGCACTTGTCGATCATCGATCCGTTTTTGTTTGGATTGTGCTATCATGGTATTATGACGACATCCTCGATTCTACCCATTCTTTTTACCATCCACCCCTTTTTACTCCCATCTTCACCAAATCAATATCAAGCAATCAATGAACGTAAGCAGGAACCAAGACGCCTCATATTAAACACAACACCGTGATTAGAAAGATACACCAATTGGTCATGCACCTCCCAAAGAGTACTTGAGTGAAAGTCAATATCGATTACTCTATAGCGTGGGAAAAGGATCACACGTACTAAGAGCACCCATTACATGTGACAAGCACTGAGCTTTATACTTGAATCAGATACGGTGATCCTATACCTGAGTAATGGAAAAAGAAAGAGCTAAAGGTAAATGCATTGTAATGGATTTGGCGTAGTAAGAAAAGAAACTAATTAAGCAAAAGAAAGCAATACCTTGATAGCAACATTGGCCAATGCTTGTTCGCGCTATGGTGGCTGTTGTTTATGGTTGAAGTAATATCCTGGTTTCCGAGACGAGCATGTAAAAGCAAGGATAGTGAAAGAGAAAGCTAAAAATTGCTGGCTTTATACCACGGCACCATGACATGCCAAAATTGAATGAATCTACTCATGGTCCTCATGCATAAATGATCACATGCAAACGTTGACAAAGAGCATAATGATGTGAAGGGCATATGCCAATAGGAGCAGATCATCCAATGAAATCCAATTAGGTATCCTTATGACATGAGTTGGCTGTGAATTGATATTTAACAAGCTTATTGGGGCTTATTAGTCACCAGCATTAACCACATTCCTTCTTGTGTTTGGTAGCTGGTTGACGTACTACAACATTATTAGCGTTATCATTGTTGTATGATGCCGTTGTTCCCCGACGTTTTCACCCCGATGTTTTCGACGCCTTGGCATTTTCCACTAGATCGACCACTATCCGCCGGTACATAACGCCCGCCGATCCTATTTCTCCAACTCGTTGTTTTCAGCATTTGAGACTACACAGTTATGCCGTAGGTAATATGAAAGATCCACTGAATGTGCCAATGCCAGGTGTTGTTAATGTATACGCAAAAGTCTCAAGCTTGGAAATTCGGTTATCTATCGGGATGCCTATGGCGTAAATGACTCATAAGAAAATACTCGGGTTCGGGAAGCATTGAATCATTACACGTTAATACGGGATCATAGTTGCAAATGGCAATAATGCTGTTGGGTGCCATCATAGGTAAATTGGATCAGTAGCAATTACTGTGAATGTGGGTGGTGCCTAGCCGGCTGTGTGTGCATGTTTAACAAACATGAGCTGCATTTGTATTGCAGCGGGTGCATATCCGATGACCACCAATAACAATGAGCAGCTGACATGTATACAACCATCATTGCAATCATTTACTATTACATGCGTGTCCCATTCAACATCACTGGGACTTTATACACGAAGCTATGCTTAATGAAGAAGAAGGATCATTATCATCATTGCACATCATGCCCTTCATTACAATGCTTATCGACTGCTTTATTCATGAAATAAAAGAGGGTATGATCATTTGATGATGAATGTAAAGCAATGTTGTCTCATGGATCCATAGATTTGGACAGCTTGATTGTGGCACAGCAATAACCGCAGCAACGCTTGATATGTAGTACAAGGTGTCAGAGCAAGGTAAACGCCAACTCTAATCAATGGTGCAGTGCTGCGGTAGGCGGATGCCCAAAAAGGGTCCGATTTCCCTTTTATAATTCAGGTGGTTCGTGGATATACCATTGTCTTTCGCTTTCTGGTCATAACAGCTTATGTCTTCAATACCTGCCAGTTTATGGCTGGCCGTTGGTGTAATATCGACAGCATGTGTCAGTGCATTGACCATTTCGATCCAAAGAGCATACGATCACAAGACGAGGAATCGACAAACCGAATCGGGACCCGATCCTTCACCTCTTCATTTTGATCGCAAGCGAGATTCGTCGGTGCCATTCTCTGATGTCGATCGTGTGCCACGTCTTTGCTTTGAGACTGCTATCATTACGGCTATTTCCATATACAACTTGTATCTATGCGTCCAAGCACTTTCAGATAATAGCAATGGATCGCAACAGCAGCAGCAGCAGGCGCTTTATGATGTATTGGGAGCGGCATTTGTACTGGCGGCATGGGTGTATGCATTGGCTCTTGCATTGACTTCACAACGATATCGATTACCGAATGATTGGGGCTTTGTTATCAATGTGCACTTGTGCATTGTTTATTTTGCCTCTTGGTGTTACTGTGGATGGGCTCTCTATGACACGTGGCGTGCTAACCCAACATGGTCCAATGGAGTGCCAAAGTTGGTGTGCTTTTTGTTTACGTGTGATCTCTTGTATGTCACCGCAACCATCAAACGTGGTGCTCCCTTCCTGGACGAGAACGATCACATCGTCAGCTCCGTCAACGTCTCATCAGCATTTGGATTCTTATTCTTCACTTGGATTCGCCCATTGGTCAAGCATGCTTACAAGGTTCGCAAGTTGGATGACAATGATTTGCCTACGTTGCCACCAATTTATCGTGGTTACAACTTGTTCTACATCTTTGGTGAATCACGTGGTCACAAGTTGCTTCGTCGGATATGGGATGCCAATCGTGTTGCAATCATCTTGCAGGTCGTCCTTGCCCTCATCTCATCAGTCCTTTACTATGTACCACACTTTTACACCAACAGACTCTTGAAGCTTATCCAGGATATGGGTGAAGGTCATCGTCTCGAGAATGGTGTTGAAGAAGGTTTCATGATCGTCATTCAACAAGGCATTTCCTTTGTCCTTCTTGGTCTCAACATTGGTCAATTATGGTATTGGGGTAAGAAGCATATCAACACTTCGTTGCTATGATACGGTAGCTAAGATCCATCATCTTAAAATAGCAGCGTCGTCGCTTCAAGTTCGCTTAAAAGCTATGCTCAACATCGAGATCTATCACAAGACGCTGCGACGATTGGATTCTGCCATTGCATCTGGTGGACAAGAAAAGGAAGATAACGGCAAAAAGGCAAGCGAAGAAGAAGAGACCAAGTCTGAGGAAGATGAAGATGTGACATCCACCGGCCAAATTGTCAACTTGATGAGCACCGACTCTGATCGTATTTCCGAATTCAGCACTTGGTGGTTCAACGCCATTACTTGTCCTGCCGAGCTTGTCGTTGGTACCTACTTTTTGTATACCATCCTTGGTGTTTCTTGCTTTACCGGTTTGGGCGTCATGGTTCTCGCATTGCCTTTGAACCATTACAATGCTCAATTGTTCGCCAAGACCCAAGATCGCCTTATGGATGCTCGAGATAAACGTGTGTCTCTCATGAATGAAGTGCTTCAAGGAATCCGACAGATCAAATTCTTTGCTTCTGAGTCGAATTGGGAAAAGCGTATCATGCAATCAAGAGCCGTTGAATTGGGTTACCTTCGCACAGCATACATTTCCGAAGCCTTGTTCCAGATGGTGTGGCAGGGGTAAGTAAGCTACAATCGTTTCGATACAACGCATGATACGCTGACATTGTTATCATCATCATCATCAAAGATTACCCATTCTTGTGACAGCAATTGCTTTCTGGTCTTACACTATGCTCGAAGGAAATGAATTGACAGCATCCGTTGCTTTCACGGTAATTATTCAAAAAGTCCTAAAGGCACACTCGTATATACATATTAACATTTTATCATAGAGTATCATTGTCTTTGATGAATTGCGATTTTCGTTGATTGCTTTGCCAGATATCTTTATTGATGGTTTACAAGCTTGGACTAGGTATGATCAAATGCGAATCCTGTGAATCATCAAGCATATCTCATATCCTGTTTTCTTCCTTTATCAGTGTTCGACGTATTGAAAAGTATCTTGGACAAGAGGAAATTGAAGCACCTGCACCATTGAATGCCAACGAGCCTGTGAAGATTGGATTTGACAATGCGACCGTAGCATGGACAGCATCATTCAACAATAACGAAGAATCTCAATCCTCATCCTCATCGCAAGATACGTGTGCTGGCCCTGATGGATTCATTTTGAAGGATGTCAACCTCCATTTCCCGAACGACAAGTTGAGTTTGATTTGTGGCAAGACCGGCTCTGGAAAGAGTTTGCTTTTGTTGGGTCTCTTGGGTGAAGCTATGGTGACCAAAGGCAAGGTACATTGTCCTCGTGCTCCTATCGCCACCACCGTCTCTGCCAACTTCCATGTCCTTGATGATATTCCTGAAGAAGAATGGATCTTGGAGCATTCTTTGGCCTTCGTCGCGCAAACTGGTAAGTAAAAAAGAGACATGCAGCGGTCTGTAAATGCTCTCATTTATAACGCGTTATGTATAGCTTGGTTACAAAATGCATCTATCCGTGACAACATCCTCTTTGGACTTCCCTATGTGGAAAAGCGATATCAAGCAACGCTCTCTGCCTGTGCTCTTGATAAGGATCTTTCAATCTTTGAGGATGGTGATATGACTGAAATTGGCGAGAAAGGCATTACGCTTTCAGGTGGTCAAAAGGCACGTGTTGCTCTTGCCCGTGCTGTATACTCTCGAGCCAAGATTATCTTGATGGATGATGTTCTTAGTGCAGTTGATGGTGAGTTATTTGCTGAATGCATATGAATAGACCAATGTACTCATCTTTGTTTTATAGCTCATACTGCCAAGCATCTTTACCGCAATTGCCTTATGGGTCCCTTAATGAAAGGCCGTACACGTGTCTTGGTTACTCATCACGTCAAGCTTTGCCTTGGTGGTAGCGATTATCTTGTTCATGTTGATGCTGGCCGCACTGATATTGCTGGTGCACCTACTGATCTTCGTCAATCTGGTGCTCTTGCTTCTATTCTTGATGAAGACAAGGAAGATGAGGACGACGTTATCGAGGATGAAGTTGAAGAAGTGGATCCCCAACCTGTTGCAACGACCACAGAGACGAACAAAAAGCCTCCCAAGGCTCTCATTGAGGAAGAACGTAAGTATATCATTCTACTTTACATATAAGCATATTCACTTTTGCAAATTATAGATCGTGAAACTGGTAAAATCAAGATGCGCCTTTACAGCCTATACTTCAAGGCAGGTGGTAGCTGGTTGTTTTGGATCTTTGTTCTTCTTCTTGTTATCGGCAACCGTACCTTGGAGATTGGAGAATCATGGTGGATTAAGCAATGGACTAGTACCGAGAACGAATCAAACACCAACATGTTTGGCGCTGCATCCATCATGTATGATACTTCAGAGAGATCGCTTCCCAATTATACGCCTATGATTCACCATTCGGATGATGATATTGTGCAAGCCTCGACATTGAAGGGTCACAGCGTCATGTATTATTTGGGTATCTACGTATTGATCACATTCAGCGGTGTCTTGGCAACCACGCTTCGATTCATTGCCGTCTTTGTTGGAGGTCTACGTGCCAGTCGCAAAATGTATGATGATCTTTTACGCCGCGTATTCAGAGCTCCTTTGCGATTCTTTGATACAACTCCCATTGGCCGTATTTTGAATCGTTTCTCTCGAGATTTTGAAACCATTGATTCTCAAGTGCCTCACAATATGATGAGCTTTGTGCACACCGCCATCACTGTGGTGTCGACAGTCATCTTGGTTGGCTTCGCTATTCCTGTATTCACTATACCAATGCTTACAATTATCGTCCTCTATATCGCTGTCGGTGCAATGTTTGTTGTCACATCACGTGAGCTCAAGCGCATGGACTCTGTTTCCCGCTCTCCATTGTTTAGCCATTTCTCAGAGACCATCGTTGGTGTCGCAACCATCCGTGCCTTTGGTGTAACCCGACAATTCATGCAAGAGATGCTCAAGCGTGTTGATACCAATGCTCGCCCATACTATTATGTGTGGACCGCCAATCGCTGGGTCAGCTTGCAATTCTTTTTGCTTGGTGCAGTCATTTCTATTGGCACTGGTACTGCTATCTTGCTCAACTTGGATTACTTGGATGCTGCCGCTGCAGGTTTTTGCTTAACATTTGTCTTGGCTTTGCATAACAATGTAAGTAATATGACTAGTAACGAGACAAAAGGTTCTAATGGGCTTCTTGTCAATATAGATGTTTTGGTGTATCCGCCGCTATACCAGTGTTGAGATGAACTTCAACTCTGTTGAGCGTGTTGCTGAATTTATGGAAATGGATCAAGAGGCTCCTGCAGTAACGGATGTGCGACCACCTTCACTGGTAAGCCCTATCATCAAGAAAAAGGAAAGTACATAGCAGCTAAATAACATGATATCATCATAGTGGCCATCCGAGGGACGAGTTCAAGTTGAAGATTTGGAAGTGCGTTATGCGCCCGATCTTGATCCTGTTCTTAAGGGTATCTCGTTCAACGTCAATCCAAGAGAAAAGGTTGGTGTCGTTGGCCGCACTGGCAGTGGCAAGTCGACTTTGGCATTGTCATTCTTCCGCTTCGTGGAGGCTTCACGTGGTAGTATTGTGATCGATGGCATTGATATCAAGGATATTGGCACTGAAGATTTGCGTGGCAACTTGACCATCATTCCACAAGGTAAATTGTTATAATGTACTAAACGTGGCAACAAGGCGCTAACATTTTATTGATCAGATCCAACTTTGTTCTCGGGTACATTGCGCACTAACATGGATCCATTTAATCAATTCAGCGACGATGACATCTTTACAGCCTTGAGACGAGTCCATCTTTTACCATCAGCAGACAGCTTGGAAGCAGACGAACTTGAAGACGTCAATGCTAATGTTTTCCGTGACCTGGAGACCTCCGTTAGTGAAGGTGGCAAGAACTTTTCTCAAGGTCAACGTCAACTACTTTGCCTTGCTCGTGCCTTGTTGCGCCGTAGCCATTTAGTTTTGATGGATGAAGCAACTGCAAGTGTGGATTTCCAAACCGATAAGGCTATTCAAAAGACTATCACCACCGAATTTGCAGACTGCAGCATTCTTTGTATTGCCCATCGCTTGCATACCGTTATCGAATATGACCGCATCTTAGTTTTGGATCAAGGAAAGATTGTTGAATACGCTAGGTAAGTAATCATTGACCTTGTGCTAGATCGAGTACTTATATATATCATCCTATAGCCCCCTTGAACTTATCAGCAATTCTGAATCTGTGTTCCATCAAATGTGTCGCAAATCGGGCGAATTCGATAGTCTTTTGGCACTTGCCAAGAACAAACATCAACTTGTAGACGTGTAATAATTGTTTATGTATTGGATTAAAAGGAAAAAGTAAGATGTCACTATTTGCATGAATGTTGCTATGGAAACCATGTATGCCAAATCGAGGATCACTTCTCCGCCCTAGAAATGGATGGTGTTCAATGGCGCACGGATGCAACCCCTTTTCACGTAGCCAATTACTTGTACGTATATATCAGCAATCGATGATGGGAATGGAAAGGAGTGGATGGATGGATGAGGAGATGACAACATATCGATGGATGAATTATGGATGATGCAGCAATCGGATGGATGGTTTCTGATACGACGACAACCTTTGCATTTTCAACATGCCCATCGACGACACATGCCAACATGGAAATGGGGAGAAATGGAAAGCTGAGAGAGAGAATGCGATCCCAATGCTCGAATGAATACAGTCTTTCTGACGAATGTGCCGTGTTTCTTTTGCATTTTGCGTCTTAGTTCTTGTCCAACATGGCTTCTCACAAGATCACCAAAGTTGCTGGTGCACAGCCTACCACCGAATTCGAGCTCACTGTTGCCCAAGCTCTTGTTGACTTGGAGAACAACGTTCCCGAGTTGAAGAAGGATCTTCGTCCTCTCCAAATCACTGCTGCTAAGGAGGTGAGGAGGCTGATTAAAAGAGATTGGGATATGGTATTGATGATCATGATGATGATAGGTTGAGATTGGCAACGGCAAGAAGGCTGTCATTATCTTTGTTCCCGTTCCTGCTCAAAAGGCTTGGGCCAAGATCCAAGCTCGTGTTACTCGTGAGCTTGAAAAGAAGTTCTCGGATCGTCATGTTGTCTTTGTCGCCCAACGTCGTGTCCTTCCTGTTCCAAGCCGTCGTTCCAACCCCAAGCAACCTCGTCCCAGATCTCGTACTTTGACCGCTGTTCACGATGCCATCCTTGAAGACCTTGCTTCTCCTTCCGAAATCGTTGCCAAGCGCACTCGTGTTGCCGTTGATGGTTCAAAGCTCATCCGCATGTAAGTAATGTGCATTGGTTTTCCCGGTTATCTCTTTTCCTTGCATCCTATTTGTGCACATTGGTCCGTGTGTTACCACGTTACTGAGTGTCAATGCGCATGTCGCGTTTGTAATTTTAGTTTCCTCGATGCAAAGGACGCTACCTCCCTCGAGTACAAGTTGGATACTTTCTCTGCCGTCTACAAGAAGCTCACTGGCAAGGCTGTTGCTTTCGAATTTGCTCCCACTGCTGAAGTCTTTTAAGCATAGTAGTCAAATATTTAATAGAGTGATTGTGTGTTAAAAAAAGTCATGTAACATATCTATCTATGAGACCAAAAGCGAACCATTTCCCGCTGGATCCGATCTCGATGGGATCTGAGTGTCATTGTTTGTGTTTCCCGAAACAGGTGAAACAAGTTGAGTGGTGATGAGTAGAAAAAAAGAAACATTTATGCCGTGACCCCGTTGTAGATCTGCTTGTTTCTTTTTTACCCTTTCCCTTTCATTCCACAAACACGCACACACACACACACAAATAAGCACACTTTTCCCTATAATGGATTATCATCAATCTCCACATCCACATCCCCATCGTCATCATCATCACCATTATCGTCGTCAACTCTTTGACCATTTTCATACGCACAATGAAAAAAGCGAGAAGCCACCTTTTGATCTCCCAAAGGTGACCGTGACCGATACCTCCAAAGTTGATATTAAGGATCCAGTGGAAGCACAATCATTTCAAGACTTGAACAAGGTCGATGCTCAAGACGCAGCTGTTCCACCCGCCGAGATTGTGAACCCGGAGCCTGTTCAAAACGTGATGGATAAGCAAGACCCCATGTATTATAAGGGAGCTGAATTGCTTGAAGAAGACATGGAAAAGCAACAACAAAAACTAAATCAACAACAACAACAAGACGATGAAGAAGAAGTATCTCGCATTTCTGAAGAGCTCAAGCGAACAACAGAGCAAAACAAGCACATTCCATACATCGAGCCACAACCTGAGGCGCCCAAAAAGAAAAAGAAGCACCCTCACTTAGGATTTGATGAGCCTGTTATGCGTATCCTCCCTGATCGTGTGGTGATTACACAGCTTTATGGACATCAGCCTGTGAGTGAAATGCAACAAGCCAAACGCAAGCCACGTGTGTATATGGTCGCATGCGACTTTAGTTCTGAAAGTGTAAACGCTATCGAGTGGACCATGGGCACCATGATGCGTGATCGAGACGAGGTTCATGTTATCGCCGTGGTTCCACCGGATGATTCTTCCTCGCAAAAAGCAAGCCCTGCAAATCAAGTATGTCTTTTTTGGATCATCATCATCATAATGCCCAACATCCATTACTAATCATCTTCTACAATATAGCTGCAAGGCACTTCTATTTCTCTTTGTGACAAGGCACGAGACATCTTGAAGCATATGCTATTGTATGACATCAAAATGGTCGTGCATGCTATTCGTGGTCATGTGAAAGAAGTTTTGATTTCTATGGTAACGTACATTACAAGCAAAAGGGGTACATGTAATGCTTACCTACATGTACGATAGATCTATGAATTGCCGTTGACAATGGTTGTATGTGGCTCTCGAGGCCGAAGTGGAATGAAAGGGTAACGTCGACATTCTTTAATCCTATGCCCTAAGGATCGAATGACTCATAGCACTACTTTATGATAGTTTACTGGTGGGCTCTATATCCAACTACCTCATCCAAAAGTCGCCTGTTCCCGTATCAGTGATTCGTCAGCCGAAAAAGAAGTCTAAGGTGAAAAAGAACAAGGCCGCACATGCAGCACCTCTCAGTGAAAGTAAGATTGTTATCTCCAAGGAATCCATATACAGCAGCAGCTGATACTTTATTATCATAGGTGTTAGAACAGGACAACTCGTGGTGGATGAGCTCGGTAGCAAATCGAAACACGAGCGGTGAATCTTTTAGCGATAGCGATTTTTCTTTTCTTGCATACCATATCCATTGGCTTCCTACTTACCATTTGCATCATACACATTTTCCATCATCTCATACGCACACATGAATACATCATTATTACCAAAACCTCACTTTTTGTCGCTACCACCTCATGGATTGAAGTGCTATCTATGTCGATAAAAGTTTGTCATATTATCTCAAAGCTGGGTCTGTGCGTTCCGATAGCTGTGCAACGTGATACACGATATCCAAGTTTTACCCGAGAAATGCCAGTGATTGTTGATCTTGTAATCAGCCAGACACCCAGCGGTGTACTTATTTACATTGTTCGATGAAAGGGAAAAGATTGGAATGAAAATGAGAGAATGCTATACACAAAGAAAAGAGGAGGGCAAAATGGGAATGGGTGATAAAGAAATCAAAAACAAGAAAAGGCACAAGATGGAGAGATATCTATACCCAGTCATCCTCGTCGTCTTCATCCGAGAAAAGTGAGGATGCAACAGTGCGACGACTGGCAATACTGGCAGCATCATCACGAACGTAGCTGAAACCTTTGAATGCTGATTGACTCAATGGCGATGACCTTGATGTACCAGCAGCTGTTTTGATTAAGAAGGAAGGAGCATGCTTCATATTGCTGCTTGTATTGTTGGGTTGTTGTTGGTTGGCAAGTACAGGCTTGAAAGGTGGTCTCACTTGTTTGTTGGCGATCAAGTCCCATTGAACGTCTTTGAAAAATGGATGTTGTTTGATCTCCTCTGCACCAGGACGTGTATCGGGATTACGATCAAGAAGGCGTGTAATGAGATCCTTGGCTTCTAATGATACGCTGGGATGAGAAGGGAACTTGAGAGGAGCGTTGCAGATTCGACGATAGAGGATATCGAGATGGACCGAATGGAAAGGTGGACCACCAGTAAGTAATTCGTATAGTAGAATACCCAAACTCCACCAGTCAATAGCTTGTGTATATGGCTCTTGACGCACCATTTCAGGTGCAAGGTATTCTGATGTGCCACAAAACGTCATTGTTGTATCATTGTCACGTTTGAGCTCTTTGCATAATCCGAAATCGGTCAAAGCAACATGTCCTTGTGCATCAAGTAGGATGTTTTCGGGCTTGAGATCACGATAGACCACCTGATGCTTATGGATGTGCTCCAATGCGCATATTAACTCTGCCACGTAGAATCGAGCTCGCTCCTCATTGAGATATTGCTCTCTTTGCAAATACGAGAATAGTTCGCCTCCAGGGATATAATCCATTACCAGAAATAGATGATCGGATGTTTGAAAACTGAACTTGAGCGTGACAATGAATGGGTTGGACAAGGTGCGGATCATAACATTGCGTTCCGAAATGGTGTGCGTCACCTCATTTTGAGAAATCAACAATCGTTTTGAAAGAACTTTCATTGCATACGTCCGCTTGGTATCTCGCTTCACCACCTGGTAAACCTTTCCAAATGATCCATGTCCCAAAAGCCGTACAATACGAAACATGTCAGGGGTCAACTTGGTCTATATACGAAGGTGTGAATGAGCATCCAGCCTATGGCTATGAGAGATAGCGGATCACTTACGGGTGCAACGGATGTGTACTGTGTCTGCAATCGAATTTCGCCTGTCACTTTGCCGTCAAACTCCTGTGATGCTTCATCCGCTCGAGATACAAGGCGATACCAATGATCAACCATCTTTTTTGGTGTCAGGCACGGCTTCAAGATTGCTTGACCAAGGAAGCGATCATCGCCATTAGCCAGTCGATTGCCACGATCGTAAACTTGGATAATGAGCTCATCATCATCATTGCATACATCACTATCATACATAATCAGCACATGCATATAACATAAATAAGAGAGTATACATACAAGTTTGCATTGTAACGCCATTTTGGACAACTCGCTTCCATGGCCAACTGGAATATATCCAAATGTCGCCCTGATGTCGATGCATTGGGTATGGGAATAGGTTGCCCTGGAGAACTGTCATTATCATCGCCACCCAATGCTGGTAAATCAATAGTGGACATGACGTTTTTATCATATTGAACAAGGCCGTAGATATCAGCTTTGGTGGGATCAAGCACTGTCAAGTTGCGAGCCTCTGTCAAGTTGATCCACAATCGACCCTGTGCCTGCTCTGGTGCTGGTGGCAAAATGGAATCGTGGCTCGTTGACGATGCTGCATTGTCATCGGTTGCAGATTTGGTTGTCGTCGTTGTTGTTGTTGTTGCTGCTGCTGTTGTACTATTGTTGTTGCCGATCAGAGCTTGGCTGAGAGAAGCAAGTGACAAAGAGGAGCGTGCATATCGTAACGTATCGCCAAGGTTACCAAGCCTATCCGTCAAATTGACAGAAGAGGATAATCTAGGTGCCGCGTGTAGACCCAAATTCTTTATCAGGGTGTCTGCAAAATCTGCCATAGCTGCTGTTGTATATCGATACAGTTTAAAGGATCATAAACAGGATTGAAGGACCTCGGAAGCACATTAAAAGAGGGAAGATCACCGAGGTAAATGAAACAAAAGAGAAAAAAGAATCAAGGATATATAATCTGACTTGTCACTAAAAAAAACCAAGTCGATCAATGAGAATCCCTTCTTTTGCTCTTTGTTGGGGAAGTGGTGCCCCAGCAAGTTGCATACATCAAAGCTCTCATTGGACCCATTTTGCGGGGTTCACCCCATCCGCCATCGTACTTTTTCCCCACAGCAACCTTGTTCGCTTTTTATTGCTTGCTTCTGCTCCAAGATGCGATGGGTTGAAGGTACTATTACACACACAAGCTATTCCTTGACATGGATATAGGATCAATATTCATCCTGTGTTGCCATTGTACAACAATCCAAGTATCCCGAATCATTTCCAGCAATGACGCCTTTACATTGACACAATTACTCTTCCTCTTTACTTGATTCATTCTTCAATTTGATTATCCTCTCTATCATTCGTTAACCTGAAGATCTAAAATAAAAAAGGAGAGATGACTCTTTAGTGATACGTGCGTTTGGTCCCTTGTTACGGTGCCCATGCTTGGTGAGAAAGTTCCCCTTTTGCATCTGGGTCCCAAAAACATGCGATCCGACATACCTCCGATGTAGTGAGCCTATTGCGGACGGACCAATTGAGCATTCCTTGTATTAACGGTCTCGCGTACGGCACGGCTAACAAGTTTGCATATGCTTGACGTTGTGCCGATATCATTGCCATCAGATCAGCGTATTCTGAAGAGTCGTCTTCTTCAGATATTATATCATCGTCGTCATCGCAATGGCTGCTGCCACTGTCGTGGTCGGCAGGGTCACCGAAGAATATAAGCTTGTCAGCATCAGGGTATCGACACATTTCCTAAATGATGATGCTTTTAAGTTTAACTCTCCAGCAGGGTAATGGAAGTAATAGCATAGATACCTCATCCAACACAACGGTGGGTGGTGGCCCCAAAATCCTCACAATTTGGCCGATTTGTTCAATATCGCTTTCACCAGTAAACAAAGGGTCTCCACGTAATAGATGACAAAAGATGCTTCCAAGTGACCATATATCTGTTGATGGAGCGTATAGCCGACTTCCAAAAAGATGCTCGGGTGCTTTGTAGATCCTGAATTGGGACATCAACATTAGTAGCCTTCCCTATATTTTGATCCCGTTTCGCAACATACAATGTACCAATCTCTTCATTGTCTTGCTCTTCCATGTCGTTGCTGGGTGCTGAATCATCCGTGACATGCTGCATTATGAAATGTGCACAACCAAAATCCGCAATGACCATATGATTGTTGTTTGTCGAGTCAACAAGTACGTTCGATGGACTTAGGTCGCAATGGATGATGCCCTGGTTATGCAAGAAATCCAATCCTTGTGCCAACTGATACACTGCATTGAAAGCAAATCCTTGATCGCAGCCACTGACAAAGTCCAAGAGCGTCTTGTCGTAAAAAGGAAACAGTAGGTTGCATTCTGAAGCGTTCTTTTGTACGTCCAATAGGTAAATGACCTGTAGAGAGTGGAATGAATGAGCAAGATTGAGGAGAGTAGCGCGTCTCATGTTCCTATTACATGGTGTTCCCAAGCATGGCGTTCTGAATTGGCGCGAATGGCACGCAACGCTCGAAGTTCTCGTTCGCAATGTCTCTTGACAAGCCTGCCATGTTGAGCCTTGTACGATTTCGCGGCTACTACTCGGTGGTGGAGCAAAGACTTTTCGACTGTGGCAAATACACCTGCGGCCATCAATGCATGAAAGAAAGGAGTCCCATTGGCATGTTTTGGTCACACAAATTATAGTCCCATGTTGCCACCCAACAATTATCCCGTTGCTTAGCAACGCATGATGAAATAAAAAGACCATCTCGGCCATCAAAAGAGCAACACACGCACACAAGGTGTTATAGATAACAACAAGTTGATACATTTATGATTTGGATATGCATGTTCATCTACGTAATTTACGATTACACTACTTTTTGCCCTCATCTCTATAAACCATTTGCCCCTCCTCCATCCACGCTGATACATCATAACAACAGCCAACAAAACAATTTGGGTGGGATGACTCCTGCCGCCTATCCCTAGACAAGTGTGTATCTTTATTCACTCTACTCCTTGTAGCTGTAGTACGACTCGCGTACACCTAGCCAAACAAGGGAAGAAGAGCGTCGAGGATGGGTTTTGTTTACTCGTCTTGCTCAAGAACATTGCGTTCAGAGACGTAGATACCATCCAAAAACTTTCGAATATCCTTGTTTCTGACACGGCATGTTTGTTGAATATCGGCAGCTATACATGCAAATGTTATTTCCCATACTCTTCTCATTGATCCCATCCACCATCTCATCATCCTTCACTTACCAGATTGGGAGACATTTTCTAAATCATTACCGGTGATAAGCAACTCATCCTTTTGCGACTTGGATGCCTCGCAGTGAACACCTTCGCGCATCTTGACTTGGAAAGCCACCTTTTGGCCCAAAAAGTTGCGGATCTCGACAGCGTCGTTGGTACCGTTGACAATAACGTTGATGGGAAAGTGAGCATATACATAACGCATCTTGTATTGGAAACCCTTGGTGACACCAGTGATCATGTTGTTGATAATAGAGCGGACGGTACGAATAGCAGCGACATGCTTGCGAGCACCATGGTAGACAGAGAACTGGAGCTTGTTCTTGGCAACAAGCTTGATTTCAATGTTCAAATGGCGGAGGTTCTTGGTGAGCTTGCCACGAGGTCCTTCGACATTGATGATACGCGATTGGATTTTGACAGAGACGTTGTCAGGGACAATAAGTTCATCAGACTTTTGGATATCTTTCATGTTCTAATAATGGATGAATAAATATCATGGATGAATCATTTGGATGCTTATACACTTACAAATGGATGCTATAATACAAGAGATGGATGGATGGATGAAGAAAGGATGGATCCCAGGTGTTGGTTGCTTTGGCAACCTATCAATTTTCGGAGCTCAGTTGCCGGGCAACAGCGACTCAGGACGCACACACACACGCACACACACACGCACACGCGATCACTGAAACACTTGCGTTGCATTGATCGTCATTTGTGCAGCTTGCTTAGCAGCGTATGCAAATGGTACATAATGCATCATTTATGCTCGTGCTTGCTTGAGCATACGTTTCTTTAAAGTTTATCATGAAAGAAAATCACACCTAGGCGCTTGATGCAATACTTGCATCCACCAGCATGTCACGTCGTCGTCAGCTGGAATCTGAGGAATCATTATCCCAACCTAATGAGATAACATTGCTGCATAAAGACATGGTAACTATATTCACAAAGACATCACGACGATGTTGTATATCATAACGACGGTAAGGTAGTGGGTAGGATAACATGACAATGAAAAGATGTCGTTTGGTCAGCAAAAGACCTCGTGTGATCTTTATCTCTCGGAGTGGTGTGCCACACAGCGCATAAAAGGGCCCTGTTCTTGTTTACATCATACAATGTGTCACAAGCTTCTTTTTCCTCGCACATGGATTATGATTGTGGGTGCGACTGGTTAATACAAACGTTTCAATTCCATCATTGGCTAGTCGCGACAGCACCACCTATGTCGATCTCGGATGAAATAAAGTCATGAAAAGGTAACTTTATCAATCAGCCATTATTACTTGCTTCGAACGTGTAGCAAAACTTAATGTGGATATACAATGAACTTTGCAATACAAGCCTGTTTATGAGGAATCTACCAAACAAAGAAAAGGAGATACATGCACGTAGCTGGCAAACGGGATGTTGTTGTGTGGCTGAGGAAGCTAATGCATGGTAGATAACGCTTAACGGCTTTCCCAACAAGAATGCATATTCCCAGTGATGCGAGAAAGTGAACGACATTGACTTTTAATCATGTCCATATCGGTAGTAAGCTTTTGCTGCTTGATGGTCACTCAATGGCAGCCTTTTTTATGAATACAGTGCATCATCATCATCCATAGTAAAACTAAGCTGAGCTACAAGGGAATTACAGAACTTGAAAAGCAGAATTCTCCCACGAGAACAAAGAAGACAAAGGTTGTAAGGGAACAATCACTCAGGCAGAATGAAAAATGGAGTAATTTTGGTTTGCTTTAGAAGGTCGGGAATCCCCCACAAGGGAAAGTGATGCGACACACAATTGCTATCCAGCACCTCCCAACACAGGAACATACATATACACACACACAGCTTCATGATGCGTCAATGTACAACGTATGCACCTGTCGTGTGGCCCAAGCCCTGGCTGAACATATTTAAATCAGGCGAAAGGAACGTACCTTTTTTTTTCCTTTCCCCTCTTCCCCTTTTCCAACTTTTATTGTGGTGTTACGCTTGTCACTCATACGTTTATACGTCTTGGTCATATCACTCATGCCGTTATAAACCGGTTATATTTAGCCGTGAATAGCAAAATACAAGCAACAAATACACGCTGTATCAGATCCCTGCTGTGGTATTTACTACAACGCACGAAGATATCATCCTCTGATATATGACAATGACAGCACATTCATCAGCTACGTTTTTAAAGCAACAATCCACCCTTTCAAAAGAATCTCGATCCATGGATGACCAGGTATCCATTATACACGGCGATTTCCGACACGGAAGTACGACATTAGATATACCCATGGTGGGTGATAGTAGGGGCAATTCAACACAACAAAAACAACAACAACAACGCCCTGAAGGAACATCCTCCTTTTCCTCTATTTCCACTGAAGGGACTAGCACATCTCCTGAAAACAGTCTTTGTCATGTCGTCTCTGCACCCATTGTAGCTAGACCCCATCAACAACACTCAACACGCACTTCAGTCAGCAGCGACCATGGCATGTTGTTCACACCCAATATGACAGCTGTTCGACCCCATTCTGAAATCATCCTCCCTCATCATCATCACCATCTCCATCATCACCAACAACGACCATGGAAACGTAAAAGCAGCAGTAGTTCATTCTTTTTTACTCGACTCTTGAGACGTTGGTCATATCATACTAGCAACGATATTCAACTAGTGGGAAACCATCGTTATGTCGGTCGCTTGGCTGAGCGATATGGTGATTACGTTAAACCGGATCGACGTGGATCAACGACACATAAGAGTATGGGTGCAACGTCTCGAAAGAATATCGCCAGTGGAGCAACAGCCGTCATTCGTCTTGTGCGTTCGTTGAATGGCGATAGTATACTCGCTGTCAAAGAATTCAAGAGGCGTGAAAAGGACGAGAATGTCAAGGAATACATGAAGCGCATGCACAATGAGTATTGCATCAGCAAGACGGTATCCAATCATCGCAATGTCGTCAAGACCATCGACCTGGTACTTGATGAGCAGAATCGTTGGTGTACTATCATGGAATATGTGAGCTACTCTTTCTTTCTTTTGTACTCTTTGCAAGGGAACTGACAACAATGGAAATTACAGTGTTCTGGAGGCGACCTTTTTACATTGCTGAGAGAAAGGGCAACACCGATACCAGTTATGGAACAAGCTTGTTTATTCAAACAGCTCTTGCTTGGTCTTCAACATTTGCACCAACATGGTATCGCCCATCGAGATATCAAACCTGAAAACCTCATTCTCACGGCTGGTGGTACATTGAAAATAGCCGATTTTGGTACATCGACTGTGATGCGTAACGTATTCAAGCGCCATCAAGTGCAACCCTGTAGCCAATGGTGTGGTTCATCCGAGTTCTGGTCACCCGAGATATGGACTCTGAAACATCAACAGCAGCGATATGATGGCCAAGCACTTGATGTTTGGAGTGCTGGTATCACATTCTTTTGCATGCGATTTGGAAAACTTCCTTTCAGGGCAGCCTTTTATCATGATCCCAAGACACGACAATCAACTCCGTTGCCAAGCGACGCCCAATCTACATCACCCGCTTATGTATCTGCCACGGCAACCGATGGTGGTGATCCAGCATTTGGACTCTATTATTATCAGCGGCAAACTCAGGGACCGATGAATTGCGATCTTTGGGAAGGCATGATTGATTCAACAACAACACCAGGTGCGAGTGATCTTCCTCAGCAGTCGACGACTTGTACTTTATCTGAAAAGGAATGCGAATGTATAGCTGGGATGCTAGATCCACACCCCATCACCCGCTGGACGGTCGATCAAGCACTCGCTTCTTCATGGATGTCAACTGACATTGAAATGTGTAACGATGGTGCATTGCCCAATGGATGGCGGCATTATCATTGCATTCCACCAAGCACAACTTCCAATATTCAGTAATTATGAAAGACTCTTCTTACTTGTAGATAGTAAAATGGTTAATAGGTAGAGGTTGTAGTTTGACATCCCTATCATCAGCCAAAGTAAAAGAATTATGCAACAAGAATCCGAAACACACACATGATTGATGATGCATGATGCGTGTAACATGAATTTTCTATCACTAGCTGCATACAACAGAAGTTGTCAAGGTACATGTTCCCTATTCCAGCATTACGTCCATAAAACAATCTCATTGAATTGCTCTTATGATCCTAAAGGATCGACCAGCAAAAACTCTTGCTTCTTGAGCGTCCATCATACACACAATCTACTACAAGGCATCATCATCCTTATGCATCATCTCTTGCCGTACACAATGTTTCGAGACATAGGGAATCGATTATTTCCTTTATCACACCATTTACAAGTAGACATGCTACTTCTATTACAATCCTGTATAAATCTCTCTATAATACAATGCATCAAACGCCTACACACAACGAAGTCCAACGTAGGAGAAAAGACGGTCTTATAGAAGCTTAGGCATTGTTGGCCAGCGCAATCCAGTATTCTTTAAGTAATCCTTTTATCCAACATCATTCATAAATTATAGATTGAAAGGTACAACATCAATTTGCTCGTTTGGGGGATACATCGATTGGAAAGTCTCTATCCTTTGGGCGTGCATTTGCAAAGGTGAATGGATGGATGTGAGGTGGCGAATCATATACATGGCGTGTCAAAACATGGAGGTGGATGTTGATGGTGGTTGATAGGCTGCACAAAGGATGATGATAGTGATTGCCGCCATGGAATAGGGTGTGAAGTGCGATAAGAAGATACACTAATTGTTCAGGATGGTAGCATACTGGATACATAAGAAAAAATCTCTTTCTCCACGCGTTGTATACATCCAGATCCTTGCATCCCATGTACATACCAAAGCAATATTCAGATCCATATCCACATCCATAATAATCGTATGTATTGAAGCACGTTGCTAAATACAGCTGCTTCTATACCATGGCCATCTGCTGTTCACGTGAACAAGGCTGTAAGGCAAGCTGCTGCAAGTAAAGAACGCTGTTTGAGACAATGGGATAAAGACATTGCTAATAGCAATTGCTGGAGTGAATGCTGTTACGATTGATAGTGGTAGAAGAGTGTACAAGAGATGTAGTGAAACGCGGGGTGTTGTCGTGGGGTGTACGCGCCATGTACTTGCCATTCAGTCAAAGACAATCGGATCAAGGCAATTGTAGGATTGACATGATGGGTTGAAGCAGCGCAATCGTTCGCAGGTGGTAGTTGTATGTACTGAATGGGGCAATAGTTGAGTATGGGAGGAAGAGATAATGAGTCGGGAGTGGAAGAAGTGGAAATTAAATAGGTCGGACACCTCTTGTATAAATGCATGAACACTGTACATCAATACTTTGATATTGAGATTGCCCCTCTCGAACCTAAAACTTTCACACAAGGTGCTCTCGGGCATGCTTATCAACTTCATTCATTTGAAAGTCGCAGACTTCATTGTGAAGATTCAAAATGCGGGGCGATCCAAATGGTGGATGATGGGATCAAAAGAGCGGACGGCCCACCGCCCCGAAGTTGCCCACCTCCAACTTGAAAATTAGTCAGCAGGGTGCTCTCGAGCGTGCTGATCAACTTTTTCTAATAAAAACTTCGTGCTTCATTTGAAAATTTGGAATGAGAGCGTCCCAAAGTTTGAAAGACGGAGACATTCGCAGGGTCTGCCTTTCAAGAATTGGCAGGTTCGCTGTTCCAGCGTAGCTCAGCCAAATCGGCTCGGATCAAGGAACTTGAATGATGGAAATGCTCGGCTGGAGCAGGAGAATCTTTCACATGCAAGGGATTTTGCAACAATGCTGATTGTGAGGAAGTGGCTATTAGCTGCCAATGATGAGCTGGTACTGAATATCATACATTGCCCCTTCAAGTCTTGCATAATGAGCTGAGTTACACAAACACGTCTTCTGCATCTTTTACTCTATTATAGTCATACTACTTTACATTAAACAAAGACCACTTCTCATATAGCATCACGCTTACAGCATACGTAAAACATAAAGGTGCCTGTATCTCTAAACTTTACAATCAAACGTGGGGTCTTTAATAGAACCTTGTTGCTCGGCGGGGTGAAAGCGATCTTGTGTCAAACTATGAAGTCCATCGTGGCCAATCCCAGATTTCGCAATGTCGCCACCAGCCAAACTGGATCTGGGGGTCGACCTCTTCGACGACGACGACCAAAAAATATTTTTTGGGTTGGTTGCGACATTGAACGCGAAACTTTCACACAAGGTGCAGTTGGCCAAGCCGAGCCCATTGCTCTAATAAAAACCCCACGTTTCATTGTAAAGTTTGGAGATACAGGCACCTTTATGTTTGTAAGCGTGTTGCTATATGAGAAGTGGTCTTTGTTCATTGTGAAGTAGCTAGACCTTGATAGAACCAAAGATCCAGAGATTTGTGTGTGTGACAAGACCGATCGCGCATGACTTTCCTATTGGTGAAGATTGCATGATGTTCCTTTCCCTGCCTGCCTATAGTAAGGTCGACCTGTGATAGGCCGTATGCAATGGTTCGTTCTTGTATAAAGTTGCATAAGATAGCGTTAGTTGAAAATTGTCATAGGTAAGAATGGTATGTTCATGTTCGTGCTACATTGTACCACTGCTCACTCTTTTTTCTTGAACATGATTAAGCTTACAATGATAACCGAGCTCATGTATAACAAGCACTACATGTTGCCAATCATCATTCTCGAATCTATTATCTTTTCAATGCAGGCGTTCGAGAACCGCAGCTCTCTTCCGTCTATCAGCATGTGAACTAGAAAGCTTTAGCAAATGTACGTAATAATGCTGTGATAGAAGAACAAAGGTATCTTCCCGCTCAGATGGTATAAATGATCCAATATTCGCTTTCCAACCTTCAAAGAAACCAACCAAACTAAATGATCCACATCTTGCACATGTGAGCTGATAGCACGATGCTCTAAGTATTACGTTGAAATCCAGTGTTTATTCAATTAGAGTTGAAGATAAAGACACGATAAGTATGGAGGTTTATCAGGTAAATAGGGTGAAGGAGTAGCATTGCACATTGAATAAGATACGAATGAGTCACATAGAGCCAACGGGCATCATTGCGCCACTGTATTCTTGGTTGGTGGCATCATCATCGTTATCATCCATGATCCATAAACAGCTGCTGCGTGATTTGTCTCGAGTATTCCAATATCAATCCATGGCAACCAACCATCCTTCGTCAAAGATAAAAGCCCTCTAGTCGATACCATCCAAGTTCACCATCATCTTCAGCCGTATCCACATGACATGATCCACCCTTCCTGCTGACGGCATGCCAAGTAACCAAGGCAACATCTCAAGATTTCTCATCACCGTACTTGATTGCATCCATTCACTATAATCATTACAAGTCCAACATGTTGAGCAAAAGAGCCATGCGGTCATTGCAAATATGCATTCCCTTTTCCATCCAGCTGTTGATCAATCACTTGCTTGTCCCTTTCTCTCACAGCTCAATCAGGTGAAGACTGCTTGTATTGCGGCGTAGTTGATGGCTGACATGGCATCATCCAAACTCTAACTGGGCCCAAGGAACCAAGCTGGTCAATATGCCCTTCCTTCCATCCCATGTATCAAGGCAATATCCATATCCATATCCACATCCATAGCAAGGTCGTATGTATTGAAGCAAGTTGCTACACGTAAATAAAGTTGCTTCTATATGATGGCTATTTGCTGCTCACGTAGTAAAGGTTGTAAGGAGGTTGTAGCAAGTAGAGAATGCTGTTTGAGATAATCGAGTAGAAACGTTGCTGATAGCAACCGCTGTAATGACGCTGTCATGCTTGGTCGTGGTAGAGGAGTGCGCAAGAGAAGGTGTAGTGTCAAAGAAACGCGTGCGTGCAGTAGTGTGTATACGCCATGGAACTTGCCATTCAGTCGAAGTCTTTCGGATCATAGCAATCGTAGGCTTTATATGATGGGTTGAAGCAGGACGATCGTTCACATGAGGCTGTTGTCCTTGCATCGGTAACAGTTGATAATGTCGACTACTGCATTGGCGATAAAAAAAACAACTCTTCAAGTCGACAATCGCAACGAACGGAACAGCCCTTCGCCTCACAATGTTACTTGTTCACCCAATATCGACGTTCATATATGTGTTGTGTGTCTCTCATGGATGCTTTCCCTTGGTGTTGCCTTGGCTGGTTCCGCGTCAAGAAGCAGTAAAGGAAGGTGGTGGTCGCTGGACGGTGCTGGATTGTTGTTGGCCTTTCTTCTAATCCTGAGCTTGAAATTGAACTGCATGACTCTACACCTTTTCACGTCCTTACCCTTCCCACAGCCCAAAAAACACCGTTTTTTCGTGCTATACAGGTTTGCTACTTCATCTTCCTGATCTATGTATCATAATTTTGGTGATTGTCTTAATGAAATAAGCGTTTTTCGCTATATTAGGAAATTTTTTGGGTTGCCAAGTTTTTTCAACATTTCCAAAAATAAGGTTTCGTGATGTAATGGTTAGCATATGAGACTCTGAATCTCATTATCCGAGTTCGAATCTCGGCGAGACCTTTTTGCATGCCGAGAAGCAGAGGGTAAATTTTTTACCTGTCGTATATCCTTTTGCGTCGTCTGGCGGTATGGCACCGTAGCCAGGGATGTAAACACCTCTTTACAACTACCCGCTCAATATAGACAAGAACTATGATTCACCGGATCAAAAGCTAAAGATTTATTCTCGGCGTTGCAGCAGCCTTTTATAAAGGCTGCTCAGCACCGCAGCATGTGCAACATTACAAATCTAAAATATCATCCGACATACCGATGTTTGCGTTTTTTGAAGCTGTTGCTGACGCTCATCATGTTAGAGGATCTATAGAGTATAGACAGATTGCATGCTGTTTGGGATATAGAAAAAAGCTGTTTTTGGAAGTTTTATGTATGTTGTGGAGGATTACAATGTATTTGTTGCTGTGTGATTGACAAACGTCACGTGACACGTGAAGAGTAGTAACGAGGTAAGATAAACGTTTACTTGTATTAGGCGCTTCATATACATAATACGTGCTCTTTGAATTGGAATACCTTTCTACAATAGACAAAGAAGGAGATATGGAAGTTTTATTATCATGCAATATGATGAGAGAGGGATTGCTATCAGCTTAATTATTTCCATCCAATGCTTCATCACCAGTGTATTTGCCGACGGCATTGATGCTGACGAACTTGAAAGCTGGGCCTTGACCTCTTAGTCGCAAAATACCATCTTGCCCATCGACACCAATCAATGCACCAATACCACCACGGTGTTGACCCAGCAACACTTTGACGGGATCCTTCTTGCTCGGCCTTACAGGTTCCATTTTGGTGAAGGGGATATGTTCTTGTGCACCACCTTCATTCATCCTAACGGTACACGTCCTTCCATTATGATCGACCGAAATAATGGATGCCAATTGTCCTTTTTGTCCTGATCCATGAGATGATGTAAGCTTGACTTCAATATCTTCAATTGGCCAGTCATCGCTATCTTCATCTAATAACAACATTCCTATCAGCAATCTTCTTCTATTTCATTATACCATCATACTTACTTTGATCATCAACAGTACCATAATCACCACCTGCAGGGACAAATGGCGTTTGAGGTTGTACAGTTCCTGCTGGAGTAGATGGGATGTATCCACCAGGAGTTGGTGCACTAAGCATATGAGCTGCTGGTGTTGGAGCATTCACTGCCGCTGGTGTAGCCGGTGCTAGATTTACACCTGGAGTAGGTGCGCCATCATAAGGTGTAGGTGCGCTGTCGTAGGGTGTTTGTGGATAGTTAGCTCCAGGAGTTTGTGGATAGGGTGCTGGTGATGGTGCAACATTATTGGATGATGCCTAATAACAAAAGTACATTTAAAAAGTGATTCCAAATGCTTGAAAGATCCAAGTACACTTACTGCTGGTGTGGATGGGGCCAATGTATGAGGTGCAGGTGTTGGTGCAGTTTCTCTGTCATCGTATCGACTGCTCCATGTGGGTGATTTGTTGCCATAATCATTATATCCTGGTGTTCGACCACCTGAAGAGCTCCAACGTGGTGTCTCAGCTTTCCATGAAGGTGTCTTGCTACCCGAATCCCATGCAGGTGTCTTTGAACCATCTGCATATGAAGAAGATGCATATGGATTTGGTGTCTTGGCTCCTGCATCCCATGCTGAACTTCTTGAATTGTCTGATGAATAAGGATTGGGCGTGCGGTTGTTCATACCCCAAGCTGGAGTTTGTGCACCTGAAGCCAAATGTCGTGGAGTTCTGGATCCATCGCTGTAATGTCTTGGAGTCATTGCACCATCGCCATAACGTTTTGGTGTAGCCATTGGACGTGGTGCTGCAAAATCAGATGCTCCTCGGGTATCACTAACAACAGGACCAAGCGTACCACCATTGCCATCGACAAGCACAAGCTTTGTTTTATCAACATTGACAACTTTGCAGTTGGTGTGTAACTCGACACGGGCCATTGTATCAGTGGAATCTTTGACAATGCCAATGTATCCCTTGTGGGGTCCTTGTGTGATGCGGACAGTCTTGGATACTAAATGATCACGTCCACCTCTTCCGCCAAAGAATCCACCACGTCCACCACGTCCACGTCCACGACCATCAAATCCGCCACGGAAATTAGGTCCATTAGGTTGTTGTGTACGTTTTTGTTGTGATATCTAATAAATGCCAAATTAACATCGAATGTCATAAAGCATGATTGATTTTACTACTTACATTAGGACGTTCTTTGGCAGCTACGCTGATGACGCTTCGAGTTGGTGATATCCATACGCCATAGTCCACCATATTCTCTCGAGAATGCAAAAAGACCAAATGTCGATATACATGAAGAATAGTGCATGTGCGTCGCTCTCCTCGTGCTTCCATTACAGTTGCGCCTGCCGTTATACTGTTGCCATTCGCATCTGTGGCAATAGCTCGCTTGCTGTCGAGCTTACTTGTAATCAAATGTGGTTCCAATGTTCGAACGTCGCCATTTTGAGTGAGCACCTTGACAGAGTTCTTGTTGACTTTGATGATGACACCCACAGTATGGAAGCTATCAAGTAAAAAGTTTAAGAATGATTGCAAAAAGAATAAAGTAAAATGACACTTACTCGATTTGAACCAGATCATGCAACTCATAATTGCCCATAACGGTTTTGCCAAGCGTAACATCAGCAGCTTCTCGAAGATCCTTAGCGAACACCTGAACTTCATCCATGGATATATCGGAAAGCATCGTAACAACATTGCCATCGACCTTGACAATCATACCACTTTCATCTTTGCGTTGGCCATGGATTACTTTGACGTGGTCACCAGCATTGAACTTTTTGCGTACTTGCTTGGCTGGCAATGTCACTTGCTTAGCGTATCCACCAAAGTTGAGAGATACGACCACTGATGAATCACTGACATTGTCGATCGTTCCAACGCTGTGAATCATATCACCTTCGATGACTTCGACGGTGTCACCGGTTTGTAACAAAGACGTTGCTTGAGCATCATTGACGGATTGAAGTGAAGCAGCAGATAAATCGAGAGCACGATCGCCATCGCCACCTGAATCACCAATAAATCGAGTAATCTCTTCCAACGAGGGGCTCACATCCTCAATTTGCAATGATGACACCTTCATGTTTTTCTCCAAATATCCATCACGGAAGCTGTCAGTACCCAGGACCCAGTAAGGACCCTTCTTTTGTAAGCTGGCAATGTGACGTTTGCTGAGACGTTCTGGATTGAAGAAACGAGGAGGTGGTCGTGTTGCTGATGTTGAACCTTTCTTTCGTTTACGCTCAATCTCTTCTTCTTGAGGCTCAAGGGCAAGACGTGGTATAAGCTTGATCACAGCTGTGTCTTGTGAATCCGATACTTCAAGCACTTTGCCAAGGTCACCAGTATAGACACCACGCTTAACACGCACCCATCCGCCAACAGGAATATCAGTCTCCTTCTTTGGAATGTTGATCGAATCAACCATATCCTTGATAGGAACGAGCTGCAAGGTGGTCTGGAAGATGTTGGGAATATTGGCAATGGCCTATGTGTATACTTGGATCAGTAACAAGAATCAAACCCTCCCATCAAACACATCATTTTGTACCTGTTGAACATGGGCAAGTCTTCTCGCTTCAATATAGATGTAACCCTTCAAAGATTCTCTTGCGAAAGCTGAAAACGTTTCAAGAGGTTGGTCGCTGTATTGTCGATCGAAATAGCGTTTCATGATGCCGAGTACAATATCACGTTCTTTGCCAGGCTGTAATTATGATAGCTTAGTTACCATCATCCCCATTCAATCATATAGAATCGTCTCTCACCTTGCATTTGACAACCCAAAGGTTTGGATCAGTGACGCTTGGCAAAAGCAGCTGTTGTGGAATCTCCTCGGATGACTTGAATGCTTGTGCACGGCGACCACCATACTTTTGGGCGTAAAAAGCAGCAACTTGCTCGTCGTCCATACCCTCCATTTCACGTCGTCGTCGATCAAGGTCCAAATGACGTCGTTGCATGGCTGCTTCCGATGGGATCTCCTCAGGCTCTTCGTCGATAAAGCCATCTATTGTCGCATGTGTCAGCGTTGTGGACCTGATGTCGTTTGGATAATCAACCGACCTTCTCTTCCATATTCCTCCTCTTCTTCTTCCTCTTCTTCGTCTTCGTCGACAAGTGCCATTTCATCAATGAAGGGGTTGGCGGCTCGTTTGCGTGGTCTCTGTGATAAATTGTGTACGTTAGATCAAGCTCCATGTGTGCCTCTCCATTAATGCATACAGCTTCTTCTTCCTCGTCCTCATCTTCCTCGTCTTCGAAGTCCTCGTCTTCGTCCTCCTCATCGAAGGGAACGTCATCGTACTCGTCTTGGCGCTTCATGGTAGTGTGTGGGGGGAGAGTGAAAAAGTGTAAAGAACAACTAGACAGGCTTTTCGGAGTAGGCTTTGTGGATTTGATGTTTTAAGCCAACGGTAATCGATACGACAGGTTTCTTAAATGTGCACCGCAGCATTTTCCCATCTGATGACGGCATTGTAGAAACGCACCATTAGAAGTGATTTCCATAGGAACAACGTTGTCTTCATACTATTATCCTTATACAATTGTACATGGTACCACTAAAGAATAAAAGTGATTGATTCTCGCAACCCTTCATATAATAAAGGTGTCGTCAAGGCTTTTGATGATGATGCCTGTAAATTACCAAGTTTGTGTACATAAGATCTTGATCATGGTATTCGTTGGCATAATGGCACACGTGACACAAGCCCTCGGAACATAATCTTGGACACATCCACAAATGAAAGTAGCCATGAAAAGATGATCATGAGCCCAAAACAACCAGTATTCAACTACCCGATGCCATCTATCAAACCCTACACCAACTCGATGGTCGTGATAAGAACAGCGGAAAGTCAACAGGCGTCGTCATTGTATCAAGTATGGTGTGTCAAGGAATGCTGCATCTATATCACTGCTACCATAAAGAAGGGAAAGGCAGGTGATGTTTTTGGTTGATACAGAGCGGGCATGGTGATAGAGGACAATGACAGCAGGGGACACGGGCCATTCTTTCTTTAAAAGCCATCACGTGTCATGTCGCATTTTTGTTGTGTTGGCCATTTTGCTGAAAGGATCCATTGATGACATTAGCTTTGCTAGCTATACCTTGTAAAGGCATGTTTTCATAGGCAATTGATTTGGGGCCATCTTTCATGGCGGGTAACAACGTCCACAAGTATTCGCTCTATAGGTGTCGCTAGGTTTCGTACGAAAGATATGGAATGTGTTTACAATAATGTACATGTTATTGATATAAAAGAAGTTGGGTTGTATTGTGCATGAAATCTATGAATGGTCTAGAGTATGACAGGGGATGTAAAGTAGGCTCGTAGATAAAAAGACTACAAAGAAGCCGTATTGCGGCGCTTCATGAGGACCTTGAAGCTGTTAGATTTTACAGCTAAAGTCAAGAAACACCGGCGTTCATCAGAGTTGGCAATCTCTTCGGGTATAGCCTTAAAGTCAAACAATCGGACAAGGGTGGCAATGGATAAACGCATTTCTTGGTATGCAAATTGCTTGCCAAGGCAGTTTCTGGATCTATAACAAGAAAATAAAGCATGTTGGTATGGTATGTTCAAGCATGTCGACGACAAAGACTTACCCAGCACTAAAGGGATAGAAGGCATTTTTGTCTGCAGGCATCGATGAACCTTCGATCCAACGCTCGGGAATGAATTTGTTGGGCTCAGGCCAGTAATCAGGGTCCAAATGCACGCAATAAAAGTTGCTGTGGATAATGGTCTATAACGTTGTCATATATCAGCATCCAATTTCAGCGATGGTAAATGGTTCTTATTACTACTTACACCTTTGGGAACAAATTGCTTGCCACCAAGCACCACATCCTTGGGTGCGATACGCTCGACACCAGCCGATACAATTGTGTTCAGACGCAAGGTCTCATTGATGACAGCGTTGAGATAGGGAAGGTGCTTCAATTGCTCGTGGGTCAAATCTTTATCATCTTCCACAGGGATAGCATCAATCTCGGCACGTAGTTTCTCCATGATTTCAGGGTGCTTGAGTAATTCGACAAATGCAAAACCGGTTGTATTGCTAGTGGTCTCTGATCCAGCAACAAGGAAGAGCACGGTCTCACGTGCAATGGTATCGGCAGTAAGGCGGTCGTCAGCGTGATGGGCTTGTTGGCTATCAATCAAAATTTGAAGGATATCGTTTCGGCGAGCCTCATCGCCACCTTTCAAACGCTCCATAATGATCTTCTTCATGAACTATGTGGATCATTGACCATAATAATGAGTCATGCTGTTGATTGAATGTATACAAGCACCAACAATGAGTTACCTTCTTGAGCTCCAAGTTGGCGGATACAACACTGGTGCTGCCAACAGAATACATGGAACGCAACACACCAAGGATAGGATGGCTCATCAGCTAATACGCACAATACAATGTCAATGATGTGTCAAATATGATAGTGAGAGGCTTAATCAAGATGCTTACATAGGAGCCGGTTTGCATGTTCTTAGTAATCGCACGTGGCACGGGGTGATCACTCTTTTCAAGCATGTTAAAAGTTTCACCAAACGCTGTCTCGCCGATGATGTCAAGAGCCAAATATTGGAAAATGAGCCACATGTCCACAGTGCCATAGCCATCAGCGTTGTGAGTCTTTGCAATATCGTTATCGATTCGAGTCACCATCGCATCGTTGGTTTTCGCCATGAAGGGCTCCAACGAGTTCAGGTACTTGATTGAGAAAGCAGGAGAAACGATACGTCTCTACAACATGAGCATAAAATAAAAGCGTTAGCGTTGATAAACACAATGCCCTATATTCATTACCCTTTGTTTATGCACAGCTTTATCGATTGTGCTCAACATACTGACACCGCCCAATCCTAATAGCCATATGATAAGTAATTGGTCTTCGAGAATGATCTGGTTTCTTACTTTGCAATCGGTTGTAAGAGGGGCCTTTTGGAAAGTCATCGGTCATAAGCACTTGTTGCACCATGTCCTTGTCGGCCACTGAAATTCGATTAGGTCCAAGGCGCACCACCTTGCCATATTGCTTGTGCCATGCCATTTGTTGTTCCCACCTTAAAAGACCCATAATCAAGTTAGCGAATAAGCATCTCCTTTTCCTTGAAGACTTTTCGAGTGCTTACGATGTGCCTGGTGGGTTCTCCATCTTTCGTGAATAGTGCATGCTATAGAATTTCTGGGCAAATGGACCAGGAATACCGCTAAGGGGACCAAAGAAGGCATCATACAATTTCTACAAAGCAAGAACATGAGTGGGAGCCTTATTGTGGATCAACAAATCACACATACCGTCGAAGCGTAATAAGCTGTCAGCGTTAGAGCAGCGAGTTGGCCGGCTTCTTTCACGTCCTTGGAGTCCACCTTGCTGGCTTTGTCGATGATCTTTTCTTTTGCGTATTCAATGTTGTTAAGTATGGATTCCATGTTGGATAATGTTTGGATCAATGAAGGGTGCATCTTTTTTCTACCATGATCCACCCCCTATATATACCTGACAGGTATTAAAACTGAGAAAAGTATCGGCGCTTTATTTTGACGTGAAGCCCTGGTGTAACCGGCGATCAACGTAACATAGACAATAATAGCAATAATGCTCTCATTGTGGATTCAACATAGTGTACCAATCGGCATCGTATAATGAAACGCCAAATGCTGAACCATAACCTATTAGCTAGATGACAGCAATAGACAAGGGGCAAGCAAGGTGTAGAGCAATGGTTTTCCCGGAGCGATTAAATGAGGGTGGGAAATCCATGTATCCACGGTCCGGCGGTTTTACCTCTTCACACTCAGACACCTTGGTTTGCTGCTGCATAGTGCACTTCCGTAAGTTTTTCCTTGTGCCTCATTATCTCAAGCGTGGCACGCTTAAACAATGAAACATGGGACATTCACCAATGTACGAGGCAAAGTCGAATACCTCATGGGAAATATGGATGATCAGGATCCTTCTCGTAATACGTACATAGCTGTATCATCATTATGGTTTATGACGCAAGATTTTATTATGATAACGAGTCGCTTCTATCGCTCGTACTAGTAATTTAAGGATATAGATGACATTCTTATTCCTAAGACACGTGGATGGCTACTACAGCTCCCGACGTTTTATTTGCACCATGAAGCTGTTTTTGTGTACGCCTAATGTGATAAACGACGATCGATCTTGGGCATCTTCCAGCTCTTGTTTGGTTGCATGGAAGTCAAACATTTTGACAAGGTGTGCAATCGACAAGCGCATTTCTTGTAGCGCAAATGTCTTGCCGATACAATTACGTGAACTACATGTCTTTATCAGCCTCGTGTATCATAACATGATGATGATGGGTTCACGTGCAACAATAACAATGCTACTACTTACCCAATGCTGAAAGGAAAGAAAGCATCCATATCTGGTGGAGTGGATGATCCCTCTAGCCATCGCTCAGGGTCGAATTTTTCAGGCTCTGGCCAATAGTTCGGGTTAAGGTGTGCGTCGTACACATTACAATGAACGATCGTCTACATGAAAGTTCATAACTTTTATCAGCGAGATGATGTATGATAATGCAAAAAGGATCACTTACCCCCTTTGGAATAAAGAGTCGACCACCTAGCACCATGTCACGATCGGCACGACGTTGCAATCCATTAGCTGCTATCGAATCCATACGCAAGGTCTCGTTTATCACTGCATTCAAATATGGCAGCTTTTGGATCTGCGCATGGGTGAAGTACTTTTGATCCTCATTCATGGGTACAGCATCAATCTCATCGCGCAGCTTTTTAAAGACATGAGGGTTTTTGATGAGCTGGATGATTGCAAACCCGGTGGAATTGCTTGTTGTCTCTGATCCAGCAATCAAGAATAGCACTGTTTCTTCAGCAATCGCATTGGCTGTTAAGCTTTCATCGGCGTTTTGTTGAGTGTCGATCAAAAATTGCAAAATGTCATTGCGTCTCCCTTCTTCACCGCTCTCTATACGCCCCACGATAAGCTTTTTCATGAACTATGCATAAAGGTAACATAAGCAATGCATAATACAACGATTTCTTTTTATGAAAAGCTCACTTCTTGCAGCTGGACATTGGCTGCAATCAAACGTCTTGCAGACAATAACAACGAGAGCCGTCCAAGGAAAGGATGGGAGGCAACCTAGAGCATTATGGATGAATAATGCATGTTGGCTACTATAGGGTAGGTATGGTTGTGTTCTTACGTGTGAGGCAAGCTTCATGTTTTGGCTCACCACTTGGGGCACAAGGTGATCGCTGCCATCCAACAAATGGAATGTACCACCAAATGCAGTTTCAGCAATGATATCAAGTGCGAGGTATTGCAGCAGGATCCAGATGTCAACGGTGCCATAACCAGTGTGAGGATCGAACGTGTTTTCAATGTCGTTATCAATTCGCTTGATAAATGATTCTAAGATATCGGCCATGTAATGCTCGAGTGAGTTGATGTACTTTGTCGAAAAAGCCGGTGATACAACGCGTCTCTAATGGGCATGGTTGATGAATAACAGCAAATTTGTTGTCAAAAATGCATTACCCTCTTTTTGTGAAACGTCTTGTCAGTTGTACTGAACACTGTCCCGGCATTGTCTCCTGCATAATGATTAGAGTTATAGCAATAGTAAATTTGGTGTCGTCATACTATACTTACGATTACCGCTATTAAGCCTATCGTACAAAGGCCCTTTGGGCAAGTCGTCTTTCAATAGCACTTGGCGTAGCATATCTTTGTCTGCAATCAAGGTGTGCCGTGGGCCAACACGCACCACTTGGCCATACGTCTTTTGTAGATTTTTGAAGTATCTCCAGCTATACATAGTCACAAGAAGTTAATGTTACTACTATCATGGGGTAAAACGAACAACGTCGTGATCAACTTACACTTTACCAGGAGCTTTACTGGCATAAACCACATCCATGAATTTGAATTTGAAAGGGCCAGGTATATTTCGAAGGGGCCCAAAAAAGGCGTCATACATTTTCTGTATACATAGGCATATGAGCATTTCCTACTATGTGTATCATGAATGGTTGTTGTCATGGTTACCAATGCTAGGTAATAGGTGATGGCAGAAACAAGAGCAGCCTTGGAAATTTGATGGATGGCATTTTGGCGATTACCAAACACATCAATCATCCGCTGGGCCACTACTTGCAGTGATTGACGGAACACAGTATCCTGATTCATAAGGGTTGGGGATAAGAATGAGCTTCCCGGAGGATACAAACATGACATCCTTTTATATACAGGAATGTCAAACAAAAGCGGATAATTAGGGCTGACAAGCGGTGGCAAAACAATAGATCCTTTGAGAACAACAAGGTTAATAAAAGCTGACCGCGTGGTGAACATTACACAGACGACCTCACATGACCAGCTTGCTCTATATTTCTGCCAGGAATCGATTACAGTGCATATAAGCGCGTATGCTGACCTCTTTTTTTACACGTCCAATCATAATCAATAGTGAAGCCAACATAAACGAAGTAGGTGTTTTCATGATACAATTTATTCACAATGGGTAATTCTCTATATACAAAGCCACTTGGCACATACCTATGTAACCTGAAGATTGGATTAGCAATGGTTCTTATGATGAAGACACCCTTCCAATTTCTTTGTTTCCTTCCCCCAATCCCATCAGATCATATATAGTTTTCTCCACGTCACTTGTCAGTGTTAGCATGGAATATGATTGAATCATCATTGAGACACGCGCTCAGCCACACGCCCAAAACACAAGACAACAACCCGATACTCACCCTTTGATTTACTCGATGCAGCGCCAGACACCTCGCATGTTATAGTACTTGATACGATGAAAACCTGTATCGGATGGGTTGGATTAGTTGAGATGACCAAACACAATGCTTGAAAAAAAAAGTGAAACAAGGTTTGGGTAGTTCAGAAACGCTCGTTTGGCTTTGAGCAGTCGTATCGCCATGGTTTTGTACGATTGGGGCGACAAGCTTGTCATCACAAGATAGAAGGGAAATAAAAAGGGATCTTGAAAAGGGAAGAACAAACATACCTTGTATAGCTGAAAAAGAGAGCTGAAGAAAGAGAACAAAACAAAAGCAACAGAGCGAGGTTCTCCTTATATACAAAAGAAAATTTTTACTTGCTGGGCAGGAAGCTGGGGTTAAACAAAGCGGCTATGGATTGATTGGCTGCGGTGTCGTGCGCTCTTCGCGTATGTCGAAAAGGCGGTGTATGATCCACGCTACTGTCAAAAAGATGTTGCGCGTACAATATTCGCATTTTGAGTTTGTTCCAGGATCGCATTTTGAATAATAGCTAACATTGTGTTGGTAGATCATAGCTTTTGTATTAAGTCCCATCATGCCTCATGATTACCAAAGTACAATGGCACGCTTTATCCACCCTATAGCTATATCCTAAGGCTCAACTAATGGGTACGTCTAACAAAGAAAAGGAGATTTAGAGAAACAAAGAACGAAGCGTATTGGGTAAGCGTCATTGCGTATCCTTATTGGTGGTCCTGCTGATCCCAGATTCTCGGTGCTAGTAATCACGATGCCATTCACGAGTCACGTAGGCAGGATTATCTTTATTAAATGAAGCATGTCAAGTAAAATCGATATACAAAGTATGAATGAAATAGGGAGCAACCATTTGATGTTGATGGTGAACAAGGTAGAGCGATCGATGAAACAACCAAGATGCGTTGTAGTACACCGACGCTGGTCATTAAAATGGATTTCCTCTTTTGTTGACAAGTACCCGAGCGACCAATGCGTATCAGGTGGTAATCATGTCTATGCATATGGCATCAGCAAAGGCTTGTGCATATTCACAGGGATGGAATGGAATGAATAGCCAATGGGATCAAGACAATCCTTTTTATTCCAACATTGTTGCTTGTATCAATAGTAAGTAGCTCACGAGATCTTAATGCGTCATCTATTCTCTCGCTGGATGTGGTGTGTGTGTTGAAACATTGCCCAGAAAACTTATTCCAGTGACTTTTCCGCCAAGGCGATTGTATTGTTCTTTTCTTCCCAATGCCGCGTAATACACCCTGTCGAGGTATTCTATCTTACTAGTATGAAGCCTGGTCCATATTCAATTATGTCATTCACTCACCGTATAGCCTATAGACTGCAAGAAACGACGACGAAAATGTGTCTGGGAGCCCTTTTCAACAATATGTCTTCGGTGTTCGAGACTCGAGCTTCAGTGTGTGCAATTCGACGATTCCGCCGATGAAGACGACGAATACGATATATCCATGGTCGATGGTACCAGAGACATTCAAAGGTGGTTGAGCGATGTTACAGCATTGCAAGCAGAGATGCGACAGCTTGAAGCCGCCATTCGTGCAGCTTCGGTGCCTGCCTTGTGCGCAGCAGGTAGTAGCAGCAGCAATAGCGATACCGATAGCGAATACAGTGCATTATCACCCATGACACCAGCATCATCATCAGCAACAGAAGATACAGTGTTTACGAATGTTGCTAAATCAGCTGAACCCAACTGGAAGCTTAGTATTGTGGATGGCACTGTGAGACTGGAAACGAGTATCCGCAGCATCGATGAATTATTGCAATTTAGCCAAGCATCCTTCCGCTACCTTTCGCCCTTTTCAAGTCTCTTTGCCAACGAATCAGTGGTCTTTGAGAGTACATCAGCTCATGTCGTCTCTTCAGCATTGCGTCTTGTTTCAAAACAAAGTCTACGCCATTCTCGCATGCGATTATTACCAGTGGAATTACCTATCATGTACGACTATCGATCCATCATTGATAAGCTTGTCAACTTGCATATTGAATGCCACAGCAATCGTATACCTTTATTACATGCACCTACCTTCATGACCTATTACCGCTCGCTCGATGATCCACTCAAAAGCCCTGTTGTCATGGCTGTGTGTGTCAACATGCTTGGAAGCTTTCGACGGGGAATCGATTACACAGCTCAAGAAAAGCGACAGCTCTCAGATTTCTTTTATCAAAAATGCCGAGATTTGCTACTTGACATGTTTGATGATCCAGAGCGAAGACTTGAAACGGTCATCACCATCTCTTTACTTGTCACTTATGTATCCCTTATTCGACTTCAGTTTGCCGAAGCACGTCGCCTAGCAACAATCGCCTCTCTGATAGCCAAAGATATCGAATCATCCGGTCTTGATCATATGCAGAAATTCGAACGTGCCATGTTTCAACGACACAGAGTGCACGTTGAGCATAATATGAAAATGCTTTCGATGTTGTTGGATGAAACGGATGATCATATCCCATGCGGCGACCCAATGGAGGCATTGGAAGACGAGAGCAAGGAGAATCACGAGTTTATTGGTGCGCTTAATCATTTGGGTCGATTGGCACAATCTCCTTATATCCATCAAACAATGGTACGTGTCTATGTTGTCGTCATTGTGTTGCTAAGCATTACTCACGTGGACATTATCTTTTTATGTATAGCCACACATTAGAAGGCTGATACGTGGTATTCCAAGCGAGGTTAATCTGGATCTAGTGCTACGATATGAGACTGTGGTATGCGAATGGTGGTCGACGTTACCCGAGGACTTGCGTTTTTGCAACAACCCATTCTCCTCCGAGATCTTTGAGAAGCTGGATCTTGTTGACAACGAATTACAATTTATGGTGTTTGGTTTTACCCATTGCATGAATATGATGGTCCACGCCAATATGCTAAGTCCACGATCTCCACAAAACAATGGCCAAGCTGAAGAAATATTGGAGGTGATTCGGCAACGTGCCATCACTATGACGGTGCAATCATGTGACATGTTGCTTGCTGTATTGAATCGGTGGACACAGCTCGACAAGAATAAGGAAATGAGTAAGTATTTGTGTATGGATGGAATGATGGTATCGTCTTATTCATTTTCTTTTTACTTTACAGTGCCATTGATTGTCATGGGCCATGTCATGTATTCTTTATTGTGCATTTCTGTTATTCCACAAGCCCAGATCCCTGAACGACTCAAGTCCAACTTCTACCGAGTATTCGATGAAGTAGCATCATTTTTGCCCGATGATCATCATGTGCCATCCACCATTTCACCTATACTTTCTTTCATGTCAAACAAGGAAGCATCAGAGCTGCAGGTGTATTATGAATATGCACTCCCAGGCTATGCATTTGTATCTGACATTATGGATTCATCTCTTCAACATCTACAAACCCATATCCCACTCCGGACGCCCTGTGTATAATAATACTCTGTACTTTTTAGAAATCAAATACATTTATACGTTGTGATTGCTTTTTATTATACGCTATTGTTGTACATTGTGTGTGGTTTCCTTGGATACGATTAGGGACATCTAGAAGAGCGTTTGGGCAAGTCCGGTTGGGTCGGCGCACACACGTCACAAAAAAAGCCCAACTGGTCTAGGGTGAAGGTAAACCTTCCACAACCGATATCTCCTTGTGCAGAAAGGGTAGGTATAATTGGTGTGGTGAGAATCAAGATGGGTTTGTGGTGGTGATATCAAGTAGAGCTTGAGAATGGAGAATGGTGTATGTGTGTGTACGCATACTGTGTCCATGGAGACTAAAGAAAAAAAACGTTGCTTTCTTGCTTTGTTTTGTAGCCCCACTCCCCACTCATGTCGTCCCAACAGCCATCCCACCTTACCGAAAAGCAGTTCGTTGATCCCACGCCTCTTCCTGACAACATTCCCAAAGTCGACGAAGTTGGCGCTACATCAGCACCCCTAAAGAGCGCGTCATTCTTCATTGGCCAATACTGCAAAGCTTACAATGACGACTTCATGCTCTGCAAGGCTGAGAGCAACGATCCTGAGCATTGCCTTAAGGAAGGTCGCAAGGTGACCCGATGTGCTATTGACCTGTAAGCATCAGCAGACACTCTCTCGACGCTATCAACGATCTATATACGACAACTCACATATCCAAACGTACGCGTTTTCTCACCATTTAGCATCACAAAGCTGCGGGAGAACTGTGGCAAGGAATTCGATGCCCACTGGCAATGTCTCGAGAACCACAACCAACAATTCTACTCTTGCCGTAAGCCCGAGACCACCTTCAATCAATGTGTATTCGAGAAGTTGGTAAGTTGTCATGGAAATTGGATCGATCAAATCAAGTGCGGGGTGATTGGAATGATACATCATAAGCAAATACGACGTAAGAGAGAGAGAGATGACTGATTGAAACATGTGTGTGCTCCATGTAGGGCTTGGAGAAGAAGATTCCTGGTTCCCCTGAAGGCCAAGAGCAAGTCCACGAAAAGAAGAACCCCGTCATTAGAAACCAGTTCAAATAAACCAAACACCACCAATGCAATGCCGCTATTCGCGGTTGCTGGATAGAACAATGGAAATACCGAGAACGATGGCAAAGAATTGTGGGGGGTAATATATGGGAGACAGGACACATGTGCAAAGGGTTTATGGGGGCATGGATAGCTTGTAAGCATCTTCCGCAAATGGGGGCTTCGTATTTCATTGAAGAGTGGATTGGATGTCATGAGAGTATAATTGAATGCTTTTTGAAGTTGAATATGAGGTAGAGAATCATTATACGAGAGATTGATAACTGTGTGGAGAGTGATAATTAAGAATTATGCAAATGAGCAGGAGATAGCAGGAGAAATCAGGATATCATTTGTGCAACCGCTCGTATGTGGACTCTACGCATTTTGTTCCTCCGCTTTACTCGAACCTCTTCTTGGTCGCATCTCCATTCCACCACCACCACGTGCACAGCATGTCAGCCCCATCACGACCAACAGCGAATCGGCTCTACGATCTCTCTCCCAATGTCAAAAAGCTCTTATCCATTGACACCTTCAAGGTGTGTGTTCCATCGACAATGACACGACGTATGCTGGCGGGAATGCTCATCGCCTTATTTATATACACTCTCTAGGGCAACATGTCAACCGATGAGTTTATGGAAAAGATATCCAGCGATCTAATCAGCCAAACGAAGCAGTATAGTGGTGCAGGTGTGTATTCAGAGGCTATTGTTAGGCTTGTTTATTGATTATGCACAACGATAGCGGCCTTTGACCCAAAGCCTTTCATTCGAACGTTTGAAAACGTCCTCGAGGAATTGAAGCAACTGAGAACCCGGGTACAAGAACAATGCGATGAATTGGAAAGCTCTACGCAGGCTGTTGAGCATCAATACAAGAAGGATATCGCCGACATGCAAGGTGCTTTCCAGGTAAGAAAATGACCCGATGCATCTATGAGGATCATGACGACTCATGTATATCCTAGGATGTTTATCATGCTTATGACAGCTTGGAAACTCGTATTGGCGACGTGGGTAACACTGCCATCCGCATCGGTGAACAACTTGAGACGATTGACAAGCAACGATCACGTGCATCTGAGAGTCGTGATATCATCGAGTACTTTATGGAATTTCAAGAAGGCAACTCGGAGCGTCTTAGCTTATTATGTGAAGGTGGCGAGGAAGGTCAACTTAAGGTAAATGATGTATGGTGTTGGATAAAGAAAGGGTCATGCAACTTACATGGATGTCAAAAAGGCCGCTGTCATTTGTCGTCGCTTGAATGCTGTTGCCAAGGAAGTCAATACAGATGTGCAGGTAGGAATGGAACAAAGGGAATGCCACATGACTTGGCTTGGCTAATGGAAGTCTAATGGATAGGCAAGAATTGGGATCGAAAAGTTCTGCGAGAGCTTTGAAAAGGAGATGCTTGAAGATTTCGACCGAGCCTATCGAGAAGGTGATGCTCGTGTGATGGGGGTAAGTCATCATGTCAAATTGGATGCGATGAACAAAGGAATCTGATGATGTTTCTATAAAGCATCGAGCCAAGGTCCTTTTCGAGTTCAATGGTGGAGCATCATGTGTTCAGATGTATGTGAATCAACACGAGTTTTTCATGTCAAATCAAAAGCTTGAAGAAATGGAGGAGCTCCGGAAATCCGAAGAGTAAGTTTGTATGTTTGTATATGCATCGTAAGGTTACACTAACACGCGCATAATCCTACTCTAGCAATTTGGACTTGTCGAATCCCAATGTGCCTCCACCAGAAGTAGACACCAGCCTCGTCAAGTTGTATGATGATATCCGAATTACGGTTCGCAAAGAAGCTGGGATCATCTCTGCTGTTTTTCCTCAACCTGCTACGGTCATGCAAGTGTTTCTTCAACGCGTGTTTGCGCAATCGGTAAGGATATCAAATAGGATGGTGGGACAACAATGAAGCTCACACCATGTGGATGTCACTTTATAGATACAAAACCATATTGAGCTGCTATTGTCACGAGCTGAGCGCTATTCACAATTGGCGTATTTGCGTACTTTATCATCGACCCATGCCGAAACGAAGCGTCTTGTGGAGAATCTCAAGTTTTATTGTTCAAAAGAAGTATCCTTGAACAGCACGGCGGATATGAGTGGCCTTGTCACAGCCGCTTCACCTGAAGAGGCCTTGGATCGATGCATGAATGATCTCTTTGTACCTTACACCGAGAGTGATCGTTACCTTTCACGGGAAAAGCTTTCATTGAATGAGCTCTTTGGAAGAATCATTGCTGAGTTTTTGAGTTACATGGTAAGAATGAGACACGCTAAAAATGGTATTGGTTGATTGTGTGTGCTCACAATGGGGTTGAATATCATAGCAAGAGCGAAAAAAGAATTCGGCAAGGAATCAATCCGTGTTGACACGTACGCTCAATCAAATATCAGCATCAACCTCAGGCACCATGTTAGCAGCTACTTCACCTGTTGGAGAACCAGCATCACCCAATTCCACCAATCCATTTGAAACAGCCGGCCCTGATTTCCAAAGAAACACCAACACAACCAGTGCCAATTTGGTCACCGTGGATGATGATGGCTTCAAGCTCTTGTCGCGCGATGCTATTATGCGAATGCTCAGTATTCATGCCGAGGCTATTGTGCGTTGTGTGGAGCTTACCGATTCCCAGGAATTGTGAGTGGATCATTCATTATCAGATAGGCGGAGTTATATATTGACACTTTGTTGACACATTCCAGACCAACATCCATCCAGTTTCTCTACAGCGTGCTTCTCGATTTCATTGGTACAAAATACCTCGACATTGCTTTGGACGAGTATGTTTATCCTTTGATCAAAAGATAAAATGGCTAATAATACCTTTTATAGCGTCATTGAAGAACTTGGTAGCAAACCGGAACCCGATACCAGCTGTTTCCCAGTGGTGGCGAACACAACCAAGGTCATCCAACTCGTGCAAAAGCATTTCCAGACAGCCATTGTGCCCCTGGTGGCGAGCGCACCTTCGACTCACAGAAGCATTCTCGGCAGCAAAAACAAGTTTATGGGTGCTTTGGAAGGCAAATCAAACGACGTCTTGCAAAAGGAGTTGGATGGTATTACTTCGTGGCTCACAGAGTTGCTATCACGTCAAAAGCGGAACGACTTTAAGCCAAGAGATGAGGATGTTATCATGATGAGCACTGGCACACAGGTAATGTATACATGATAACTTGGATTTCTCTTGTGACACATCATTAACCAAAAGTGTTGTTCCAGCCTTGCGTGCAAATTGTCGACTTTATCACTCGTATTTATCGTGCTGCCGTCAAGTCACTACAAGGCAAGAATCTCGAGACCTTTTTATTCAAGATTGGCCAGGATTTGCATGCGTAAGTATACAAGGATGATATGGGAGAGGATGTTTGGATACCATGGGACGGCGGGATTAATCAATGCACATGTACGGTAGTATGTTGTTGGAACATTTTAAAAAGTTCTATGTGACACCCACGGGAGGATTGCTTGTTACCAAGTAAGTATTTGATATGGACATGTCCTACGGCATGACGACATTGGTAGTGTAGCAAGGTATTAAGTGATCAATTTTAGGGACATTGCCAAATATGAAGAAGTTATCCAAATGTTCAAGATACCCGTCCTCAACGACATGTTTGATATGCTTCGACAGCTGGGCAACATATTCTTAGTGAAGCCCGAGATCCTCCGATCCATCTTGTCTGAAGGCTACTTGGCCCGCCTTGATCCCAGCATGCTCTATCCTTACTTGGAGAAGCGCGTTGACTTCAAGAGTGCAAAATTAGACCGGGTATTGGGCGTATCTGTCGATGAGGCACCTGCACCTACTGATAGTAAGAGCCAGAGACGTTCACTTTATGTGAATGAGAATACAGTGATCAAAGAGATGCGCAAGAACATTACCAACCGTGATTTTCTTAATCAGGAGTATATGGCTATGTTTCAGAAATAGAAATGGAATAAAAAAGAGAACGATGCGATACCAACAACAAGTTGCCGTATATGATAAATGATTAATGCAAATCGTGCATGCCAAGCAAAAGCGATGGTAAGGGTGAAATGGGTGATGTTTGAGCAAGTTCTTGCACCTTTACCACGAAAGGAATAGATCACCTATGACTTAATAAACTATCGACTATTCTTATCCAGCCATTTGTCTTATGAAGAACAACCCGGTTTTTGCATGTCACCAGACTTTGGTACCTGCGTTGCCGTATTTCCCTGGATCATTGCATATGCATCAAATAAGCTTGATAATGAAAAACACAAAGAAGCCAAAACAAAGAACAACAACAAACAAATGATGAGTTGAGCGGAAGATCTTCAAGGTACGATCGAGCACAATCTCCCGTTGTGGAGTCTTTAGGTTTCACACGGAAGCTTCCTTTGCGGAGCGGCTGAGACTCAAAAGAAAAAGACGTCGTGATGGGGATGTAGGACAATCGATTTATCCAATACACATAGCATGTTTCATATCCAAAAACGAGCATAGAGGTAAGAAGATTGAAAGAGAGACTTTGAACATGTTGATGACAGTAACAAGAATCAAAAATAAAGTAGAAAAATGAGAGCAGGGGCTGTAAAAGTAGAATGGGGGTTGATGATGAGAGAAAGGAGAAAAATGGGGGGACAAAGCAAATGATACAAAAAGGATCGACGCACCATCCATAAAAGGTAAGGTCGTACCGGAGAATGGCAAGAGCAATTATCACACAGCGTTTCCACCTTTCAGGTCGACTTTGAGCTTTCTTCTCCATCTCAACATTCCCATTCGTTTCGCCATGGGCAGCAACTCTGCAATCTCCACTCGTTCAAAGATACTACAACTATTAGCATGCTTCACATTCTTTCTCGTCCTTCTTTTATCCGTTACCCGCTTCATTCTAGGTATGTCATGCATTGCTCTTTTACATACCAAACCAGGCACACTCATGTTCTTGTTGTTTCCATAGATCCTCGAGATCGAGCAAGGTGTAATGGAATGTTGAATGAAGGATGGTGGCTAGAGGAGCCGTATACCAAATGGCAGCCTTCAGGATGTATGCCACACACATACAATGCAAAGGAGATCTCGACATGTCTCAATCACTCAAGGGTCCTTTATGTTGGCGACTCGATCATGCGTGAGCAGTTTTACTCGTTGACACGGATGGTGCGTGAGATTGATACCAAAGGACCCTTACACATTGATCGCAAGTACGAGTCAAAGGAGCATGGAATGACATTCGAGTTTTGGTGGGATCCATATATCAACTCTACTCGCACGGTGGAGATGCTCAACACTACCGATCCTGACAACCGCCCAAGCTTGCTGGTCATTGGTAGTGGCATTTGGTATATGCGACATCTCGGTGATAGATACTTTGATGAATGGCGAAAGGGTGTGGATCGTGTGATGGATGCTGTACAATCTTCAAGCAAGGTCGCTGATGCTGTATTATTATCCCCGGTCGAAATCCCTCAATTCGATCGTCTCAACGCTGTACGACAACAACGATTCACCATGGATAAGATCAATCGAATGAACAACTACCTCAAAGGCAAGGAGCCCACCCTTGATATTCAAACACCATTCGCTGTTCCTTTTGCTTGGAATTCTATTTGCTCGTCAACAGTCAACCAAACGGATGATGGCTTGCACTACAAGCCCACCGTAACCACGGTCCAGGCCACCTTGGGTCTCAATTACCGATGTAACGACTTGTTACCAAAGCACTTCCCCATGGCCAATACATGCTGTATGCAATATCCAACACCAGCCTGGTACCAAAACTTGATTTTGTTGTACTTTTTACTTTGGATCCCTATTGGTTTCTATGTCCTTAGCCCTGGTAAGTTATTGATGATGGGGTTAGGTTTCGATGATGAGGGATGATGGTATATTGACTATCCACCCCAATCACATATAGATTCCCATATCCAATTTATGCGCCGCTTTTATCCTTCTGAAACAACCACCCTGACATCACTTTTCATCTTTGGCTTGGGCGTGGTTTACATGTACATTGGTGACCGTTCTCATTTGTTTGGCAAGCATCTCAAGAAATTTGATGCATCAACCTTTGGATGGCTCATGTTGGTTATGGTTATTGGTGGCATCGTGAGCTTACGACGTAAAAAGGAGGGCGATCAAGGATTCCTCAATCGAGCACAAACCGACGAGTGGAAGGGCTGGATGCAGATCATTATTCTTGTGTACCATTTTACAGGTGCTTCCCAAACACCAGGCATTTACAATGCTATGCGTGTGCTCGTAGCTGCCTACCTGTTCCAGACTGGCTATGGTCACTTTTTCTTCTTTTACAAAAAGGCCGACTTTGGCATGGCTCGTGTACTCAATGTTATGGTGCGACTCAACCTATTGACCCTCGTACTCGAGTATGTGATGGACACCAACTATCTCAGCTACTATTTCACGCCCTTGGTCTCATTCTGGTTCGGCGTGATTTGGGTAACCATGTACATTGGCCATAAACACAATACCAAGGCGTGGTTCCTTTTCGCCAAGATCCTGGTGATGGGTGCTTTAACAGGAGTGTTTATTCACGTGCCAGGTATTCTTGAAGCAACGTTCCAGGCACTTGAGGTGTTGTTCAACATTCATTGGGACGCTGTTGAATGGAGGTTCCGATTGGCACTTGATGCATGGATTGTTTATGTTGGTATGGTGTTTGCTTATGCTACGCTCAAATTCAATGAGAACAAGTTACACGAGCACGCCCTTTGGTCACTTGCCATCAAGCCCGTATTGGCTATCATATCATGCCTCGCTTTATGGTGGTTCTTTTGGTTCGAATTGTCACAACCCAACAAACAAGCATACACGTTGTATCATCCTTACATCTCATGGATACCCATTCTCGCTTTTATCACTTTACGAAATGCTACCGTTTTCCTTCGAAACACCACTTCCGGCTTTTTTGAATTCATCGGCAAATGCTCCCTTGAGACTTTTATCGGTCAATTCCACATGTGGCTCGCAGCAGACACCAAAGGCTTGTTGATTGTCCTCACCGATCCATCATGGGCAGTGGGTCTCGGCTGGTTCTTTAACCTCGCCCTTTCTAGCTGCATCTTTATGCTTGTATGTTATCACCTTAACCAAGCAACAGGCACTATTACCAAATGGATTTGTTCATCCGCAAATAATGCTTCATTCTCCAACACATCCTCAACGACATCCTCCTCCAATCAACAACAACAACAAGACGCCGTGCCACTTTTGCCAACCACGGTGCAAGATAACGACGATACCAAGCCTGAGGACGATGAGACATGGCAACAGCCCTTACCTTCAAAGCCATCTTTATGGCGCCGCGTCGCTGGCGACCTACGAGTGCGTTCATTGCTATTCCTTATTTTCCTCGGCATGATCAACCATCTCTGTTAACAACATACAACAATCACAAACCACATCTCTACATTTGTAATAAAAGCACACCATTTTTCATTGTCCCATATAGAAGAATCATGTGCCCACGCTAAGATGCTCCTAGGATACTAGTATAACCTCGTGCGTGTGTATATATGTACAACCAACGTGTGTGAAACCGGAACTGTCAAAAGGAGAGCATCATCACCGCCGACCTTCATCATCAGCTTTAATGCTCCGTCTACATGCTTAGCTGCAGCTTTTTTATCCCTTTCCCTCTCCTTGGGACACAATGTGCAGGTAAGGTTTTGCCAATGTCTGCTGCTGTGACATCGCATCATGGATGACGACGACGGCGTTTTGAAAAGATGGGCGTAATGATGGAGTCATCATGCTGTTGGTTTGAGCAAGTAGGATTGGTGGGTGATAGGCTGCTGACTTGATAATGACGATGCGTTGCCATCATCATGGTTGGGAAAAAAAAAGAAAAGGAAAAACACATGTGGCACGGACGATTAGAGAAAATAGCAATCCTTGTCAAAAGCAAGACAAAGCTGTGTTTAGTGCTCATAGCAGAAACCATCAAGTGAAGCGAGGCAATGTGCGTTGCACAAAAGCGTGGGCGTCGGGTTGCTTTGTTTAAGGTAAGACCGTTCATCAACGGTTGCACCATATCGATCTTCTCTGGAATACAACATGTCAAATAGGCTGTCGTGTGCGTAAGTATATGCGTGCGCGTGTTTTTTGGTCGTTCAATGACAACTCGATCCTTTTCCCCAATAACTTGCTTGGGTACAAGATTCAATTTATACGCATTACCATCATGTGTGTGTGTGTGTGCCTCTGTTTCTTTGTATTCCATCCTTTTCCCCTTTTCAAATTTCATTCTTCCTTAGCGTATACACATACGCATGGATATCGTCATACGATGCAAAAGTGAGCAAGCAAGCAAAAAAAGAGGATGAGCAACAAGCACCCATGATCCGTAGGCGTTCCACACCGTTTGGTGTATGGGCACATTAGTAAATGCCACCACTCATCCTTCCCCCCGGTTCACTCGGACGACCCCCCAATCCGTATTTCACTCTTTTGTAGATGCAACCTTGTTCATCATATCGAGCAGGCTTTCTCAACATGTTTGTTGGCGTTCGAGAAAACCTTATTATTGTCTTGATTGCCCATCTTATATAAAACCGGATCTACTTGCATCCTATCGAACAAAAGCTTTTTTTTCCTTTTTCTTTAATTCTTTGTACAATATCCAAAGCATAATGTCCTATCCAATTGTTCGACCGTTGAATCTTCAAGGAGGTCAATGGTAAGTTTCCTTATCGCCCATACACTCCTAATAGCCTATTGACATCTCTCTCTCTTTTAGTTCTTGGTGTGGCAAGTATGGACACAAGAGAAGAGTATGCCCTTATCTCAAGTGAACGACGACAAAACCCATTTCATCGACATACATCCAACATGATGGCGTTTCCTACGTAGCGTCATTGGAAGCACAAAACACACGCACACACATGCACCAACATCATCCATCAAAAAAACAACACACATCGTACATTCTCTCTACGCTTTAAGCTCGTTTGTACATATTCCCTTGTCATGTATTTTCTTTTTCTCTTTAACGGCGCAGAAGAAACACCACCACCCAAAAGTTTACACCATGTTTTTTTCATTTCTCATTTTCACAACCCATCACATCTTTCATGCAATCCCTCTTATCTTTTTTTTACGGCAAGCAAATTAACACGAACACAAAAAACACCCACACCCACACGCAGTACCTTCTTTTGTAAATGATTTATTCTATTTTCCATCTATAAAGAGCTCTTTATATGGCCATCCTTATTTGACAACAGTTATCTCTAACTCTAATCATCACGACAGGCCACGGGTTCAAATTGGCCCATATGTGGCAATTGGACAAGAGCAGCAAGATGGAAAAAGAGCGCCCGTGCAACTATAACTGTACACACTGCGCATCACTGTTATTTCATCCACACGCTCATCTCCTCAATCGAACCCCCCAAAAATAGAACCATCGCTTTGGTGGTGATGGTGGTAGTGGGTGGTAACTGGGGTCGCCACTGCATCTCGCAGGAGGAAGCCAACGATACACCACGTACGTACACATATACACACTATGCGGATGATCAACATCCTTTGGGATAAGACGAATTGGTTTCAAGCGATTTCGACCCCCTTGTGATTGAACCATGATAGCCGATTGATACTAATTCCTTTGTGGTGTGATATACATAACATGACAGCATCATGGTGGTGGTGGTGGTGCATCATCATTATTGTTGTATGCCACCATTGCCCAACGACGAACGCCGAGGGAGAGATGATAAACCCATGTCCATGATCGATACAGCTTTATTTATTGATATGCAGTGATCCAGGCTCACCTCAAATCTTTCGCTCTCTCTTTATTTTTTTACATGTGCATGTAAACCCGGAGCCATCGGAGGCGAACAACCGATTGCAGACAAGTGGACCCCCCAAACTCATAAAACCACACACCCCATTTGTTCTAGGCAAGGAAGAGACTTGTCAAACCTTAAATGTGCCAGTGTGCTGTGTAATGGTCGGGACAAGTCTTCCATGTTATAACATGCCGATCCGCGTGTGCGCATTTTATGTTTATCCACCACCACACACCACACACACACACACACACACACACACACATACACACAAAACACCTTATACGCGCACAGTCACCAACAAAAGCCCCCATTGAATTGTCGTTCTCACATGCACTTGTCACTCCAAGAATTCCATTTCCTTGTTCTTCCATTGCCCTGTTTTGGTGTAATACCTTTTGACACTCTTATTCGTGAAAAAGCGTTAAAACTACTACTGTACATGAATGATGGAAGACTATCCGATGAGCATGTGCGTTGAAATCATGTGTGTGTGTGTTGTTGTTGTTGTTGTTAGTGCTGTAAAAGACAAACAAGTGTCGCATGTTGCGTAGGCGGATGGGTAGAAAAAGGCGTGAATAGTGCGCTGTGTGTAGGTGTGTGGTGGATAGGTGAGAGTGTAATGTTTGTATGATTGAATGTGGTGGTGATGGCGTTGGCGATTGAAAGGAAAGGAGAACAAGACAAAATAGTGGTGCTTTACGATGCTTCTTGTTGTGCATGGAATTCGCGCACAGGTGCGAAAAAGACATGATCCATGGCCTCCTGGGCTGTCAAACGTTCCTGGTGATCGTACCGTAATAAATTATCCAAAAGCGAAAACAATTCATCCGACATGTAACGTTGATTCGAGGCACTGACAAACTTGGTCCATTGCTTACGTGCATAGCTAAAAGAAGAAGAAACGTTAACCCAATGCATGTATATTCATATACGTTGTATCCTTTACTTACTTTCCCATGATCTTTGCAGTATTGGGATGCAACGTCAAATTGTACTTTTTGAGATAAGCATTCAATTCCTGTGTGCCGAGGACACGGGCAATCTTGACAAGTTGATCGTGGTTGTCTTGACCATTGAAGAAGGGTTCCTTGCGGAAAACCATGCCGGCTAACATACATCCAAAACTCCACAAATCCAAGCTGTAGTCGTACAATTGCAAATCAACCAAAAGTTCGGGACCCTTGAAGCACCGAGATGCAACACGCACATTGTACTCTGTGCCTGGATGATAAAAGTCGGCGAGACCCCAGTCGATCAAACGCAGCTAAAGTGATACACACGTTGCATAAGTAAAAAAAGTTCACCTTTCCTATTCCTTTTCCTTTTTACCTGTCGCTTTTCATGGTCGATCATGACATTGTGAGGCTTAACATCCCGATGCATAATACCACGCGAATGGCAGTATTCTAATGCCTACACATAGACAATCTTTGAGTTCATCCACATATTCTCTTTTTCCTTCATCCTTTCAAGTACTTTACCTTTAATAACTCGTACATGTAGTAACGCACATCGAAATCACTGAAGCGTGGATAGAGAATCTTGAATTCGGTGTTGTTGACACTTTCAAAGATCAAGGATGGGACACGAGACTATAGAATGTAAAAGGCCCCCTCCTTTAGCATTGATCCTTCCCAAGACAACGACCACCACCACTACTAGTAGCCTAGTTGCTATCCACTTTTACTTACTTGTTCATCCCTGACAACGTCCAATAAACCAATAATGTTTGGACCACCTGTGAGGTTCTGGAGAATCTTGATTTCACGTTTGATCTTCTTCTTCTTGACGGGCTTGAGGACCTTGATGACACACTTTTCGCCATTCAGCGTGTTGACACCTTCGAATACTTCAGAGTATTTACCACGGCCAATCTTGCGAAAGATTTCATAGTGGTCTTGGTTACTAGTGAGAGAGTCAGCCTCGATGCCATAAACACATGGATAGAAGAGCTTACCCCCATGTCACCTGGAGTTCCTCGTAATCGTAGTATTCTCGGGGTTGTTGGGCATTGACATGAGCGTAGACCCTTGCCACACTGGTTTCTTGCATAACGGTGTCCATGAAAAAGAGAAAGGATATATGTGCGGGTGTAGTAAGGGAACAAGAGAGGAAAATAAAAGGTGTGCGGTAAAGGGAAAAAGACTTTTTCTTGATCAGCCAACAAGTCAGGCACACAAAGAACACACAACCACTAAAGAGAAAGAGGAAAACAAAAAAAGTGGGTACACAATACGCTTATCAACAAGCGGTCTCCAATCAACCATCACACACGCACACACACACACACACACATGAGAGTCGTCACGGCAACTTGCCGACCCGCTCAAGGTTTATTGGGAGAAAACACTGGTAAAGGATGTGCCTCGCTATTGAATACATAGTGATCGAGAGGGATCATATCGTCAGGGCTGAAGAGTAGATAAAGATACTTGAGCGTTTCAGCCTATATAGAAACATGTTATCAGTGATATGCATCCTCTTTCAAAGAAAATATACACTTTTTCATACCAAAAAGAATGTGTCCATACGATCATCCTGCGTAGGAGGAATGCTAGTGACATCTCTCAAAGCAGTGTAGCCACCCCCAGGGAGCTTGGTATACTTTTCAAATGCTTCAAAGATCTTCCAACCCCATTCACTACATGTATTTTCTCGTAAGTTCAATGGGTCCTGCCATAGAGAAAAATCATATATGTGTATACATACCGATAGATGGGATCACCAGTGATTCGATACATTAAAAAGATGCTCTCCATGGTTTCAGGTCTCAAGAGGTTATGTCGATCGCCGGGATGGATGGATATATCTTGTTGACTGTCTTCTTGGGTATTAAAGTATACAATCTCACTGGCAAGACCAGTCGCCGTGGTGTTGTACATTTCATAACAAGTGCGTGTGATCTCGCGTCCTAGTTCCAAATCTTGCTCGTCGACATGGGTCATCAATGGCTCTTGTGCAAGACGTAAACCTTGTGTAGCACCGAGAGCAAAGCTGCCACCGATAAAGCATACCAAATGATCCATTTTTGGAGAGATTTGTCCCAGGGAATTGAGATTGTGGAGCTCACCAATAAATAAAAGATTGTTGGGTTGACTGCGTGCGAGCAAATGTTGTCGAATACCACGCACTGATTGTCGATACATGTCCATGTAAAGTGTTTCTGATTTCTGAGTCTGGAGGTATTGCTTCAACAAGTACTCTAAATGAATGAGACATCTTAGTAAGGTGTTGCGGGTGGAGGAGGGGAGAGTGGGGGGGGGGTTAATACACTGACCATAATAGCTATCACCACGCGAACCCAACCGGATCTCGGATGTTGTAAATTTGCCACTGATGGGACTAATACAAATAGATATGCATGAGCTATTGCTATGCTACACATACACACACGCCATGTTTTCTTCTTATCCACTTACTGAATCAAGATGGGGACCAATCCATCGATAGTAGGCTCACCAGCATCCACCAAATCCTTCATCTTGTACATGACTCGTTCAGCAGCTTCCCAATACTTGTAATCCCCTGTCAAATGGCTGAGATACTTGAATTCGAGTTGGATGGTGGTGACTTCAGCCGTGCTGCTAGGTACATGGGCTGTGAATGGCAATCCAGTGGATAAGACGATGCTTGAATAAGGAATGCCTGAATTGGTTTGAAACGCTCCAATAAGACGTTGGCCCAAATCGGTGGCCTTCTCGAGGTAGACTGGGTCATTTCCTGAAAGGTGATATGCTGATAGTAATCCTCCCAATACACGGATGGTGGTCTCAAACACATTGACATCCTGCTTCTTGTCAAAATCCAATCGTGTTGCAACCCATTCACGAGCTTGCTGGTATTCGTCGGTCAAATTCATTAGCAGCATGGTATCCAGGGCATCCACAATCATGAGTCCAATACCACCAGGGGCCCAATCACGTCCTTGATGTCTCAATGGCTGATATTCGTCTTTGCCAAATGCATCTGTGGCATATCCTTTCCAAGCATGTCGAAACGCATCTACAATTCGTTGCTGTTTATAGGCTGCATCAGCATCATCCACGTGATGTAACGACGCCAATGGAGGATGTTGTGTGAATAAATAAGGTCCTGTAGATGATGGTGGTGTTGACGAGCCCTTTGTCGTATCGCTCTCAGGTCGATGCCAGTCTATCTTATCCTCATTGGTTGAAGGTCGATCGGGAATGGGAGGAATGTAGCCGTTGAGAAGGTCATCGTTGTTGTTGCTAGTATCGGTGTCGATGGTTGAGGAGGAAGAGGAGGTGGTGGTGGTATCAGCAACAAGGTCGTCGGTAGCAGGTGGATTGGAATGGTGATAGACGATCCAGATAGCAACGATGGAAGCGATGAGTAGAATGAGTTGTCGTGGTTTCAAGAATGCTGCCAAGCCCTTGGGAATGATGAGCGATTGCAAGAGAGAACAGGACGACGAGCCTAACCTTTATTCCTCGAACGGGTTTGTTATTGAGCTTGTCATACTTATTGTCGTCGTCATAGACAGCCTTTTCATTGGGCATACTCAGACGATGAGTTGGCAGCATGTCAAGGAAAGGAGAATATCAGTTGGGATATATAAGTTTTAGATTGGTGCCAAAGGGATGCTGATGACACACACACTACGACAGGCCAACTGGACTATTTATGTTTCACCACCACATTGCTCTATTTGAAAATCAAAACTCTGCATTGGCAGCCATTTAATCTCCTTCTCTCTCTCTCTCTCTCTCTTCTCTTCTCTTCTCTTCTCTTCTCTTCTTTACAACGTCCATTTGTTACCCACTTTATATCTATTCTATGCGTGCCACGCTGCAATCTGATAAAGATAACAACATTTCATTTCATGATACACCCTATCCATCGACTCTTACCTTGAAGCCTTTGAAACAACCATGGTCAACACTGCAACCACTACACTAGACGTCGATAACAGAAAACAACGATACGCAATGCCAACAAGTCGCTCGCCTTTGACTCGAGTCCTTTCACTTATTGAGTGCCCACAATCCTCCATCCGATTCCTTATCCTTGACTGCCCAACAGAATCAACCCTTGATTTCTACATCGAACAATTTGAACAGCTTAACGTCACCACCGTGGTTCGTTGTTGCCAACCCACTTATAATGCTGAACGTGTAAAGTCCCATAACATCGGTGTGATGGATCTACCTTTCAAGGATGGCGGTACAGTAAGTGTCGTTGTTGTTGTTATTTCATGGGGGTTGGTGTCATTGAAACTGATTTTCTGCCACAGCCTCCGCCGGATGTGCTTCGTGCTTGGTTGACATTGGTAGAGACAACAAAGAACAAACAACCTGGATCCACAATAGCCGTTCATTGTGTGGCTGGTTTAGGTAAGCCCTTAATCCTCGTTTCATGCCATCTTTATGCAATCATCCTAACTCTCTTATAGGACGTGCCCCACTCCTTGTCGCCATTGCCTTAATCGAAATGGGTATGAAACCTTTGGATGCCATTGAATACATTCGTGGGAAACGACGAGGCTCTTTCAACAAGGTGCAAATTGACTACTTGGATCGATACAAACGCATTCTCAAATCATCATCATCCTCATCATTCGGATCCTCCTTCCTAGGAAGAATGTTTGGGATTGGCAAAACTATTCAGACATAGCGTGCAACAACAAATACACATACATTGGCTCTTTTTTCTCCCCCCTTTTATCATCGAAACATTACACCCAATCCAATAAAAAATGCATACCATGCTATAAACCACCTTGTGCTCCCAGAATGGCACCCTGCTTTTGCTCATTGATCATAGCCCCTCCTGCCAGCTCTAATAACAAACTACACGCGTCATTTGGAACTTGCATACATAACAGCTTTTTGTATCCCAATCAATGCCATGACGTAAAGGATAGGCCCAACAGCAACTTTTGAAAGTATAAAGCGGAGCATCCATTTCCAACAATCATCAACATGCATACGGCAATGCTCTCTTGATAATGGTACTCGCCTTGGAGAACGACGCATAAGCGCATGTAACGCCCAATGTCATCAGATGACTTTAGGAGCTATTAGATGATGATTGCTTTATTAGTTTTAGATTTTTACCGAAAGCATTATATTAAATGATGTTTTTGCTGCGATGGTACGTCATTGAATGATGAAGAGCAAGTAATCCCTGCATTCCTTTTTACATGTGTCTGTTGACATATGCAATAGCAGGTGCAGTGTCAGGATCCAACACAAGAGGTTGAGGATAAGAGTATGGCGAATAGGCTGGTGGTGGTGGTACAATTGGATGTTGGCAACAACACTCGCTATGAAACACAATGGCCGAATCATCAGCGTGTGCATTATTCCCATTATTGTTATCTTGACCGATGAGGAGTTCCTTGGCAGATGGTGCCGATGGCCCAGGTTCTTCAAGTACTGTGCTCGTATCAGGAGGTGTAGGTATGACAGGTTGTGATGGCCGTTGAGCAGCTGTTGTCGTAGCCGTTGTCATGGGAACCAAGCTGGGGCTGGATGACGCTGTAGTAGTATCGTTATTCTCAATAGCCGTCAATGGAGTAATGTTTTCACTAGGGGACGTGACAATAATTGCTGGCAAGTCAACGGGTGTTGATTGTTGTTGTTGTTGTTGACTTTCTTGCATAGGTAGTACTGATACTTCTTCATCCCGCTGTTGCTGTAATTGACTTTTTCGAAGTTTTCTTCGCCTGAATGCTCTACAGTGCCAATACAAGCATATACCAGCACCAAGTCCAAAAGCAATAGCCAAACCACCCGTCAACGAAAGAATAACGACAAGTGCACGTAGATGGCTCTCGTCAGCACGAATTCTATTGACCGTAGACTCATCGTCCGATGAAGTACACTCTACAAGAGAGACGAGGGCAGTGGCAACTAAAAGAACGCTTGCTGCTGTGCATTTCATCCGCGGGCTAGCATGCACACACACAAAATCGCCTGGTGCTGCTGAAATGTAGAAAGAAAGGAAAAAGAAACAAAAGAATACAGGGGCATGCGTAAGGTTGGGTTGATAATGATAATGATAGTACATAATGTGGTGTGGTGATGATGGCAGTGGTGGTGGTGTGTAAATGATGCAGCTCGCTGGGTGTGGCAAACTAAAGCCAACCCCTACAGAAATAAGGGGTATAATGCCGGATGGGGAGAGTGGATATAACATACAGGTGTTGATTATTTCATGCATTCCCAAGTTAATGCTTGTGCGAATGGGTGCGCGTGTGTGTGTGTTTATTCTTTAGATATGTTGATGCATGCAGCTTGCAAATAAGACGCTGTATCCTTTGTATGATGCAGTAATCGTCCATTGCAGTGCTGTTGCTGCTGCTGCTATTATAGGACCATGTTTAATACCAAGGAGAGATGCTCGTTTTGTCAACATGTTACTCATACGGGAACGCTGATCCACAAAGCAAGGGATAAACGATGCAAGATGAACGGGGCTACTGTGAGCTCACATGATGGTGATATACATGCATTTACATGTCACAGGATATAAGACGGCGCTTCGTCTTTTTCTCAACTTTTATTACTGCTTTCTCCCCTTTTTCATTGTCATTGATTTCAATGATCCCCTTTTCTAACTTGACGATATCGGTGATATCATGGATATTGTTGTTGATAGGAGCGTCCAATTGGCTTATAGAACCGTTTTATCCGCCCATTATTAATGTAGAAATTGCAAGAACATCATAGTCAAACGCATGCCGGTACTACGTACAGCTCCACAATTTATGAAAACTTTTGTTATAAGTAAGAGGGCAATGTTGGCAGTAATTTGGCAGGTTCTACATACCAGCCAACGTTTTCTGGATGTTTTTTAACGTCGTCTGCTGCAAAGCTTATACACTTTGGTGTAACCAAGTGCATGAGGCATACTCAATACCCTTCAAAAATGGTCTCATTGATGATCGAAATCACTATGTATCATCCTAAAGTAGAATGTTTATACGCACACGAATACGACTGTAGAGCCTTCCAGGCCATCAGTCTCTTAAACGTTTATGTATTAGCTGGGTAATCCCTTTATGTGCCTGACACATTCAAAGCTAAATTCGCTTTTTAGTATTCAAAAGAGATTAGCTCGCTTTGCTCGTATGCACAATCATTTGAGGATCTACCCTTCTTTTCGTTTATCAGTATGTGAATATGAGCTTTATGTAATGAACGCAATAATGTGACATAAAGAATAAAAGCCTCTCGACACGATGGTGTAAATGATCCAATCACGCTTCCCGACCTTCGTATTTCTATTCCACTCTCAATCCGGAAGCTAACCAAGTGATCCACATCTTGTACATATAAACTTATAGTATGATACCCTCTTGAACATCAATGCATAAGTCGAAGAATAAGACATGGTAGTGTGGATGTTTATCAAGTAGATACGATAGAGGAACAGTAAAGTAAATTGAATGAGATACGGGTGCATCACGTAGAGGCAATAGGGATAATTGTGTCATTGTGTTCTTGGTTGCTGCCGTGATAAACATCCTTCATCCATGATTGTAAAGTAGCCGCTGCATGCATTGACTTGAGCACTCCAATATCATCCATGGCTGTAAGACACCTTCTTTCGTCAAAGATAAAAGATCTTCTCGTCAATCCCATCCAATCCATCATCATCCTTAGCCTTTTCCACGTGACATGATGTAGCCTCCTGCTGACGACGCGACAAGTAACCAAAGCAACATTCCAAGAAATCTCATCACTGCACTTGATTGCATCCACCCATCAAATCCAACATGTTGGTTGAAAAGAGCCATGGGATCGCTGCTGGTATGCTTGCTTTTCGATCCGGGTGTTGATCGATCTCTTGGCCGTTCTCTATCGCGGCTCGACCAGGTGAGGATTGCTTGTATTGCAGCGTACTTGATAGCTGATATGGTAAACTCCACTGGAAACCGTATGAACCAAAGCAAGTTGCTACACGTAAATAAAGCTGTTTGTATACAATGGCTATCTGTTGTTCACGTAATAAATACCACAAGGCAGTTCGCTGCAAGTAACTTGAGGCAAGAGACAATGGAGAAAAGACCTCGCTAATGGCAGCTGCTGTTGCGTTTGGTCGTGGCAGAGGAACGTGCAAGAGCGTGTGTTGTAGTAGAATGACAAGGTTGTGAACGCTGCTTGAGACAATGGAGCGAATAGCAACTCCTGCAATGAATGCTGTTACGTTTGATCGTGGCAGAGAAGCGTACAAGAGCGTGTTTTGTGTCGAGAGACTCGTGTGTTGTAAGAGAGTGACAAGAAGGTTGTGTACACGCCATGGAACTCGGCATTCAGTCAAAGACAATCGAATTAAGGCAAGTGTAGGATTGACATGATGGGTTAAAGCAAGACAATCGTTTGCAGGTGGTAGTTGTATACGTGAATGGGCCAACAGTTGAGAATGGGAGGAAGAGGGAGTGGAAGAAGTGGAAATTAAATAGGTCGGACACCTCTTGTATAAATGCATGAATCACTGTACATCAATCCTTGATAGTGAGATTGCCCCTCTCAGACCTGAATCTTTCACACAAGATGCTCTTGGACATGCTGATCAACTTCGTTCATTTAAAAGTCGCAGACTTCATTGTGAAAATTTGAAATGCGGGGCGATCCAAATGGTGGATGATGGGATCAAAAGAGAGGACGGCCCACCGCCCCGAAGTTGCCCAACTCCAACTTGAAAATTAGTCAGCAGGGTGCTCTCGAGCATGCTGACCAATATTTTCTAATAAAAACTTCATGCTTCATTTGAAAATTTGGAATGGGAGCGTCCAAAAGTTTGAAAGACGGAGACATTCGCAGGGTCTGCGATTCATTAATTTTCATATTCACTGTTCCAGCGTAGCTCGGTCAAATCGGCTCGGATCAAGAAAGTTGAATGATGGAAATGCTCGGCTGGAGCAGGAGAATTGTTCACATGCAGTAGATTTTGCAACAACGCTGATTGTGAGGAAATGGCTGATAGCGCGTAATATATGGACTATTGTGGATAGACCATAAAGTATAATCCATCAATCCTTCCAGTCATGCAAAGTAGCTGTGTTACATAAACACGTCCCTCTGCATCTTTTGCTCTGCCAGGGTCTAGCTGCTCGACAATGAACAAAGATCGCTTTTCATATAGCATCACGCTTACAAACATAAACGTGCCTGTATCTCCAAACTTTACAATGAAACATGGGGTTTTTAATAGATCAACGTGCTCGTCGGGGTCAAAGGAATCTTGTGTCAAAGTATGAAGTTCATCGTGGGCAATCCCAGATTTCGCATTGTCGCTACCAGCCAAACTGGATCTGGGGGTCGACCTCTTCGACGATGACGACCAAAAAATATTTTTTGCGCTAGTTGCGACATTGAACGTGAAACTTTCACACAAGGTGCTGTTGGCCAAGCCGAGCACATTGCTCTATTCAAAATCCCACGTTTCATTGTAAAGTTCGGAGATACAGGCACCTTTATGTTTGTAAGCGTGATGCTATATTGGAAGTGGTCTTTGTTCATTGTCAAGTAGGTGGACCCTGACAGAGCAAAAGATGCAGAGCGTCGTGTTGTGTAACACAGCTACGTTTGCATGAATGAAAGGGTCAATGTATAATTACTTTATGGATCATCTAGGAACAGGCATGTATTGCTAACTAACAGCCACTTTTATCCAATCATCATTGTTGCGAGATCCACTGCATGGGAACGATGCCCCTGCTCTAGACATTCATTTCCATGATTAAAGTAGGTTGATCCGAGCTGATTTGACTGAGCTGCGGTCAAAGAGAGATTACATCACTCTGGACATAAAGCACGCTCGATGTAGCTCAACGGATGTAATCTTGTGTGAGCGTAACTCAACCAAATCAGCTCGGATCAAGCTACTTGAATCATGGAAATGAATGCCTGGAGCAGTACAATCGTTTGCATGCATTGGATTGGGTAACAAAGGTGAATGGGAGGAGATTGCTGTTAGCTCGCAATGCATGGGCTATTGTCAATAGTATACAGTATCATCCTTCCATCCTTCCAGTCATGCAAAGTAGCTGAGTTACACAAAGAGGTCCCTCTGCATCTTATGCTCTGCCAGGGTCCACCTACTTGAGAATGAACAAAGACCACTTCTCATATAGCATCACGCTTACAAACATAAAGGTGCCTGTATCTCCGAACTTTACAATGAAACGTGGGGTTTTTATTAGAGCAATGTGCTCGGCTTGGCCAACAGCACCTTGTGTAAAGGTTTCACGTTCAATGTCGCAACTAGCGCAAAAAATATTTTTTGGTCGTCGTCGTCGAAGAGGTCGACCCCCAGATCCAGTTTGGCTGGTAGCGACAATGCGAAATCTGGGATTGCCCACGATGAACTTCATACTTTGACACAAGATTCCTTTGACCCCGACGAGCACGTTGATCTATTAAAAACCCCACGTTTCATTGTAAAGTTTGGAGATACAGGCACGTTTATGTTTGTAAGCGTGATGCTATATGAAAAGCGATCTTTGTTCATTGTCGAGCAGCTAGACCCTGGCAGAGCAAAAGATGCAGAGGGACGTGTTTATGTAACACAGCTACTTTGCATGACTGGAAGGATTGATGGATTATACTTTATGGTCTATCCACAATAGTCCATATATTGCACGCTATCAGCCATTTCCTCACAATCAGCGTTGTTGCAAAATCTACTGCATGTGAACAATTCTCCTGCTCCAGCCGAGCATTTCCATCATTCAACTTTCTTGATCCGAGCCGATTTGACCGAGCTACGCTGGAACAGTGAATATGAAAATTAATGAATCGCAGACCCTGCGAATGTCTCCGTCTTTCAAACTTTTGGACGCTCCCATTCCAAATTTTCAAATGAAGCATGAAGTTTTTATTAGAAAATATTGGTCAGCATGCTCGAGAGCACCCTGCTGACTAATTTTCAAGTTGGAGTTGGGCAACTTCGGGGCGGTGGGCCGTCCTCTCTTTTGATCCCATCATCCACCATTTGGATCGCCCCGCATTTCAAATTTTCACAATGAAGTCTGCGACTTTTAAATGAACGAAGTTGATCAGCATGTCCAAGAGCATCTTGTGTGAAAGATTCAGGTCTGAGAGGGGCAATCTCACTATCAAGGATTGATGTATAGTGATTCATGCATTTATACAAGAGGTGTCCGACCTATTTAATTTCCACGTCTTCCACTCCTAGCGTATTGCCTTTTCCTCCCATTCTCAACTTTTGCGCCATTCAAGTACAACTACCACCAACGAACGATTGTCCTGCTTCAATCCATCATGTCAATCCTACACTTGCCTTGATTCGATTGTCTTTGACTTAATGGCGAGTTCATGGCGTGTACACAACCTTCTTGTCACTCTTCTACAACACACGAGTCTCTTGACACAACACGCGCTCTTGTACGCTTCTCTGCCACGATCAAACGTAACAGCATCCATTCCAGCAGTTGCTATTCGCTCCATTGTCTCAAGCAGCGTTCACAACCTTGTCATTCTACTACAACACACGCTCTTGCACGTTCCTCTGCCACCATCAAACGTACCACCAGTTGCTATTCCATTGTCTCAAGTTACCTGCAGCAACGTGCCTTACAGCATTTTTTCATGGACCAGAAGATAGACATTGTATACAAGCGGCTTTATTTACGTGTAGCAACGTGCTTTAATGCATACGGATTCCAATGGAATATCCCATATCAGCTATCAATTACGCCGCAATACATGCAATCTTCTCCTGGTTGGGCTGCGATGGAAAGTGATCAAGAAAGAGATAGGTCAACGGCAGGATGGAAAAGGAAGCAGATGATATTGATGGATAGATGTAATCAAGTGCGATAATGAGAAACCTTGGAACGTCTCTATGGCTACTTGTCGCAGGATCGATTATTCATACCACGTGGATATGGCTGAGGATGATGATGGATTGGATGGGATTGTCGAGAGGGCTTTAATCTTTAATGAAAGGTGCTTTACAGCCATGGATAGCATTGGGATACTCGAGTCAAGGCACACAGCAACTATGTTCCAATCATTGATGAGGAGATTATGACCGCAGCAGCCAAGAAGACAATGACACAATGACACCTGTTGACTCTCATACCTGAATCGTTTGGCTATGTTGTCCATTCATCATATGTACTTGATAAACATCCACACTACCATGTCTTATTCTTCGACTTCCAATGAATAAACACTGAATCAAGCATACTTATTAGAGTATCGTACTATCAGCTCATATTGCAAGATGTATATATCACGTGGTCTGTTTCAGGATTGATGATGATAAGGATGAAAGGGAAATGAGATGGAGCCATTTACAATGACCCTATCGAGGCCTCTTTGTCATTTGTGTCGCAATGCATTGATAACGCCATTTTCTTTACTTGACCAGCATCAATAAATGTGCTCTTGTTGACGAGCGTGTCATCTTTATTTGAGGGAGCAAATCAAGTGTTCAGGTTGACTGGCTTTGATCTCAATGAATTTCAAGTGTGCTACAGCTTGAGTGATCATCACGCATTGCTTTCTTGTTTCCAATAACCCCACTTTTAGCTCCCTTTCCTTAAAGTTCTGCGCACCAATGGACGAGGAAGGTAAATGACTACTTTTATTATGAGCTACTACTACTACATTCAAGGGCTGACATGATTCCTCGACGACCTTTAGAAATCTGTCGTGTGTGTCGTTGTGGAGCGACTCCCGAACAGCCTCTGTTCCATCCTTGCAAATGTTCTGGCAGTATACGTCATGTGCATCAGGATTGGTACGTTTGTAGCAGTGGCTCTTGTGTTTGCATGGGCGTATTCGTGATACTCATCGTCGTTACTACTCTTATGCAGCTTGACGGAATGGCTTTCACACAGCAGGAAAAAGTAAGAAGGTAGTTGATATCACGACTTTATCGTTTGACACGTTGTATTTCTCGATCAGATATTGCGAGCTGTGTGAGCATCCATTTGCCTTTACTCCAGGTACGATGGTATCGAGAGGGGGTGTGTTGTGGTGGTATAGTATATTAATAATCATTACGTTATTCTATAGTGTATCGCGAGGATATGCCTGAACGCCTTCCATGGATCTTGTTTATTCGACAGCTCTACAAAAAGACAATCACCATCCTATGTGTGGCTACTCGAGCAATATTTGTTTCATGTACTTGGTTCATCTTGATCCCATATTTGACCGTGTGGAACTGGCGCTTTTATCTCTGGAGCGGAGAAAACCTTGCTGCACAGCTGGATCGTCTTCAAGATGCCCGAAACACTACGCACGGACCCTCTATCAAGAGCAATGACACAGCGGATCCATCATCATTCAGCAATAATACATCATCGGCCAATGACGATGGAAGTTTATATGCGTTCTTCAATCAAATCGATATGAGGTATGTGTGTCATTAGCTATCATGATGGTGGTGGTGGTACTAATGAAGCTTTCAGGACTTTTTGGAGCGATTGCTTTGAGGGACAAATGATTGCTTGCATTGTGGTTGTGCTATTTGCAGCGGCTTTTTTATTGCGTGAATGGCTTGTTCAGAATATCCCCACCGAACTCGACGTGGATGAAGAGGAGGAAAACGATCAAAGAGCTGAGACACCCCCTTTAGCGCCAACTATCGCAAGAGCAGAATCGGACGAGGATGATTTAACGGATGAGGAATTTTATCATCATATCGAACCACCACCTATGGATTTAATGTTACAGCAACCTCATCGCCCTCATCACAACGGCGGAAGATACACTGAGAACTTTATCGAGTCGAATGATCACATTTTCAGAGGAGAGGATGGCAGCAGCAATAGCAGCATCGGTAGCGATTCCGAGGATGAAGAAGCTGATCATGAAATGCTTGTACCACGTGGTGAGCCACCCAATGCACCTTTTATGCGACACATGGATCATCATCAACAAAACTTTGATATACAACAGCAACAGCAGCAGCAGCGTAGAGAAGAACGTCATCATCATCCACAGAACAATGCGGCACTAGCAGTAGTGGAGAACAATAATGAAATGGAAGAGGAGAATTTGGGTGACGAGATTGATGGCGTCCTTGAAGTGATTGGAATGCGTGGCAGCTTTTGGATGTTGGCACAGAATTCTTTGCTTATGACCTTACTCATCAGCCTTTGCCTGGGGATCACTATTTGGATGCCGTATATTGTGGGGATTAGTTTCTTCATGGTAAGCCTCGCTCAAAAGTGGAATTATTATCGTCATCCCACCAGCAGTAGTAATTAACTTGTATCACGTAGGCAACACCACTTGAAATCGTAAACGGTGTCTTATGGCTTGTTCGTAAAGCGACGGATCCAATCTTGGACAGCATCTTTTACCTTTGTATTGCACACATTTGGCCATTTGTCATGGAATTCTATCGGTCTTATCTCAATCCCCACATCTCGCATTATGTGGAAAGCCTTGCTCAACACCCATTCGCATCCAACTTGATGGCAGTATTTCGAAGCTGTGAACGATTTGTATATTACATTTTTCAGACGCATGATAATCCATCATCTTCCAAAGCCGTCTCCTCCTCCTTCTTTGACAACGCTCGTTCTTCTGTTGCAGGATCAACATCAACATCACCATCATCATCGTTGGCACTTGGAGGAGACAACCTGTGGATCACATTACAGCATTATCTTGACCAAGTACAACCAATATTGGAATCGATATCGAGTATCAGTCGTGGATTTGCTATTGGAAAAACGGGCTATGATCGATTCATGTGTGTATCAGCTGGCTATGCCGTGATATTTTTACTCATCGCCTCGGCTCATGTACGCTCGTCCCATGGTGCTCACAATGAAGGAGGTGGCATGTTTACAAAGACGTTTCGACAAGTGATACGGCAGCAAAGCATTATTCTCAAAGTGGGCATGTTTATTACCATTGAGCTATTGCTATTCCCAATTGTGTGTGGCATTCTATTGGACGTATCTTCATTACCGGCATTTCGAAATGCTACCATCAGCAGCCGCATCGAGCATCTACAAGGTTATCCACTCGCATCCATATTCCTACATTGGTTCCTTGGCACAGCTTTCATGTTTTTGTTTGCTGCAGTCATCACCATGTGCCGTGAATGCATCCGTCCAGGAGTGCTGTGGTTCATTCGTGATCCTAACGATCCACAATTTCATCCAATCAAAGAAATCGTCGAACGTCCGGCTCTATCACAGTTGCAGAAATTGGGCGCGAGTAGTATCCTCTATGCCATCGTCATTATCTCAGGTGTCAGTACAACTGCTTGGTGCCTCCAATTACTAAGGCTTGACATTTTACCTTTACGATGGCATATGCTGTAAGTTTATGGAACACATTGATGTGCGGTTGTTTACTATGCTAACGTGTACCTTATTGTTGGAGACATAGGCAGCCATTATCAACTGTACCTATCGATTTCCTTGTGATGCACATTGCTGTACCTGCCATGATACGCTACCTACAGCCGAAGGCAACCATCAAAAAGCTGGCAATGCAATGGATGAAACTTTTGTGTCGCGGCTTACGTTTATCATCGTATATGCTCGGGGAACGTCATCTTGATGAAGAAGGTGTATATCGACACCCCTCCAACAATCAACCATGGCGACGATTATTGTTTTGGAATCGCCAGCATCCGTCTTTTGCGACACCTACCAGCTATGATTACATCGATGGCACAACATCCTTTATGCGTGATGGTCAATTTGTACTTGCTCCCAAACTCGACAACATCCCATATGTACCAGGACGCCGTATGCTGGTACCTGTTGATCCAGAATCCCTCCAAATCTTGGACCCTGTGGAGCGTGAACTTGGCCACCCGGCAGCATCGGGTACTGATGACATCTTAACCAATACCACCATCGTGTATCTACCACCACTCTTCAAGCAACGCATGACATTGTTCCTATTCATCATGTGGACAACATCCATTGCCGCTGCATGTGCCGCAACAGCCTTGCCGATAGTATTGGGACGATGGGTATACCATACTGCACTTGGCCCATCGGTGGAAGTACATGATGTCTATGCATATTTTACTGGTGGATTTCTACTGGTGATGTTGACATTGTTAATTGTCCATGTGGCCAAAACGATTGCCGGTATGTATCGGTCGACAAGTCCTTCGATGGCATATGGTTATTTGAAGCAAAGGTTAGGGATGGCCTTTTACTTGGTAAGTGGCAATGATGGAATGGATCCTATTGAAAGCATAACTTATGCTTTATGACTATAGGTCGCCAAGCTGTTGTATATCGGTGTTACGATGGGATTGATGATTCCGGTGCTTCTGGGCTTGATTACGGAAATGTATTTGGTAATGCCAATGCGAGATTTGGGTACCCAGCCACCCTCAATTGAATTGTTGCCAATATGGACACGTGGATTTGTGTGTATGAGCATCATCCGTGGTATGACAAACCTTGTACCTGAAAACGAATGGCATAATCGAGTCAATGCGGTAAGCTGTTGTACATCAATTTCGATGCTCTTTTTCTCATTTCAAATCCAGATCTTTCAGCCCGATCTTCACGCTGTCAATATCCGTGATCTTACCACCAAAGTCGTGATGCCGGTAATGGCAGTGGGTCTAGCTGCAATCCTGATCCCAGTCGCTAGTGCGATCATGCTTATCAAATCGGGTGTTTTCGGTAAGCTGTTTGGTTAATGTTGGATGGAACGAGGGTATTGAGCAAAAATCAAATAGGTGATATGGACTCAACAACGCGTATTCGGTTTATTCAATCAATGTATCCGGCTGCTATGGTGACGGTCGTGGTGTATTACCTATGTCATGTGGGAGCAAAATTCATGCAAAGCTGGGTACAAGCCGTTCGTGAAGACAACTACCTTGTTGGTACCATTTTACACAATCTCGAAAGCTAATAGCGGCTGCTCCATATCCATCTTTTCAATACTCTCTGTTACATACCATGCCTTTGTGAACACCCATTGTATTTCAATTCTCATCTGCATTCTCATTTGACTTGTCCCTTTGCTCTCTTTTCTTTTTCTTTACATATTTGACCTCCTTTTTCTTTGCTTTTCCCGCCAATACATATATACATTATCCGCATCGGAAATATGGACCTCTTTTGCTGGATCATGTGAAGTGGCTATGATGGGCATGTCACTGGATAGATGATAGAAATGGAACTGCGTTGCAGAATATCAACTTTATCGGAGCAAAAAAAGGCTACAGGCCACGTCAGCATTACATTGTCAGCCATCCGGGATCGTGGTTATAGAAGATATGAAAAAAAGGAGTAAGCCTGCACACATAAATAAAGCGGCACTTACGAGTGATCCATGCTACTGGATTTCATTTAAGCTTGTACGGAGGGGGAGAGAGAGAAAACAATGCTTTGGCTGATGAGCCTCTACTGCCGTTCAAGGTATGGTGCGCGCACAGACACCCAATGGCCATGCATTTGTTGGATGAATGCATGCTATAACTTGCGTCAAACTATATGTGATCTAGTGTAATCCTTGGTTGTCAAATCCCCGATCCGTCCCGCTCTTTGATTCATGTGACACCTCTATTGCAGCACGCGTGGGTGCCACCCAATGCGTAAGGTTGCTCTTGCATACAAGGTAATGATCATGGACAGCTACTGATTAAAGGTAACATGCTCCCAGCATGGGTCTTAAGATGGGTCCCAGGGTTGTCATTTATGTGTACACCCTATTTTCTCGGTTATCTAGAATTGTTTGATAGCCTACCAAAAATGGATATTGACTTGATGATTCCCTAAATTCTTGTGTATCCTTGCAGATAATCCTCCTTACATTACATTCATCAAAATAAGGGCTTGCTGTGTCTAGACAGAAAAAAGATGATGATGATTCAATGTAGTGTATGCTGTAGCGGAGGTAAAGTAGTGGTTGAGAGCAAGGTGAGTCCGAGAAAATGAAGAATATAACGTGCCATCAGCTTAACTTGAAACCGTTAGTGCACCTTTTTTTCCCTTGCAGCCTTTTCGCACTAAAACGTACCAAGTAAGCATTGACTGTCATTGTTTCTTTATTACCTTATGAAATCATCATTCATCCCCAAATCTTCTTCTTGCATGGTTGATTATAGATCCATGAGCATGGAACAATGAGTGTCAAATAGCAACGGGAATGTCTCTTTGAAAGATGATACGAGTGTACAAGTTGCATGCGATGTCCCTTTTTTGGAAGCAAACGGGCGTCTTAACCACTTTGGCAGGATACCGCGCGCATTCATAATTCCGTGGTGGTCATTGCTGTTGCCATGGTATTTGTGTTGGGATACTTTTTTACTTTTTGCTTACGATGCTGATATCCTTCCTCCCTCATCTTGCGTAATCTCCGAGCCCGCAACGCGGCGACAGCGTAAAAGTAGACATGGTTTGCTTTAGAGGCTACACCCATTTATTCACTTTTCAATGTAAAGGGTGTGTTTGGAAAGATCATCGTTCTTTGTAGAACATCAATTTATTGGCAAAAGAGAAGGCGTGATGAAAATTAACTTTGCAATTACATTGCGTGTGTATATAGGGTGACCCTGATATCGATCGGGTCAACGTATGATCCCCCTCCGCATACATACACACACACACCCATTACAAAATGATACCCCGCTGCTATTGATGATGGTCATCAACCTGTCTTGTGGATATGTAATAATTATTGGCTAATTCTCGGCAAGTTGGCGAGCCCTTTGTTTCCATTGCCATTCAACTTGTTCAATGATCCCAAACATTTCCCGTCATTATCCATGTGGTGATACAACCTTTCCCTTTTATCCATTGTAAGGGGTGAGGGGGGGTAGCTGAACATTTCCATCCATTCGCGCCACATACTACAACAACATGCATCCAATTGCGGTCGTTGATAGTGAAGTGTGACGATTGGAATGGCTTCATCAGACCGCTCATAATAATAGAAAGCGGCTGAATGTGTCATATGTGTGACGCTACAATATCGGCATGTCCCTGAGCTCTTTTTGTCTTGTTTCGGGTGTAGGATGCTTTTTGTGTTATGAGTATTGTGCTGCAATGTTGGTAAAGCGCCGCTCCAATGTATAGAAAAGAAACTCGGATGTCGTACAGAGTATATTGCCTGGACAGAATGGGAGAACAAGATTAAACCTGCATATATAAAAAGGTTTGTCAAGAATGCCGCCCCTTGCCACGTTTTATTTTTTTCATCACACACTTCTTTGAAAGAGCTTGGTTCTCTTACGTTGCCATCTACAACAGCAACCCCCTTTTCAGTCCTTGAACAATAACCCCTTACCTTTCCTTTCTTTGAACAATGAAGCTCTTGCTTTTGATTGCCCTTGTCATGGCTACGTTCTTTGGAACGCTGGTTAATGCCATGCCCCTTCCAGAATCCTTCCATGAAGTATCGAGTGCCCACTTGCAAAAGAGATGCCATCACTACAACAAGCATCATACTGCTGTGCCTTCTTCCTCCGCTAGCCATCATAGCAAGGATAGATCAGGTGCTTCGAAAACATCTTCGGCTGCTCACCACAACAGTGACAATGACAAGGAAACCGCTAAGCCTACTCACACCAGCAAGGCTCATCATCATAGCAGCTCCAGCTCCAGCTCTAGCACCTCGAAGCATCACTCGTCGTCTTCGTCTTCTTCTTCTCATCATCACAAGCCATCTAAGACCACCACGACTGAAGAGCCAACTACCACTACTACATCGACCACTACCAAACACAAGCCCACTACCACTACCACTACCACCACTACTACCACGACTCCAACTCCCGAGCCTACCACTACTACCACAACTACCACCACCACTACTACCACGACGACTACTACTACCACGTCTGACAAGCCCAAGCCCACTGATGGCGGTGGTGGTGGCAGCTACGACCACAGCGGTGAAGGCACATGGTAAAATAACTCCTAAAATCTTTTACAATGGATCACTCTTGCTGACTTGTTCATTGTTGGATAGGTATACTCCTGGTTTAGGTTCGTGTGGTATTACCAACTCTGCAAGTGACTACATTGCCGCCATGAACCATGTTGATATGGCCAATGGTGCCAACCCTAACAATAACCCCAACTGCAACCGAAATGTCCAAATCAAGGTAGGTTATACAATGGAGTTCCTTTCTTACAGCCTATTAACCATGAAAAATAGGGTCCTAATGGTTCTGTAAAAGTCACTATCACTGATACTGTAAGTGTACCTTGAAATCTATTACATTCAAGTAGACTCACTCATCTCGTTTTCTACAGTGCCCCGGTTGTGTAAAGGGCGACATCGACCTTAGCCCCGCCGCTTTCCAAGAGTTGGCAGACCTTGGTGATGGTCGTATTGACATTGAGTGGAAGTGGCTCGATTAGTCAAGTATCTTTATATATAGTCAAGAATTTTTCACCAATGTATTACTTAGCCATACACAAAAGAAAAGCAACAGCTGATTTTCATCTGCCGTGTATATGATTGATTCCTTTGTTGCCATCAGTATCGTAAATCACGGTATTAAGGACGTGTGTATGATAGTTGCTATGTGTGGAGGCTTCTTTGTTTTAGCTGCTGCAATGAAGTACAAAGAGCACATCATTCAAATGAAGCATTGGATTAGCTTACAAAGGGTTATCAAGTCAACTGCTACGAATGCGTATGTAATTGCTCATATCAAATCAGGACATCCTATCGGATCATGATGGAGGTATTATACTTTATGACAAAACGAGTGGGGGATGAAATACAAAGGGGGAGTAAATAAAATTGGATTACATTCACACAACAATTGAATGATGATGGATTCCACTACTCTAATTACAGCCGCCGTGCAAGTGATTGTTCGATATACTTGTTGATGAAATCACGACGTTCTTCCATATCCATTCCAAATTGCTGTGATAGGACATCACGAACCTGCTTCTTGGTGAGCTGCATCAAATCATGAGAGTCGAGGATACGTTCAATGGCATTGACAATAGCCCGATCCGTGGGTTGTTGTTGCTGTGTTGATCGTTCACTGCATCGGCTTGCATTGCCCCTACTGCAAAAAGAGCTTCGATCGTCTACTACAGATGATGCATATGGTGCGTAGGGTGGTGCTTCTTCAGGATGGTCTTCCCAATAAATCATATCATGCTCATGGTCATCCCAGCGTTTGGTTGGCACTGTGCTTGGGTCAAATGATCCTTCGTCCGGTCCAACGGCTTTTTTGCTGCCACTCTCGCCCACCACAATACGTGTGTTGCCCCATGAGAAATCATCAAAGTGCCAAAATGCATATAATGGAACGAGGAATGAAAACACAGGGATGGCAAGAATGTACACAATCATCCATGCAATATGCTCCCACTATAAAAAGATGCATTAATATCGTCAAGTAGATCTTTGAGCAATATAACTTACCTTGCGACGCATGATAAAGATGATAGCCTGTAAGCCATAAACGCCTGCCAGAGTAATCATGGATATAAGAGGCACTTGAGAGGTACTTGTGCTGAGCTGGTAGATGAGATAAATCAAATAGCAAACAACAGCTGGCATCACCAAGGTACTCAACAAATCGAGCATGACCACGAAACGCATTGAGAAGCAACAAAAACCACATAGCTGTGGTAAAAACATAAGCTCGCCAAGGTTGTGAATAGTTGAATTGATCCAACGACGTCGTTGTGAGAGCAATACAGGCCATCGATCTGGGGCATTGGTCATGCATGCAGCATCGGCTGTGAATTTTGTCTTGTATGACGGGAAATGCTTGAGGATGAGTGTGGTCAAATATCGATCTTCACCAAGATGCAATAAATTCTTCATGTGCAGGGTATCAACATTTGTCTCTGCATAGTCATTGATAACTTGATGCGACACAAGTAGCGGGCGATTGGTAGGACTGCGTACTCGATACATGCAAAAACATCCTGGTAAACATGTCACTGATCCAAAAAGGGATTCAAAGGCCTTGGAAAGGTAATGCGAAATGTAGTATTCATAAACTTGAATCATTGTCACCCACGTGTCGTCTTTGTTGAGGATCTGTGTCTCGCCACACAAACCAACGATCTTTGGATCATGCACAAAATGAGCAACCATCCTTGTGAGAGCATCAGGTAGGACTTCGGTATCGGCATCAATCATAAGCACCAACTCGTAAAAGCTTGGGTGGACACCGATGACATTTTTGAGCTCGTGATACATTGTCAACTCCAGTGGTGTCATAGGCATGTCATAGTGCACCTTGTTAAGGAACCTCATCAACACCATTTGTGAATCACGTTTACCCCTGTTGCCAGCCTTTTGTCGTTCAGAGGGTGTGCCAACCTTGACAACAACAATGTATGGAACCACATGACCTGCATGTTCATAGAGACCAGAATACACCTTGGCCATGTTGTGTTGTCGTGCCCCTTGTGCCAATGCTAAGCATGATACTGCTGGTGGATCAGCAGCCTCGGGATCAACGCCCAAAATGTCGAGAACAATACGTGGAGTGCTACGATCGTTGCCGCTTCCCACAATCATTCCATCGGCAATAATGAATAATAGCTTGCGTTTGTCGTCGTATCGTAATGCTGCAACCGAATCAATCGTCTTTCGTAACGATTCTTCGCCTTCTGTGTAACATGGCACTTGGCATACAACGAACTTGTCGTATTCATCAGTGCTTTCTCCCTTGTTTCCTGCACCTGCCAAGAACAATGCTGCCAAGAATTTGAATAAAATGACGCTGCACAAGAACACAGTAATCAATAAAAGCAGGTATTCGGAAAAGAGGCACCTTGCCGAATTGCGGCTGTCGACCTTGCCAACAAAGAACAGGTTTCTCAAGCATGTCAATTGTCGTGCACGCTTATCGGTATCCATGGGCAACGAGTCAAAATGTGCTGAGATATCAGTGCCAGCAAGCTGTCGAAAGAGCTCCGTGATACCATTGTCGATAAAATCTTGGCCAATGAGCGTGCCATTGATAGGCTCTTTTGAATTGACACCAACACCACCAAGCATGTATGAGGTAAGGTCGTAAATGTTGTTATGCAAGATTGCCCATCGTCTCTCTGTACGAATGCCACCCACTTGAACCGGCCATGTTGCTTGGTTACGAATATCCTCTGGATCGTATCCCATGAAACCAAGGCGATAGTTCTTTCGCAAATACATCATCTTCTCAAAGTACCAATCAGGTCGATAATCATCATTTTCATTGCCGTATCGGAAATCATGGAACCTTGCATTCGAATCGGTGATATTGATGCGTGTATCAAGGGTCACTTGCAATGGTACGGGTGCATTGTTACCATCGCATAATGCAGACACTTGTACTGGGAATAAGTCGCTGATGTCTTGTCCTGCATATTGCAACAATGCGCTATTGGGGATCACTTCGCTTGCCCAATGCCTTGGTGCATACGTCGATAGATCAAACACTTCGCCACGTATCGCAACATAGGCATTATCTCGGCTGCTCCTTGCTTGCAATTCGCTTTGCGTGTATACATCTTGATGTGGGCATAGTAGTTGTCCAAAAAAGCAAATGAACCAAATCATTGCTCCACACAATAAAAGAATCAACATGCACAGCGTCACCTTTTCACGCCATGCCATCCGAATATCGCTGCGTCGCATACCACCCATTTTGCTAAGCATTGCACTCGGGATCCACCATGTTGTCAGCCATGTCAATGACGCCCAAACTCCTCGTGCTTTGCTGATTTTGCGTTTTGGCTTTTTGTCTCTTTTCTTCTTGCCATCATCCACACTCTCAATCATATTGACAGTAGCACCTCCTTTAGTGAAGCTGGATCCATCACATGTTTGAGATGCTGTGCAAATAGACCCTGAGTCATTGAGATAATGATCATCCGAAGAGCACACCGATCCCGTATCGGCAATGGAGCCTCGCATCATATAGGATCCTGCATCATCACCCATTCCTCCAATTTGGCTATCATTGTCTTCGTCTAAATGTGAAGGTAAATTGTATATTAGTATAACAAGGTATCCACATGATGACGAAAGGATACCTACCAAATGGAATCCCCTTAGCAGCACAACGGGCCTTTCGTTGCTCACGCTTTTCCATGGCCCTCAAACGGTTCTCGAGCATCATCCATGCATGGCCATGCAAATACACCTACATCAAATTCTTTAATAACCTTCTTCAATGATAGATGTCATCACCACTGTACCTGTTCTTTGCCAATTATCATCATACGTGCGTTCCAGTTGTACGAGTTCATCACAGCTTGACACTTGAATCGGTCATCAGCGTTTGGCGTAGTTGTTGCATTGGGCGTTTGATTGATGATCTCGGTGTATCGCTCGCAAAACTCAGATAGTGTCATCATTGAGGTGTATTCGTTACGTGCACGTACGGTCAAATCGAGCACTCGTAACATTTGCAGCTGTGCTGCCAGCTTTTTCCCATCACATGAACTTGGCAAATGCAAATCGTTGGGCTTCAAACATAACACCCACCATACTTGGGTCTCTTGTAAAGTCGCCTTGAGCTCTTCCAAAGCATCGTTGATTTGTGCTACTCGATGATGATTATTTGGTTGCTGTTGTTGTGGATTTCCCTTCTCGCTATCCTGTTGCTTTCGCTTCATGGAAGGTGATCGACGTGGTTTTGATGATTGTTGAGCGGATACAGGGGTGCTATTATGGCGTCGACTGGTGGTGCTGGTTACTGTTTTTTGCTGAAAGATTTGTCGTAATACTTCGTTTGTGCATCCATCCTCCTCACTCAATGCCACGAAATCCGCATTCAAATTATCAGTGGCATGGGCCGTATCAAAGTCCTCACGTTTGTATGTTGCAGGTCCTCCAAAGTGCTGAATAGTGAAATAAGAGGCCCCTTTCTTTGATGTCAATTGGTGCCGAGAAACATATGCATCCAAGTTATCGCTTTGGGTTGCTACTTCTTTCATGACATCTGCCACACCAGTGCTGCGGAGTACAACTGGCTGTTGTCTTAAATCACGATACACTTCGCTGTGGGTGTTGGTCAAATGATCGAGCATGAATTGGTGCATTTTTTCATTGGCAAAGTTGATGGCAAATTGATCGAATGTACTCGAACCCAGATCCTGCCCGGGGAAATCAAGCAAACCAAAAAAGTTTTGAAATGATGGCTTGCATAGCTTTTTGTTGATTGCTTCAACGATCCACGTAAACACAAGCGAGTACAATGTTTGAGCCAACATGTCACGTTGACGAGAAGCTTGATCAGCATCCAGCACTGTTGTCACCATATCCTTCTTGACAAGCTTGGTTTGATACATGAGCACATTCTCGAGTGCTCTTGGCTCTACACCCATGAGTTGTGCTGTAGTCTCGAGTTCTTGTGGTGTCTTGACAATGACTTCATCCTTGCCGGGTGGTGGTGGTGCAAATTGAATGTTGCCCAAATGCAAAATAGCTGCCAATAGCTGTGTCAGGTGCGTAACTAGGTTCTTGTTGCTGGATCCCAATATCGCCTTTAGGTCAGCTTTCAATTGTTGTAGGTGCTCTTGGCTATCAAGTGTTGTAGATTGCAATAATCTTGCTGCCTCTCTAGTCTTGTACAAATAACGTAGATGGCATCCATCGCCCAACTCGAGTGATTTATCATGCACAAGATAATAAAACACGTGAAAATTCGAAGTTGTCTCATCCGATTCGGTCACACGTGAACGCTCTAGCAAATAATCGAGAAACTTGGCACCCATCATCCTTCCTCGCTCATTCATTTGAAGTTCCACAAAGCTGCCGTATCGTGATGCATTGCTGTTGCCAAGTGTCCTGCAGTGGCCAAAAGATTCAAGTACCCGATACGCTCGCTGCACAAGTTGCTGTACACGATCCACCTTTTTGTTGCCGCTGCTCAGTGTCATCAAGTGCTGCAACACCGTTTCTCGAAGACTTGTTTTGCCGCTACCTGCCACACCCCTACATGTTTTTGCATGGTTAATGGTGGGTCGTGTGTATGTATTTATGTGGGATACACATGCCTGAAAATCATTGATTGATCTCGTCCAGACCTCCGCATATGGAAATAGGCTTGGTTGACATGTTGAAATATGTGTGGATCGAGTAGCTGTGATGATGATGATGATGATGTGCTGTTGTTGTTGTTGGTTCCCCCTCGAGCAGGCTCCTTGTATTCGTTCAAGTACTGCTCGCTCACTTGTGCAAGGGATGTGCCGATGATGTCTTTGTATGGATTGACGACGACCAATGTTGCATTACGTATTCGTGTATAAATCTTATCTTGGAGGAATCGTGTTCGTATAGCATTGACAATCGCATCTTCTGTCAGGTGACCAAGTTCAACCAGATCATGCGGCTGTTGGCTAGTGGTGGTTATTGCTGATCCGCTCATGATGCTATGTGCGTGTGGGTGTGTATAGATGTCGTAGTCGCTCTCGTCGCTCTCTCCAGCTATTGCTCAGCTCAAACTCCTTTGTATTAAGTGGTGGATGATAGTTGCAGTAAAGAAAAAGGTTGGAAAAGAGAGAGAAAGAAGGAGTCGCCTAATTATTTTCTTCATCAACAACATGCTTTTTCGTCCCTAACCCCTTCATCCCCTCCTCCTCCTCCCATATCACAGCTGAATGTGTATCAGTTAAGTAGTAAAATGTGCGTGTATGCGACGTATATGTGTGTACACCACAGCACTGCAACCCCCTTTTTTCACTTACACTTTCCCCCCGCCTCCCTGTATGTTCTGCTTACTCCTTGTCTATTCTTGCCCATGGAACGTGCTTTCTTGCTTTTCACTGATAGCTGAGTATAGCTCTCCCCTTTTTCCCACTGACATCCGCTCTCTGTCATTTATCATCTCTTCCCGATATTACTGCTGCTGCCCATTTCATCCGCAGTTGTAAAGTGCACTTGGGTGATGTTTGTTGTCCCTGCCTCACACACCGCATGGTTTCAAATCCAAAAAGCGTATGCACATGTTGCTATGTTTGTTGCTGGCGGTATATAAATAGTGGTGCTTTATAACTCGTCCCGAGAAAAGGAAAGCGTCTGATTGTTGTATTTTGGCAAGGTGACATCCTTGGAAAGACCAAAGCCGTATGATCCCCAACCAAGTGTACAAAAATAATCCTCCAAAAGTTTGATAGCTTCATCATCGCCTGCTGCACCAAGTGCCACATGGAAAGGAACCAAATGCTAACAAAAGTATCATCATCAATATATACGCAATTACACATTAACCACACATCTATCTATTTACCTCAGCGGTGGGATGGCATTCACGAAAATGAGGATGTCTATCAAGCAAACATGCTTCTTGCTTACGTGCATCGCCCTAAATCATATATAGCATGAGCTGCTGAATCTCATAGCAATAAACCAATAACTCACAATTTGAGTACAAGCTAATTTCTCCATTTGCTTGTCAAAGTCAACGACAAATGATGGGGTAGGTTTTCCAGCAAAAGACCAAAGACCACGTAGGTTGTGTACTGCACTGCCACTGCCGATGATCACAATATTCTCGTCTCTGCATATGCATACATATAAGTTATCTATCTTACATACATTCATGCATCCAAACTCACCTGAGAGGAGCAAGTGCCTCACCCATCTTCGTGTGCATTGCCATATCTTCATGTCCAAAAGTAGATACTTCAACAATAGGAATATCCTTATTGGATTGCATAGCTCGCTTCAAGGGCACCCATACACCGTGATCGTTGCCATATTGTTGTCCCGTCGCCTTAATCCCAGCCTGGATAAACATTGGTTAGCAACCCGTATCAATCAACGTTTCCAAGGAGATGACGCTACCTGGTTCAATAATCCAATGACTTTCTCAGCAACAAGAGGTGATCCTTGATGATCCCAGGTTTGCTCATAATATCGTTGAGGGAAGTTGTAAAAGTCGTAGATCAACTCTGGCTTTTCGGATGTGTCCACTGTAGCAAACTTTGATAAGTGATCATGCATGAGGAACCCTCCCCCCATATCATCAGGTGACACCTACCAAAAATGCCGTTCTTGCCCTGTCCTTGCCAATGGGCACTGATTACCACGATCGCACTTGGCTTGAGCTGCTTGAGATACTTTCCAAACCAATTGTAAAAGTCTCCTGGCTTTTCTTTGTCTTCAAGAAGATTGGGACCTACATGACGAGTGAGCCATTGTGGAAGCGTCTCTTTTTGTGCGAGCATTACCGCCATGGGAAATGAAGAAAACGGGTGCTTTCATTGTGGAGTTGGTTGTCGATTGTGTGCAGTAGTTGAATGTGGTGGAAGCAACAGCGAAAGAAGAAACGAGTGTTGAGAGGCGAACAAATGCACGTTGCATAAAGAGATACCCATCCCCGGATTACCCGATTCCGCCATTTTATACCATGCTGTGCTATCTTGCTTGGTAAGACATGACAAACCCATTGGATGGCGTCATCGGTTTCTTTTTCTTCAACCATCTTAATCATTGTAGCTATTCGACGTTAATGAAAATAAACAATTCCTTGCTTTTGATATGCATATCGTCGCCGTTGGTAACAAGGGATGGGCATTGTGTGAATGAAACTCTAGGTCAACGAGGTATCCATGGCATTATTGGATGAACTTGTCCATGGACTAATTATTCGGGCATATGATTGTAAAGGTCCTTCAATGAGTCTCACTGACACAATGAATCACCTCTTTATCCCGTCAAGACCGCGCGCCAGGTGACACAAAAAGATCCCCATGGCTCGCTTTACATTCGGCATATTGTTTAGCGCACATGTCATCAAAGGTCTTGTTTATCTTTGTTACTTGATTATAATCTTTCACCGTATACCGATAAAACAACTATCTTACAATGTCGAAATACAAGAAAAGAACGAGCGTTAGGATGTTATGGACAACAGCCAATCACCAAAAAAGGAGATGAGTTGTTTTATCGATATCGTATGCAACCTTTGTTCTTCAAGACACAACGAAACAATTGGATCGTGTGGACGGCCCATGATCCCCCGAGATGGCCCATCTAGAACTTCACACAAGATACTTTCGACCACGTTGAGCAAACTTTGTTCTATTAGAGTCCCCCCGCGATTGAATGTAAACAAGCACCTGTATGTTTTTACTATGCTCCTGTAAGCGTGATGCTATATGAACGGTGGTGTTTGTTCAATATCAAGTAACTAGGCCCTAATTGAGCCAAAGATTCAGAGGGGCTTGTCTCTGTAAAAAATCCAATAGGGCAGGACTAAAAGAGTCAATGCATGATACCCTCACTCTATAAAGAATAGTCATAAATTGGCAGGTAATAACCACTTCTTCCCATTCCCAACTATTAACAGATCCACTGCATGGGAACGATGCTCCTGCTCCAGACATTTATTTCCATGATTCAATTGTCTTGAGCCGAGCTGATTTGACCAAGCTGCACCCAAGCAAAGATTACATCAATCCGTATACATGTATGCTCCGCCTATCTTAGCTGATGTACCCGTTGTTTGACCGCTGCTCAGTCAAATCCGCTCCGATCAAGGCAATTGAATCATGGAAATGAACGTCTGGAGCAGGAGCATTATTCTATTGTCATAGAATGCACAAAAGTTGGATTTGGAGGAAGAACCAATTATCAGCTGTTGCTGAATAGCTTACAAAGTATCATCCATTGATCCTTTCAATCTTGCATGATAGGCAGTGTTACACAAACACGTCCGTCTGCGTCTTTGGCTCTATTGTAGTCATACTACTTTACAATGAACAAAGACCTCTTTTCATATAGCATCACGCTTACAAACATAAATACGCCTGTATCTCTAAACTTTACAATCAAACGTGGGGTTTTTATTAGAGCAATGTTGCTCGGCGGGGTGAAAGCGATCTTGTGTCAAACTATGAAGTCCATCGTGGCCAATCCCAGATTTCGCAATGTCGCTACCAGCCAAACTGGATCTCGGGGTCGACCTCTTCGACGACGACGACCAAAAAATATTTTTTGGGCTGTTTGCGACATTGAACGCGAAACTTTCACACAAGGTGCTGTTGGCCAAGCCGAGCACGTTGCTCTAATAAAAACCCCACGTTTCATTGTAAAGTTTGGATATACAAGCACCTTTATGTTTGTAAGCGTGATGCTATATGAGAAGTGGTCTTTGTTCATTGTGAAGTAGCTAGACCCTGACAGAGCAAAAGATGCAGAGGGTCGTGTTGTGTAACACAGCTACGTTTGCATGAATGAAAGGGTCAATGTATAATTACTTTATGGATCATCTAGGAACAGGCATGTATTGCTAGCTAACGGCCACTTTTATCCAATCATCATTGTTGCGAGATCCACTGCATGGGAACGATACCCCTGCTCTAGACGTTCATTTCCATGATTAAAGTAGGTTGATCCGAGCTGATTTGACTGAGCTGCGGTCAAAGAGAGATTACATCACTCTGGACATGCAGCACGCTCGATGTAGCTCAACCGATGTAATCTTGTGTGAGCGTAACTCAACCAAATCAACTCGGATCAACCTACTTTAATCATGGAAATGAACGTCTAGAGCAGGCGAATCGTCCACCTGCAATAGAATGCACAAAAGTTGGGAATGCACAAAAGTGGCTATTAGCTGCCAATACATGCATTCCAAATGAGGGTTGCGTACCTGTCATGCATTGTCCCTGAAGTCCTGACTTTTTAGCTGAGTTACCCAAAGAGGTCCTTCTGCATCTTTGGCTCTCCAGGGTCTAGCTACTTGGCAATGAGCAAAGACCACTTCTCATATAGCATCACGCTTACAAACATAAAGGTGACTGTATCTCCAAACTTTACAATGAAACGTGGGGTTTTTATTAGAGCAATGTGCTCGGCTTGGCCAACTGCACCTTGGGTGCCAGTTTCACGATCAAGCTTGCCAATCCCAGATTTCGCAATGTCGCAACCAGCCAAACTGGATCTGAGGGTTGACCTCTTCGTTGTATGGGGGCTGGTATGCCCCGAATTTATTGAAGGGAGTATGTCAGAGAGTGATACCCCTAAAATGATACAATATGTGGAAAGGAAAATATGAAAGAAGACAAGGGGTGAGAGCGCGCTAATCTGAATCATTAAGTCTCATAGAAGAGACACTCCCGGAGGAATTGGAAGTGATTGTTGTTGGCGGAAAACGTTTGCCCTGGTCACAAAGCTTAGTGTGAAGGGTGGATAAAATGGGCACCGATGTAGTTCGAATAATTTCCTTGGCTTCATCAGACATGGGAAATTGCTGCAACAAAAGGTTGATGAAATGAGGACTTGGCGGAGCCGCAGATGAGTTGGATAATAACTTGTCATTTGTGGGTTCTGAAATATGATTGCTGATAATCATGTCGTTATGGGCTTCGATAGGTGAAATGTCGGTGCTAAACATTGAGACATCAGATGATTGGCTGCTGGTAGCAGTGGAAGTAGAAGACGATGGAGACATGGGTGGGTCAATGGTGGGCTTGACAATAGGTCGATGATTGGGACACTTAGCAGCGCGGTGACCATTTTGGCCGCAAGACCAACAGGGGCGATTTCGGCTTGGATGAGTAGGGCATGAAGACTTAGAATGACCAGATTTGTGACAATGGAGACAGTGAAGCGGCATTTCGGCCCATGTTGCATAAAACCAATCCTCGGAGTTTGGCCATGAAATCTTGTGTGAGAGTGACGAAGATTGCTTTGAACTTGAGACGTTTAAGGTTGCGTAACCATGCCCCATGAATAGATTGGAGTCGTGATCACGAAGAATGCCATAATCCAGAACATCACCGAAGGGTGAGAGAGCCTTACAAATTCCATCGGTAAGCTTATCACGAGAGGTAAAAGGAAGGCTGCTTAGTCGAAGATGAATGAGACAAGAATCAGCTGGTAAAGGCACACTGGGCAAGATACGCATACCATCCTTGAAGACAAGGCCTGACGTACAAGCTTTTTGGTAAACGTTGGAGTCATCGATGAATAGTTCAACAATACGGCGAGCATGATCCGAGTGAAGGCGTGCACCACAATTGTTGGGAAAGCTTGCGTTTATATGACACAAAAGCGTAGCGCGATTTTCGGAACGAGAAGTGAAGTCAAAGAACAAGCTGGTACAAGAAGCAGGAGATCCACCGGCTTTCCACACATTCGAATGTACAGTATTGTCATGAACCGTTGCTTTCAACGAATCCCGCGTTGGGGAATGAGTACGTGTTGAGGAATGAGTACTGGTAACCTTGGCATAGGATGGACGCTGAGGACGAGACTGAGTGCCTGTTTCCTTATCAGGCGATTTGATTGAATTCGCGGAAGACATGAGATCGACCTCTTCGACGACGACGACCAAAAAATATTTTTTGGGCTGTTTGCGACACTGAACGCGAAACTTTCACACAAGGTGCTGTTGGCCAAGCCGAGCACATTGCTCTATTCAAAACCCCACGTTTCATTGTAAAGTTTAGAGATACAGGCACCTTTATGTTTGTCAGCGTGATGCCATATGAGAAGTGGTCTTTGTTCATTGTGAATTAGCTTGACCCTGATAGAGCAAAAGATGCAGAGGGCGTGTTTGTGTAACTTGCGTCATTCAGCACAGGCGATGCATGATTCTTGTACACTATTTAGGAATAGTTCAAAATGCCAGCTAATAACCTTAGTCCTCCCATTCTCCATTGTTGTCCAATCCAATGCATAAGAACGATTGTCCTGCTCCATCCCAGCATGCCCATCATTCAACTTTCTTGATCCGATGAGATTTGACTGAAAAACGCTCAAACAGAGAAACATCATCCAATATCAATCAAATTGGTAAGTTATTTGTAAACTGCCGGCTAATAGCCCATTCCTCCCAATCATCTTTGTTGCCCAATCCAATGAATGTGAGCGGTTGTCCTGCTGCAGCTCATCATCTCCATACTTCAACTTCCTTGATCCGAGCTGATTTGACTGAAAACCGCTCATCCAATGGAGTATCATCCAACTTGAGAAAAATCACTTTGATTAATGATCCGTAAAATGGCAGCCGATAGCCAATTCATCCCAATCACCTTTTTTACCGAGCCCAACCCAATGCATGTGAACGATTGTCCTGCTCTAGCCCATCATCTCCATCCTTCAACTTTCATGATCCGAACGAATTTGACTGAAGGAACAACACTCAACCATTCAACCATTCAACATCAGTTCAACCTACTTAATTTCCAGCTCTTCCACTCCCACCTTATTTTCTCGTGTTCTTTCACTATACACAATCGCTAATAGATGAAGAAGGCATCATGATCTTTTACGTTTGTCAGGGGGGGGTTACACGTTGGTTGTACAAATTTAGAAGTTTAGCTGCAAAAACGAATCGATGCGCACACACATAATAGACGCCAATCACCCTCACAGCAAGTCATGAGGTGCTTGTTCGAGGACTAATACTCGTATTGTTGTTATCGACCCAAGTGTAAAGGGTATTGTTAAGGTACACACTGTAACAGGCGGGGCGGCGTAGAGGGCATAAACCAGGAACAATGAAAGGAACGACCTTCTCCCACTCCCGCTTCACAACGATGCAAGGTAAGACCAACTTCATTTACACTCTCCACACCACTAACTTCTGGCATTGCCAACAATGCACACCGTCAATGGGTGAACAGGTGGTCAATGGCAACACATTCAGCTACAACAAGCACGTGCGCGTTCTACCCATGACACAAGCTTCCATTCCAATACAACATGTAAGTTCAATCGCTGCAATTCCTTTTATTGTTCAAGTCGACCATTGTGGTACTAAAGTTCGCGTGTAGGTTGGTGTTGTCTCGTCTATACAAGACCCAATGAGGCGTCGCGTGCCTTCCTTGCCGAGTTGTCCACAATGAGAGTTCTCAAGACGTCTTTACATTGCCTCTTTTGGGTATGCTGACAACAAAGGCGTGTGGGTTGGTTTTACTTGTTATCTCACATTGCGTTTATGGTAGGTTGAACATGTTGGATGATTGTACCTCTGGCAGCAACAGGATACGGATCTCAAAGCAAGAATGCTGTATGGTTGGCTCAATGGTATGCATGGTATTGGATCTACAAAGCGAAACCTGTTAATTAACGAGCCTTACAATGAAACAGCAGCAAGATAATATGGATGACATGGAGATACGGTTTTATTTGAGGCAATGATGCTATTGAGGAATACCACAAGGTAAAGTGTCCATTATGGAATTTGTCCCTCCAAGTGTGCTTACGAAAGAAATATTAGGTCAGGCTCTGGTTGGGCGATTATTTTGATCAATCAGCACGTCGAGGATGTCATTGTATAGTACTATGCTCTCCTGGGGAATTTTGGCCCGGAAACAGTGTGACTCAAGATGCGATGGCAAGGCCAATTTGAAAAGGCATCCGCTGTGCACACGGCCTCCATCCAAGTGCGGCTATTGATTTCCTTGCCTACAGAGAGAAGGTGGATATCTCTTATGATGCCAATTTCAGGATCCAATGAGAGTATGGTACATATGGTGGCATACCTTGGCGCTGCAGGTTGATTATTTTATTGCCTTCGGATGGTGTATGGTTGCAATTCCTTGTGATCACCATGGTTCAGGGCGTCGTGTGCCTTCCTTACCGAGTCGTCCACAATGAGAGTTCTCAAGACGCCTTCACATTGCCTCTTTTGGGTATGCTGACAACAAAAGCGTGTGGATTGGGTTTGCTTCTTATCTCACATTGCGTTTATGGTAGGTGAACATGTTGGATGATGGTACCTCTGGCAGCAACAAGATACGGATCTCAAAGCAAGAAGGCTGTATGGTTGGCTCAATGGTATGCATGGTATTGGATCTACAAAGCGAAACCTGTTAATTAACGAACCTTACAGTGAAACAGCAGCAAGACAACATGGATGGCATGGAGATACGGTTTCCATTTGTGACAATAATGCTATTGAGCAGCACCACAAGGTAAGAGGTTCATTGTGGGATTGATTGGATTCAAGTGGACTTACCAAACACCATACAGTGGCAGAGCCTCTTTCGGCGATACTATTATTATCACGGCTGCACGTCAAGGATGTCATTGTATAGTACTGTGCTCTCCTGGGGAATTTTGGCCCGGAAACAGTGTGACTCAAGATGCGATGGCATGGCCAATTTGAAAAGGCATCCGCTGTGCACACGGCCTCCATCCAAGTACGGCTATTGATTTCCTTGCCTACAGAGAGAAGGTGGATATCTCTTATGATGCCAATTTCAGGATCCAATGAGAGTATAATACATATGGTGGCATACCTTGACGCTGCAGGTTGATTATTATATTGCCTTCGGATGGTGTATTTGGTTGCAATTCCTTGTGATCACCATGGTTCAGGGCGTCGTGTGTCTTCCTTACCGAGTTGTCCACAATGAGGGTTCTCAAGTCGTCTTTGCATTGCCTCTTTTGGGTATGCTGACAACAAAAGCGTGTGGGTTGGTTTTACTTGTTATCTCACATTGCGTTTATGGTAGGTGAACATGTTGGATGATGGTACCTCTAGCAGCAACAGGATACGGATCTCAAAGCAAGAATGCTGTATGGTTGGCTCGATGGTATGCATGGCATTGGATATACAAAGCAGACCCTGTTAATTAACGAGCCTTAAAGTGAAACAGCAGCAAGGCAATATGGATGACATGGAAATACGGTTTTATTTGAGGCAATGATGCTATTGAGAAATACCACAAGGTAAGAGTGTTCATTGTGGGATTGGTGTGATTCAAGTGGACTTACCAAACGCCATACAGTGGCAGAGCCTCTTTCGGCGGTACTATTATTATCAAGGCTGCACGTCAAGGATGTCATTGTATAGTACTGTGCTCTCCTGGGGAATTTTGGCCCGGAAACAGTGTGACTCAAGATGCGATGGCATGGCCAATTTGAAAAGGCATCCGCTGTGCACACGGCCTCCATCCAAGTACGGCTATTGATTTCCTTGCCTACAGAGAGAAGGTGGATATCTCTTATGATGTCAATTTCAGGATCCAATGAGAGTATGGTACATATGGTGGCATACCTTGACGCTGCAGGTTGATTATTGTATTGCCTTCGATGGTGTATTTGGTTGCAATTCCTTGTGATTACCATGGCTCAGGTATGTATGACTCTCATGCTTTTTGGGGACCTTTGCTGAAACGCCTACCATTATTATTTAGAGGGACCATTGCAGAGAGCTACTTGTCTTTTGGTGCTTTGGAGTTTACAAGATCACAGCTATGAATTGCTAAGTATTGTTGGATGAGTTTGGACAATTGTTTATGGTGCATCTTTTATAGGTGAATCATGTCAGCCATGGGGAAATGTTTATGTCCTTGGTGGTGTCAACCTTTATTGCGTCTCGGGTGGTTGGTTACCAAGCAATGGGCGATTTCTCTGGAGAATGTCAGCCAAGTCTTTTATGAGTGGATTGTATCAGCAACAAACAACAGCATCCATATCGTTGGTTCCATATCAAGCTTTATCCCATCATCTGGTTCTTCTCGTTATCGGCAATTCGGTGGGCATCCTGAAATGAAGGTCTCTTATCGATTGATCACATCAGCAACAAGGAACAACTTGTATATCTTTGATATCAGCAAGCTTTCTATCTCTTGGTGGTTCTGGTTATTGGCGATTCCTTTGATGGATCTCTACAACTATACGTGTCTTATGGATGGATCATGTCATCAACAAGCGATGAGAGTCCACGTTGATATCTTTGGTGTTACCAAGGTCATTTATGCATCTCCTCAAGGCATTCATCGTCAAGCTGCATTCGATTTCCAATGAAAAACGATTGCCATTCACATCGCTCTTTAGCCATATGTACGTCACTCCGCAGCTAGGATCTGGTTTGGGCTTTTCGATGCACAATGCTTTCTCGATTTGCATGTGGTCTTGGGCAGCAAGGATTGTCTCGTTGTCTCTCTTTGTAAGGGCTCTTCGGCATCATGTAAGTATGCTATCTTTGGTGGTATCAATATTACTCAACCTTCTCACTGCATATGCCCATAAAGTATCGTTCCATCGCTTTCAAGCCGAGTACCACCGTAGCGGGCCTTACCAACAAGCGGACGATTGCAAAGAACCGGCTGGATTTGGATATCATCAGGATTGCGTGCATATGACTATCATTGGTAACTGATGATCCGTTCTTTTCTACAATGCCTACCAACATCCTCTTTTACTATAGTGTGCGGACTATTCAGCAAGCTACTTGTCTCGTGGTCATTTGGGGTTTTCATGGATGCAGCTGTCATTGGATGTCAACATCTTTTCGTGCATATGGATATCATTGGTAAATAGTGGATGATCCGTTTTTTGGCTCCAATCCCAACCAACCCCCTTTTTTTATTATAGCATGCGGGCTATTCGACAAGCTACTTGTATTCTGGTTCTTTGGGTTATCATGGATGCAGCTGTCATTGGATGTCGACATGTTCGTGCGTATGGCTCTCATTGGTAATTGCTGATTCATTCGTTCTACAACGTCTGCCAACCTCCGCTTTTAGCTTAGCATGTGGGCTATTCATCAAGCTACTTGTCGTTTGGTCCTTTGGGATTTTCATACATGAAGCTGGCATTGGTAAATAATGATTCATTCTTTCTTTCAATGCCTACTAACACCCTCTTTCATGTGGGTTATTCAGCGAGCTACTTGTCTTGTTCCCTTTGGATTCTTGATGGATGCAGCTATCATTGGATGTCGACAAGGTTTTATTATTTGGCTTCATTGGTAAATAGTGGATGATCCGTTTTTTGGCTCCAATCCCAACCAACCCCCTCTTTTATTATAGCATGCGGGCTATTCAGCAAGCTACTTGTATTTTGGTCCTTTGGAATATTTATGGATGCAGGTATCATTGCTAAATATCGTTCTATGTGTTCGGGAAAGTGTTTACCGTGCATCATTTATAGGCGAATCATGCCAGGGTCAAAGAGCAACGTCTATAGCATCCTTCAGTGTCAGCTTGCCTAATTACATCGTTCGATGGTTTTCATTACTGTACCACCTATTGGACACTTCCTTTTATTTGCATCTGCAGCGGCAAGGCAACAAGTTCTATACCTTTTGGTGTCGCCAAGTTTTATCTCGTCTTATTGTGGTCCTAGTTGTTGACAACCCTTTCAATGGATATCCTGCTACGCATGCCTGTTATCGGTGGATCATATCAGCCACAAGCAAGAAGCAGCAATGAGCCACAGAGCCCACATCTTTAGTGTCAACAACATTTATTTGATCCTCTGGTGTTCTCGTTATTGGCCAATTGATTTCAAGAGCCCTCTTCACCGCACGTATCTTATGGATGTATCACATCAGCAACAAACAACAATGTTACGTGTCCTTTTGATGCTGTCAAGGTGTATCCATCTCTCATGGCATTCATCATCAAGTATCGCTTGGAGAAACGGCTATCAGGATTGGTCACTGTGTCGGCATCTCTACAGCAAGGAAATGTGTTTTGATTACTGGGTGGCATCAAACATCGTGGATTCTCATATGACACTGGCTAAGTATTGCTACCATTACCTCAAAGATAAAGTAGTGATATGCAGTTTTATAGGCCCATCATTCCATCAAGCTATAATTTCGCATGCTCTTCGGTGCCATCAAAGTCTCTTCTTACAGCTGTCAATGGCGAATCCTATTGAAGAATTGGAAGACGAAGATCAACATTTGAATTTGGGTGGGTGTCTCAGAAGCAAGCAAGCGATCTCTATCTTATGGTTGTGGTTGTCAAGGATACCGTTTCCATGGTTTTGGAAATCAGCTACCTGCAAGTCGTCTCTTTATCGGTGGATCTTCAGAGCAATGTTTTTATCGGTGCCATGGCGGATCTCATTCCTCAAGTACTTGTATGGATACCTTGGACGTTCTCTTGCAAGTCAATATCCTCGCGTATGCTATTTCATCAAGGCCGGATTTATTTGTTGCAGTGCATGATGTGTCTCTCTGATGACGCCTACCCAAAAAGGTCGCTTGATGGCAGCAACTACTGATATGGCGGATGTTTATTTGCTATGGGTAGAACGGGATGGTGCCTTGCTCATTTGTGTAAAGCATCGTTGGCAGCTATGATTTACATGCGACAGTGTGGTCAGCCCTATCTTGGCCCTATCAATTGCATTTGAGGATTACTGCCTTAGCCGTTGGAAGTTAGACTGTTCATCAGTAGCCTTGTGGTAGATATGGGATTATGTATTGCTTTTCGCTCTTATGGGTCGGCCTCTGTGGGCGTGGGATAGCTAACAGCCATTTCCTCACAATCGGCAATGTTGCCCATTCTATGACAGTGGAACGATTCTCCTGCTTCAGACATTCATTTCCATGATTGGATTATGTTGATCGAGTTGATTTGGCTGAGCTACGCTCATACAAAGGTTACTTCAGTTGAGCAACATAGAGCATGGTTAGATGTGTGGATTGATGTAATCCCTCTTTGGCTGTATCTCAGTCCGATCGAAAACTAGGATCAACAATCCAATCATGGAAGAAATGAATGTCTGAAGCAGGAGCACCATTCCACTGTCATAGAATGGGCAACATTGCCGATTGTGAAGAGTAGCTCGCAATGTACAGGCTTTTGTCCAACAGTATATAGTATCATCCTTCCATCTAATGCAAGTACAGCTGAGTTGCAGAGATTTCTGCATCTTTTTGTTCTGCCAGGAATCAACGCGGCAGACGAATTTTCCCAGCACAAACGTGCCTGTATCTAAACACAATGAAAACGTGGGTTTGAATAGGCAATGAACCGGCTTGGCCAACAGCACCTTGTGTGAAGGTTTCACGTTCAATGTCGCAAACAGCCCAAAAAATATTTTTGCTGGTCGTCGTCATCGAAGAGGTCAACCCTCAGATCCAGTTTGGCTGGTAGCGACATTGCGGGAATCTGGGATCGCCCACGATGAACTTCATACTTTGACACAAGATTCCTTTGACCCCGACAAGCACGTTGATCTATTAAAGAGCCCACGTTTGATTGTAAAGTTTGGAGATACAGGCACCTTTATGTTTGTAAGCGTGATGCTATATGACAAGTGGTCTTTGTTTAATGTAAAGTAGTATGACTACAATAGAGCCAAAGATGCAGAGGGACGTGTTGTGTAACTTGAGTCAGTCAGCTAAGGCGATGCATGACACTTGTACACTATTTAGGAGTAGTTCCTAAATGCCAGCTAATAACCCAGTCCTCCCATTCTCCATTGCTGCCCAATCCATTGCATGTGAACGATTGTCCTTCTCCAGACCAGCATGCTCATCATCCAGCTTTCTTGATCCGAGGCGATTTGGCTGAACAACGTTCGAGCAAAGAAACATCATTCAAGCATCAGAAAAATCATTTGCAAACTAATTTGTAAACCGCCAGCTAGCAGCCCATTCCTCCCATTCACATTTGTTGCCCAATCCACTGCATACGAACGATTGTCCTGCTCCAGACCAGCATGCCCATCATTCAACTTTCTTGATCCGATGAGATTTGACTGAAAAACGCTCAAGCACAGAAGTATCATCCAATTTCAGAATGACCATTTTGCAAAGTTATTTGTAAACTGCCACTTGATAGTCCATTCCTCCCATTCATCTTTGTTGCCCAATACAATGCATGTGAACGATTGTCCTGCTCCAGCTCATCATCTCCATCCTTCAACTTTCTTGATTCGAGAGGATTTTGATTGAGCAACGGTCAAACAAAGAAATGTCATCCAACATCGTTTCAACCTACTTCATTTCCAGCTCTTTCCACTTTTAGCTCATTGCCTCTTGCTCCCATTTGCGATTGTTGGCCCATTCAAGTACAACTACCACCTGCGAACGATTGTCCTGCTCCAACCCGCCATGTCAATCCAACAACTGTCTTGATCAGGTTGTCTCTGACTGAATGGCAAGTCCAGGGCGTGTGCACCCCACTACAACAACACACCTTCCTTGATACAACACACACTCTTGCACACTCCTCTACCACGACCAATCGTACAGCATTCATTCCAGCAGTTGCCATTAGCAAGGTTTTTACTCCATTGTGTCAAACAGCGTCCTTTATTTGCGGCAACTTGTCGACAGCCTTTTTCACATGAACAGCAGATAGCAGCCATTGTATAGAAACAGCTTTATTTACGTGTGGCAACTTTTTGCTTCAATACATACAACCTCTTATGGATATGAATATGATACGGATATGGTTTGGTACATGGGATGGAAGGAATTGGATACATGCAATACGTGGAGAAAGAGCCTTGTTCTTATTTGCCCATTGTCAACTTGACATTATGCGTCCAATGATCGTACTTTACACTTTACACGCTATTCTATGGCAGCTACATCATCATCCTTTGTACAACCTGGGGACCATGTACAACCATGCAATGATTCGCCATCATGCATTCAAGTGCCACCACTCACCTTTGCACAATGCACGCTCAAAGGACGGAGCATTTCCAAATCTATGTATATCCCTCCATCTCTCTTGTTATCGATGTTGGATTAAAGGATTGCTTCTTCAGCGAATACGGGATTGCGTTGGTAACCATGTCAACTGTCTATCGTGTAAACGACCTTTCTGAGTTGGATCTCGTCGTGTGTGGGACTTGATGCAAGTAGCTATCCTTGTGATACTACAATAAAGGAAGAGAAAAGATCTAATTGATTCATTGTGCCGTGAACAAAGGATGCATACGATAGCACAACTCAACTCCGTTTTTTCTACAGACCAGCCCTTTTATGGAGAGTACGTAAAGAAATCACGCTTATTTTGTATGTTTGCAGGGTGCAAATGCTATGGCTAGCATGCGTGTGGGTGTTGATCATTTAATTCAGTTATATACAAGCAAGGTTGAAAAAACAAATGGTTTTGACTAAAAGCAAAAGGAAGAATGTTGAGTGTGTGTGTGTGTGTGAGAGAGAGAGAGAGAGAGCAGGGTGAATGATGAGCTATGTGTGTATGCTTTGTGTGAAACTAGTCGTACATTGAGGGTGATTTTGAGTTACGATCAATCGAATAACGTTCATTGACAAACATCATGATGGCATGTGCAGCGGCTGTTACAGGTGAACTAGGTGGGCTTAACTGATCATCGCTTTCCGTTTCAGCACCAGAGTATCTTCCTCCATGTCGATCATCGTTTTGAAAAGAACGAGTCCGCTTCCTTTCCCACTTTCCATTTTGTAATGTACTTCGTTCTTGACTACCTCCAACATCATCTTCATCCTCATCGCAAAGCGTTGGTGCAATACGGCTAATATCAGGTTGCGGTTGTGAGCTTGACAAACCATCACCCATACGTGTATCCTCCAATGGTGGTTGTGGTGACGATGGCAACGCATTACTTCCTTCAGTCATTTCAATAGCATACGACAAGAAATCAAGCGAGCTCTTGACGGGTGGTGTCGTGGCTGTAGTCATAAACGCGTCATCAGCTCCATCACCATCAGCAGGTTGTTGACATGGTGACTTTTGTGATGATGGCATGGTAGGGGAAGATGATGATGGCTGTTCATTCATTGTACAATTGTTGTCAAGGGAAATGTCGTCTGTTGTTGATGATACAACAGCATTGGGGATGGTGGTGGTGTTGTCTTGAGTAACAGATTCTGGGAATTGCTGTGTAGTCATGGTGTTGGGTTCGGTTGCTGTGGAGATGGTTGTGGATGATGATACGGGATGATGCTGATAGTGGTGTTGGTTGTCATTGTTATGGTAAATTTCAGGGGCAGGGTGTCTGTGCTTTCGTTTACGGTATGGATCACGCGTCGATATCAATGGTGTCGAATACGTACGTGTCAGCTTGGCCTTTTTAATCTTGGCTGATGAAAACTGTCCACGTTTATCGAGGATATCTTGTTGTGTGAAACGAGGTGTTGGTATTTCATTGTATAGCTTCTTTTGTCTCTTTTTCCATTTTAGCTCCACATCGATCAGCGTGCTATTTTCCCATCCATTGTGCAGCTTGAAGCATGCAAAGTTGAGGCGCGTCTTGAGATTTGCCAAGTGCTGTTTATACAACCCATAAGTTAGCAATTAGAAACGGGATAGGTTAGCAAAGGTACACTTACTCGTGAAACATCAATGGGGGGTGGATCCATGCGTTGGTTTGTGCTCAATTGCGTGATCTCGTTTCTTGGTTGTATGGAGGGATACCCGCTATGTCTTTGAATAGCGTCGTGATGTTGTACTTGCATCGATGGGAGGATGTGTCAAAAGTGGGGAGAAAGCGGAAAAGAAAGTGAACAATGGTAAATGCGAGATAACACAAAGACAGAGGGGGGGAGTGAGAGAGAGAGAGAATAAGGAAGAGCGGGGATGCGGCACCTTTGTTATCACGCGTATGCTGCGGTTGTCAATACGCGCCTCCGCCTTTTCGCGTTTCGTACCGCGCTGACGCGCGTTTTACTTTGATACTCCACACTTTACAATTCCCCACTCTTCCTGTTTCACACTTCCATTACTCCTTGCTTTATTATCATCCATACACGCGAAGACTTTTCAGGGCACATTAAAGGTATCCAAGGCAACCATAATTTCCTTGCATCAAAGTTTTTTTCCCGCCATGCATTCAATTTTCTCAGCTCACGTGCACAATGATATATACCTTGTATATGCACAATGTCCAATCCTGTCCACATTCTTCTTCATTGCAAGCTGCTTAACAATCGTAAACATGAAACAATTATAATCTTATGAGCCAAAATCTCTATGGTGAGCTGTTGCATTTGTTGGGGTGAGACAAGATTGGGGGGGGGAGAGATACACGAGGTGCTACACGGGGTATGTGTGATAGTCGCGATGGTAAACGTAAAAAAAATCAGGCGCCGCACGCGTGGAAACGCAGTTTGAACAAAACGCCTGACGCGCTCACATGAAAAGAAGTAAAGAGAAAAAATGGAGACGCGCGCCCGTGTTCTTCATGCCAAGCGGATCTCTAATTCTAAAAGCTTCTATAACAATATACTACTGCTTTTGGCCAATCTCATTCTGCGGGTGGGCGTAAGCTTGAGCAACAAACTTGTTATGTCTTCCAAGAGCAACTACATACACACATACATGAATTCGCATGTTGATTTTCATGTGGCTATCACCGAGAGAGAGAGAGGGAGGGGGAAATAAACACACACTTACCAAGGCGTCCATTTGAGGAAAGCTCAATGCTTGTGAATGCAAGTGTCTTGCCCAATTTGTCACAGCGACAATCCTGAATTTATGGTTACATAAGCATCCATGGATACGGCATTGACTATGCACTTTTACCTACCACTGACACAACATCTCCTTCCTTGGCACTCGAAATGTAGCTAATGTTGATGTCTGTGCTCACACCTGTTGCATATAATCCTTTCGAAGCTAAAGCCAATGATCCGCCAACATCGACCTATCGGCATAAATAATGTCATCCATATGCTGTATCCCATTTTTTGCCTCATTCCTGCATCCATCGCATACCACAGTTGCAAGCAATCCACCATGCACCGACTTGAGTCGATTCTACATCATGGAGATAATATGAGTTGTCAAATATCGTTTCTTCTCATGTATGTATACTTGCCAAATGTTGCTTTTCCACAGTAAACTCGGCACGAACACGACCTTCTTCGCTGTTGATCACCTTGAGCTGATGATATTATATAGGGAATGAGTATGGGGATATACAGAGACTCGGTTGTTGTTTTACCCCTGGCAACACCAAAGAGTCGTATCCTCCTTCAGTATGAAAGCTCTACGAACGCACAAGAGTAAGTGATCCAATGTCGCATGCGACCCCATTGTTGAATTGCCAGCACTTACCTTGAGTACTTTTTGAACTAATGCTGGGGATCGTAAAACAGTGGTTGGTAACATTGCACAGGAGAAAAGATAGACGTAGATTACAAGCACTTCACACACTTGCAATGTAATTGGCTCCCAGACTGTCAAGCTCGCATCAGTTGCCGGGATGTTCCGTACACGCCCTTTCTCACATTCTTCGATATATATTACCCGGCGGATGATGTAAAGAATCTCTCAAAGGATTAGTATAGCTCATCTTCCTGCTATTGGTATTTGGATCACTACGCAGTAAATTCATCAAGACCCTTATCTTCGTGCATGATGATGATCATTCATTCGGCAAGCTCTTGGTGCATTGCTTTTTAATAAAGGCTTCCATTGATCTTCCTTCACCATTGCCTTCTTGATAAAGAAATAGGATTGATTTGTCCCATTGTGAATCACCATTGTTGAGTTGTAGCCAAGTATCCTCGAATGGATGTGGTCCTTTGTTCCTCACAAGGGCCTCTGGAGCCAAGGATATCTCATGTCCTAATTAGGAAGTGGATACGATTGGGTGGCGAGTCACTCTCATGATCGCTGTGGCCAGCGATTTTTGGCTGTAGCTAGGCATCCGAAAATGGATGTGTGATCCTAATTAGGAACTGTGATGGTTGTTGAACAGCTCTCAAGATCCACAAGATTGAGCACTCTCGATCATCGGGCGTGACGCTCGATGTCCATCAAGGACTACCTCCGATTGGTATAGAGGATCCAAATTTGATTTGCCATTAGGTGTTGTGCTTTATGGCCAAGTTGCCTCCCTCGTCCTCCACAAACGGCAATCTCTTCATCTTATTTGTGCAAAGGAAGGAAAAAAACTAATGATGTGACTTTTGCTATAATAAATATTGGATTTTTCACGATATCAAGTTCCATTTGATGGAGGTAGATGAGCATGTTGGCTGCAGAGCAGTGGGTTCTTCCTTTGGGAATAACAAACAAGGTGAAGAGGTTGCCTTTTGTGGACGAGGGGTGGCCACTTGGCTACAGCTCAATCTTGAGAGCGACTCGCACCTAGTTCTTTCTTTGCACAAATAAGGCGAAGAGGTTTCCTTTTGTGGAGGACGGGGGAGGCAACTTGGCCATAAAGCACAACGCCTAATGGCAAATCAAATTTGGATCCTCTATACTAATCGGAGGTAGTCCTTGAAGGACATCGAGCGTCACGCCCGATGATAGAGAGTAGACCCAGCTCAATCTTATGAATCTTGAGAGCTGTTCAACAACCATCACAGTTCCTAATTGGGATCACACGTCCATTTTCGGATGCCTAGGTACAGCCAACTTTTCCCTGCCAAAAATTGCTGTGTGGCTAGGTCACTCTCATCTTTAGCTGCAGCCAAAGTCCTAAAATGGAAGTAATCCTAATTTGGATATGGTCGTGCTCATGTTGATGCTGCTGCTGCCAGCAAGAAGTATCCCATATAAGGACGTAGCCTTGTTCAAGTGGAAGAGGGATTGAAGGTAACCAACGCTGGATTTACATAGATCTCATCGTATGCTGTGCTAAGTATCATCATCACGCTCTACATTTAATCCTTGTAGACAAGGGATTGCTTCCTTTACAGAAAAGAGCATTTATTTTGATATGTGCAATGTGATGTGTTTAAATGAAAAGCAAGACGGGTCCTTAATAATGACGAGCTATATAATCAAGAGTTGGGGAAAGAATCACCGTGATGAGTATGATAACCGAAATAACATCATCCCTTTAGACTTACCTCTCTTTTCCTTTCTCATAGACATCGACCCAACCGAGCTATGCGTGGATCGATCGTCTTGGCTCGATTCCTCTTTCTCCTCCTTTTGGGCAAGAGCCTAAGATAGTCCCATCTTTCTTAACATGTATTCTTTACCGCATAACAACACTATTAATGCATACCTTTTGATATGTGGAAGATGATAGAGAAAACAGCCGATCCAATTCTGTAAACTTTTGCTTTCGCTTATCAGGTCGATTGGTTAAGTATCCTTCAAAGCCGCGAATGATGTTGCCATTTTGTTGAGTATCCTCCAAATACGACCCTTCAAATAGATAAATGGCGTGTTCGAGATTGATCTATATTCACGCATGGCACATGAGCAATTTGCTTGACAACTTTGAAGAAATCACTTACCAGGTTGGTATCGACTTGCTTTTTACGACTCAATAGCGCCTGCAACTCTAATTTGGCTTCCTCGTATTTCTGACGAATTACTTGTGGAGGTTCAGTAGGTGCTGCAGATGCTGTTGTGGTAGCAGTGGTAGTCGTTGCTGTATTGGTATTGGTACCACCTGATGTGGATGTTGATGCGGCAGCAGCAGGAGCGTTTATAGTAGCAGTAGTAGTAGTAGGTTGTGGATTGGATGTTGTTGTTGTAGAGGCAGGTGTAGAAGATGATGATGCTGGTGCTGCTGATGATGTTGATGCTGGTGCAGCAGCTGCTGCTGTGGAAGATGTATTGTTTGCAGGCGTGGTGTTGGTGTTGCTGTTGTTGTTGTCAGTGGTAGTACCAGCATTGTCCTTATCAACCGTTGCCTGCTTATTATCCTCTGAAGTTGTCTCTGATCCTGTTGGTTGTGCTGGAGCGGCTGTAGAGGTCGACGTAGTTGCATCGGTAGCCGATGTGTTGGATGCTTCTTGTGAAGAGGACGAGGATTGACCCATAGGTGCTTGTTGCTGTGAATCAGATGCTGGTTGTGATGGAGAAGATTCTTGCTGTGTAGAAGAAGACTAGCTATCGAATTAGCTTCATGGGGTCTATGGATCACGATCAATAAAATAACTGGTTATAGAACATACTGCTGTTGGAGCTTCGACCATGTTTTTGTTTTCAAGTGTAGTTGGGTTGGTATGTGAATGATGAGTGTGCGGACACCAAGTTGAGCCCATAAATCTCAGGTGATAAGGGACCAGCAGCTACAAGACGACGCGCCTTGAACACTGGATACCATCATCATTGCCTACATTCATGGAGACAAGATCTTGGCATTCCATGAAATGTGTGTATTATGCATCTAAGCATCATGAAACGAGATACTAAGCCGACCATGTGATGTTGCATTGAAATCACTCTTTATCTGGCAACGAACTTAATTGATTGTAGTAGACAGGCTCACCCTGCAAGAAAGAATTACCCGATCATGTAATGCAGGGTTGTATTGTTAGGCTTTGTGGAGTTGCTGCGCCTAGCCATAGTTGCACAGGTACATTTCTTTTTCTTTGTGATGAAGCAGCTAAGCATTCATTAGCGGATGACGATTTGGCTTGAAACACAGCATATAACTTGTTCCCAGGGCTAGAACGGTCTACACATCATGGATCAACAAGACTCTCCTTCCATGTCAATAAAGAAAATCCATCATCATCTACAAGAGAAAACATGTAATCGTTTACATACAACCATGCCCATCAATAAACTTTTGTAGCAAGTACAATACGTCCTCGATTACCAAATCCAGTGGATTGAACGACGATGGCTCTTGATGTTACACACACTACAGCACTCTCAATCCATTCTCATCTCTCATATCTCATATACCCGCTCTCTCTCTCTCTCTCTTTCTTTCTCTCTCTTTTTCCTTTCTTCCTTGTCCACCTACGTCTCTACGCTCGAGCGACACAATATTCACTCATGTCGCCCCAAGACGATTCAACAACTGTGGAGCAATCGCCACCAGCTGAACACCAACACAACAATGACAAGGCGAACACCAGCGAGACTGAGGACGAGGATACCAAACCAACACACCCCGTTAAAGACAATGACGCTATTGAGCATTCGAACACGAACAAGCCAATGTCGATTCCAACCATTGTCATCAACAATAGCGAAGGTGGGAACGTTGAGCCTTTACCAGACTCGCCTACGACTCCTGAAGAAGCTATTCCAGCACATGACGACGACGAGCATAATCAACATACTCGAGAAGAGCCAATAATACATGAAGAACCCGATGATATTGTTGATGAGAAGAAGGAAGACAATGAACAGCATGTGGAAATGGATGTGAAGGAGAAACCTCAGGAACAACAGCAAGAAGAGGATGATCCAAAGGCTGAACATGTCGAACAACCACAACAAGAGGAAGAGGAAATGACTGATCATCGACATGATAAAGAGACTGAGCCCATATCACCTGCAGCCACCAACAACGCCGACGTTGCTATAGTGGATGAGGCTGTTGTTACAACAGAGCACAAGCCTTCTCAACAACCTTCATCACCGCCGGTCGAGCCCGAAAATCCCGACAATGAACAACCATCATCACCCATAGCAACAAAGGATGAGACACCACCAACAACACCATTAGTCGAACCCGAATCGCTGGAAAAACAAACTCCTATATCACATGAGAATACAATGGAAGAACAGCCCCCATCACCCGAACCGGTACCTGAAGCATCAGCAGCAGCAGCAGCAGCAACAACAGGGCTTGGCATAGCAGCTCAACAACAACAGGATGATGATGATGACGATGATGAAACGCCACTTTATCAACGCCGTATACAACCTCCATCACCTTCAGTGGCTGACTTTTATGCTGGCAAAACGGTGCTGCTCACAGGCTCCACAGGATTCGTTGGCAAGGCTGTGCTATGGAAATTGATTCATTCTCTTGGTTCAAGTATTGGCAAGATTTATTTGCTAATTCGAAGCGGCAGCAACAAACGAAGCAAAATTGGTCGGCCTGCAGATCGTATCAAAAATGAGATCTTGAACAATAAGGTAATGAATGGGTGGAAGGGGGGAGAAAATGGCATGAGGATGGATGGATGCTAAGTGGGGGAATATCATCATAGGCGTTTTTGGATCTACGATCGGACATGGGTGAAGCTGTCTTTGACGAGATCATACAATCAAAAGTACAACCTATTACTGGTGACATCATTTCGCCCGACCTTTCCTTGTCAGATCAAGATCGAGAGATGATCATCAACAGTGTTCAAGTTTTTATTCACTGTGCTGCAACGTTGGATTATCATGAACGATTGGATTTGGCCTTGGAGGTAAGTATCATGAAAGTGATGGGTTGAGGATACGAAAAGAAGACTCAACAGGTTCCTCTTAGACCAATACCTTGGGTACCTTGCGATTGATGGATCTTGCAGATGAATGTGTTAACATGGGCAAGTATATATAGATGTCACGCTGCTATAACCATCAACCCTAACAAATGTAATAGAGTCGTTTGTGCACATGTCAATCGCCTATTTCAATCCAAACATGCCTGATGGTTACATTCAAGAACGTGTCTATCCCATGGAGATTGGTGATCCTGAAGAGCTATTGAAGGAGATTGTTGGATTGGAGTTACAAGGTAAAGTAATGAAGAGAATGGGGAAGTATAAACCTATCATTGATATCTAATGGAATGGGCGTAAATATTAGATATCCCAAAGATGACTCAGCGCATCATGCAAGCATTTCCCAATACCTACACCTTTACCAAGTTCTTGACGGAGCATCTCATTCTCAAACGTGTGGATTATAATCGGGTGGAGGAAGCACAAGGAGGTAAAAAGCAGTGGCCAATTGCCATTGTTCGTGCCACTCAAGTAGGAGCTGGTGCTTATGAACCTCTTCCAGGCTGGGTAAGTAAAACTTGGAATGAAGGCGGCATGTGAATTCTAATAGGGGTTGCTTTTAGGTGGATGGTATTACTGGCACCAATGGCTCGATCTTTTTGTTGGGTCACGGGATCCAAGTCTTGCAAACGGATATTGGACATATGCCTGCTGATATTATACCCGTTGATTATCTTGCACGTGTTGCCTTGAGCAGTGCAGCCATGATCCGTGCACCTGGTACTCGATTCCTTTTGCCATACAACGAGATTATTACCGAAGATGATGGATTGAACAGCCCACTACCACAACCTATTATACCGTGCTTCCCCATCATTTATCAAGTTTCGGGTAGCAGCTTACGAATGGCAACGTGGAGTGAGATTTATGATGGCGTATGTCATTACTGGACTCGAAATACGAAGGTGTCATTGCCGTCATCCAAGGAGTACTTTGTGACCAACAAGGCTTTACTTAAAGCACGCATCTTTGTAAAGAATCACCTTGCCAACTCGATTGTATCCATGACAACAGCTATCAATGCCAACAACAGCAACAACAATGATCGATCTTATTACTCCAAGGTGACAGCACGTACGATTGAGAGTGCATCACGCAACGCCGAAGCCAATCAGCCCTTTTTACGTCACCGATGGGTATTTGACCACCAAAACGTGCGCGCTATTGCCGACCAAGTGGCCATGGACGCACAATTCAATTTGGCACAGTATCAACATATCGATTGGTTCTCGTACATGGTCAATTACAGCTATGGCACCCACACCTACATTGCTCAAAGCCCGCCTGGTTTGCGAAATTTGGTCGTACCTGATGAATGGGATTGTGCCTTGTATTCAAAGCATATCGATATTCGCCATTCCATCATTGAAAAGCCCATCGAATCCGTTGTATTCAGTGCATCCGATATCCAAAAGCGCACCGAGCGAATGCTTATTCAGCTTGTCGAGACACTTGAGAATACGCAAAACTATGATCAACGTGATAAGCGAAAGAACGAGGAATGGATCAATGATTTCGATGCAAGCTTGGATGATTGGTGCCATGATGATTCTGGTGTACTCAAGGATGCAAAAACGGCAGCCGTGTTGGGACGCTGGGGCAAGGTTTTGGGTGAACATGACGAAGCCATCAAGGTGGTTGTATTGAATGATAAGCGTGTTCGGAATAGCGTTGAGCAGGCAAGTCATTAGGAATGGGCATGAGCACACAAGCGTCGTACGCTAACGTGTATCTATTTATATAGATCATTGAGACATCAGGTGTTCCTCAGCAGACTGTGGTGGGTGAAGCGATCAAGATCCTATTGCGAATGCGTGAACGTACACAGCTGGCCTATGTATGGTTCGCGGGCGCCTTTTTGGATGGTCTCTTTAAGCGATTGTTCTCTACGATTCGTATTAGTGAAGCTGATTTAGCCAAGGTAGGCTCCATTATACCATAGCATCATTGTTGGATATTGACTTTTTCCATGTAGCTCAAAGAACAAATCAAGGACAAAAATGTGGTCTATGTTCCTGTATCAAAGACGCTGCTGGATCAGCTGCTGATTTGGTATGTGTGTTTGCGCTATCATTTACCTATGCCAGCTATCATTTGTGATGAAGGTGAGAATCATGATTGCCCTATTGAGTAAGCAAGATAACTTATGGATAACTATAGCATTGGCACTCCTTGGACCTATTTCGGATATCCTACGTATTGCTGGTGCCTATTTTGTACGACGTGATCAAAACACACGATCTCCGCTCAATACAGCCGTTACTGCAGCTTACACAGAAGCCCTTCTTCATGAACATGGTGCATTGTCGATGCTCATTGAAAAGACACGTTCACGTACGGGTCGACTTCATACAGCATATGCTGATGGTATGATTGATATGGTTCTGGAAGCCAGCCTGGAAAAACATCAACCAAGCGCACCCTCAACACCCACTGCCAACCCCCAAGCACGCCACAGCTTCCCAACATCACGACGCAAAGAGACCGTATTTGTGCCATTCCATATCACCTATGAGAAGATCCCTGAATTGAACATGTTGATCGATCAAGTGCTTGATCAAAAGCAACCCAAAACCAAAAACACACCATCAACGCTTTCACCATCATCCACTGCATCATCTCCCAACGGCAATGCAAATGGTCAGCAACCTCAATTACAACGTAGTATGTCGGCACTTGCACGTTCGTCATCATTTTTGCGACCCAGTGCATCCGTTGCTGGTCGAGCTGCCAACAAGGACAATGGTGCATCTGAAAAAGCAAAATACGGTCGTGTGTACATTGGCATTGGTGACGTGGTGGATGTACGCAAAATGGCTGATGACATGTATGTGAATGGAAAGAAAGCCTATGTTATACATACATCACAAATTGACTCTTGTTGTATAGGGATGGCAATGAAGATGAGTTACATTCGGCTGTGGCAAGAGCTATCCAAACCAATCAACATGAAGCCATGGTGGTAAGCCCGGTGGCTCTTGTGGCTGCTGTCATTCTTTTTGGTCGTTCGTCGGGCTCCATCACAATGGGTAAGCTTGCATTGTGTAACGTGGTGCAATCATGCATGTCAACTAATGTGAGTCTATCCCAGGCACCATCTATGAGCATGTGTCATGGTTACGAGACGAGTTGAATGCGAAGGGCATTCCATTGGATTGGCAAGGTAACAAGAAAATGAGCTGTTATTTTCATGGAATGATGAATAACCTTGGTTCTCAAATATCATCCAGAGCATGAAGATGTGGAAATCATGGTGGCCTATGCACTCAACCTTTTGGACGCACGTCAAAATATCACCATTGATGGCAAACGTATCACCGAGAATTCCAATGTGCGGGTGATTGAGCATGCGGATAACGTCATGGCCTTGTCTTATATGGCAAATCAGGTATATTCAGGGATCACTTTTCTATATGTACAATCACACTCACATCAAAGTTTATGTAGCTTGTGGAGATGCTTTTAGCCGATGCCTTGTTCTCTATCGGTTACCTAGCAACCGGAAGCAACGGCCAAGTTACAAGAGACGAGTTGTACAAGAGCTTTACATTCCTGATTCACCTCTTCAAAGACGAGTTTATCTACCCATGGTGCTATGAGCAGGTAAAAGTAGTCTCTATATTTATTTACTAAGATGCTAATGGATGAGATTGTGTAGAAATTCAATGAGCTACTGGATCGATTTATATCAAGAAAGGCCCTTGTACCCATGGGCGAGGAAGGAGTGTTTGAGAGAAAGGCTACCCAAGACAATGATCCCACCATGTATACGCACGTGTGCTTGATAGCATCGCTCCTGTATCCAACCCTTGATGCCTACTGGATTACCTCATGTTCATTGTCAGCGTTACGCGATCTTCCTTACATGCCACGCAAGATTATACCCGTACTTTCGCAATGGATTGCTGCACATTTGATCAGCGGTCGACGCACCATGTATCGTGAGGTGCTATCAACTGAAGTGAGCCAAAATGCTGTCGACAACTTTTTGGCAATTGGGTTCATTGAAGCTGTTCATCCCAAGACCAAGCTTTCTCCCGATGCACAAATTCTACTATTGGAATTGGGTGTTACGACGAATGAGGATCTTGTCATGGTTGCTTCGCAAGAACATTCTCAACAGGTAAAACACACACACGCGTGCATGTGAGGGTATGCATGATTCATTGCTTGCTAACCCATGTTTTTATGTAGAGTGATAATCCACTTTCCAAAATCCAAGATTTAGCAGCCTTATGCCACGAGATTGAAAAGCACCGTTTTGGTTTCAATATCCAACTCGAGACGTATCGCAACAGCCAAGTGTTTGACAAATGCCAAAACCAGATCCGTAGCATCCTTCGTTCAGGTGGCAAGAGCTATGCAGCATCCCATGGCATGAATCTAAGCAAGGACGAGGATCAAATGATCCAATTGGTCTATTCACTCAAATCAGCCGGCTCATCCTCCAGTGAATCTTCTAGGCGTAATCCTCGAAGAGTCTCGGAAGCCTACAATCTAAGATCACCATAAAAAAAGCTTCTTTTTCAACATCATGTATATCCTCCCCCTCTACCTTGTAACATCCCACCAATATAGCTCAAAAGATGATTTCAAACAATATACTAGCATTTCTTGTTTTGTAAATTAGTGGAAAAAAGAATTATGTACAAAAAGACTAACAACGGAAGAAAAAAAGAAAGAGAGACTGGGAGGGCGAAAAGGAATCAGGGTGGAAAAAGTGAGTGCAGGATTGGAGATGAATGTGTGTGAGTGTGTATATATACTTTGCTTTTTCGCTTCTCTTCAAGCCTTGTATTGTTTGCGAATGGGACCATCGACTGGTGAAAGCGACGAATCGGGTTGTTTTCGACGTCTGCTGCTTCGTGTGGTAGGAGATGGCGTAGTGGATGCGGATGGTGTAGTAGTGGTACTGGTGGATGGTAGAGTTTGAGGTGGTGAAATAGAACCTGGTGGTGGTGGGTTGACACGTAGCTTGATAGACACGGGACGCTTGTGTTTTGCATTACATGCCACACAAATGTATTGATCTGAATTGGGAGATGCGTCGCTGTTGCATTGAGCTTGTTGTACGCATGACAAGTGGAACCATCCAAAGCAAGTATCGCATCCAATCATGAGTGCATGGTCATTTTCGATAACGTCACAAATTTGACAATGGGCAGGTTCAACAATGGGGCCTGAAACAAGCTGCTTTGTGCGGTGTTCGGTAATGTAAGGAGCGAGTTCTTGAATCTTTTGACGCAAAAAGTCACGTTCATCACTTAGAACGATTTCCAGGCCTTCAAGTTCACGCATATGTTGACGAATCTTGGGAAGATCAGTGATATCAAGATGAACTTTGCTGCGACAAAACGATTGCAAATAATCACGATAAGCCAAAAGTCGAGTAGAGGTGCGGCTGATACATTTGACTTCACGTGGGCAAAACATGAGACTTTCAGCATCTGCTGCAAGATCAACAAGCTGATCCAAAGTAGGTCGTTCTTTGGTGAGGTGATAAATCGGTTGGGTTGGATCACAAATGGGACAAATAAAGCTGGCATCAGGAGCTGTTTTGCGTGAAGGGAGTCGGAGACATGCGACGTGATACCATTCGTGGCACATGTCACACGCTGCCATGCGACCCGATTCCTGCATGCGACACAAACAATAGACGCCCGTGCGTTCGGTGAGTGCGGCCTTGGTAATTGTCAATGCACTTGAATCAATCTCATTCATCAATTCCTCAATCGATTGGTTGTTGCGCACAGGTTTGAAAATGTCACGCACTTGTTTGCACCATTCATCCACACGCTTCACTTCACGTTCCAATTTCTGGCCACTTTGCATTTCAATGGGTAGAGCCGATATCTTGTTGAGTAGTCCACGCACTTTGTCAACCGAAGGTCGTCCAATCACATCCTTGGCAGCATGGGCTCGTTCAAATGCACGATCCACTTGCTTCATCGTCTCAAACGCCTGCTCAGCTAATCCGTTGACAGCCTTGTACAAGTTGGGAACACGTGGTACATTTTGGCTATCTTGAACAAGATCTCGAATGCTATCGGCTGTCACTCGCAATCCTCGATGGCGGACCATGTTTTCAGCACGTTCAACCCATTTGGCACCTTGATCACGGTTCTTGACAAGCGTCACATACACAGGATCGTCATTGGGAATGTCGCATGATTCAGCTTCATGCACAAGCTTCACGAGCTTATCATAATCAGGGGAAGAATCCTGGTTGATTTCGCGAGCTTCCTTATACCAAGTACTTTGCTGCACCATACGCTCAATCCTTCCGAATTCCTCCATGTCAGCACCAAGCTTGATTCCCGTATCATAAATGCCCTTCAAGCTATCAGCGCTGCTGTGTGGGTTTTGCAATACACGAATGGCAGCTTCCTTGTACTCTGATAAGATGCGATAGGTTTCACGTAAAGATTGCACCTCGGGTGAGCTGAAAGCCATGGTTTTGAGCTCATCTATCAGCTGGCCAATTCGTTGATAATTTTCACCGGTGGCAGGTTTCCTCTTCCTCGCTTTTGAAATGGAGATACATCGTTGCTGGCACTTGTTCGCTTCCTCGATCCATTTGGTCGCCTTGGTGATGTATCCACGCAACCATGTAGCTTCAGGAGGTGGAACAGCGATCTTTTGAGACTCTGAAAGTAGCTCGCTCAATCGATGAAGAGATGGCTCAGGATGTGTACGCATAAATTCCTGCAATTTGTCGCTCCAATCACAAGGTTGATAAGCACGTTGAAGTACAGGTCGTACAATTTCCTCCAACTCGGCTTCACTGAAACGCATATGCAGTGTCTTTTTTGACATGTCGCAACGACAAAGTAATTGAGCATGCTCCAAACATGACACCCTCGTAGGATTGCACTCGCATGTCACACGGGACAAGTAGGTGTACTCGTGGCATAAAAAGCATTGTTGTTGCTCTTCAGGGACATCCTCCTTTGAATTGGCTGTTTGGATATGTGGATATCGTTTCAATAATCGTTGTCGTGCCTCCAATTCACGTTCCTGCATCTCGTACAAGGGCGCCTTGAGCCACATGGCAGCTTCCAATGAATGATCCATACGTGCTGTCGTCACTAGCAACTCGTCATGTGAAAAGCAAGGTTGTCGTTTATGCTGTTTGTATCGCTTGGCACATTCCAATCCATAGTTGATCCATTCCCAAGGTGCAAAATTGACCGCTTCACAGAAATTAAACTACCATTTGCATGTTAGCGTACGATGCCTTTGGAGCAATCCTTATCATACGTACCCCATGATTAAAGCCTGAATGATATGCTTTTGGAAATGTGACAACAAACTGACCAGGCCTTTGATCCACTGCATATACACGCACCCCTTCTTTGAGTAATCGACCAGGGCTGAACATGGTAGTCAATTGGAAAAGTAGATCGGGTTGTTGTTCAAATAATTCAGGTACAGCTGCTTTCATGGTGTTTTCAAATTGCTCTGTATCGGCACCAGGGACACCATACCAAGTCTTTGTTTCGCCCCAATGCATGTAATTGATCGAGTAGGTGTAATGATCTTCATTGTGCCAACAAAATGCCGAAAAGCACATGCCAATGTACAACCATGGCACCATCATGCCACTGATATCCGTTTTGATATGACTGAATAACGATGTTGGTAGTACTGGGATCATGTTGAGATTCCAACGTTGGTATGCGCCTGTGGATGGTTCAAGCGGAGCAAATGCACTAATCATCCATCATTCATTGTATCAATACATGTGCGTGCGATGCGTTTGGTATATATAAATTACCTTCCATGTTGAGTACTATGTAAATCAGCACCATATTCAACTTGACATGTCTCATGAGGATTCTCCACCAATCGCCAAAATTCATTCTCACACTCTTCTTCAGTGGCCGGTGGTTGTTGTTGTTGTTGTTGCTGATTGTGCTGCTGTTGTTGTTGTTGTTGTTGCCCATTCTTGTTGGCAAACCATTCTCGTTTGAACTTGTCGCACACTTTTTGGAATTCTCGTAAGGTGTATTCGTCACCATCTTCGAAGCCGTAATCCTCACCAGCAGCTGTAAGGCATTTGACACAATACCAGTCAGCTTTCGGGACATTCTTGAGTGGCGGATTAAGGCAGTGCATGTGATAACCACGATCGCAACCGTCGCATAGCAACATTTCATCCTCCTCTTCAATGGTATGACAAATCTCACATCCCTCTTGTTGACTATTGCTGCTGCCGCTATTGCTGCTTTGACTCGATGTCGATGGTGAGAGGGTAGGTGGTGATGCTGTTGTTGTTGTCTCTGATGATGATGATTTTTGCTCATGTCAGCAGCATGTCACATGTGACGGTAAAACAAAAGAAAAATAAAACTTGCCATTCTCTTTGGAGGATGGTTGTGTCGATGATTCCCTACGAGAAGCTTCCTCCTTGTGTTTGCTGAGCCATTCTTCATATGGAAGGATAAGTTTGTTGTAGGCTGACTTGAGAGCATTTGACATGGATGTGCATTGTTGTCTAGAGTAACCAAGCAGACGACCTACTTCGGCCCATTTCTTTTGTTGCGTAACCTGAAAAAGGGCAAACGGGAAATAAAATGTCAGGCGATTTTTCCATCCAAGGGGGGGCGGCCAACAAGGAGAGAGAGAGGGATATATATATGTGTGTGTGCTGGGCTGTGGATATGTATGTATGTGTGTGCGTGTATGATAGAGAAAAAAATGCATTAACCTACCAAGTTGTATCCTCCACGCTGTGCTACTTCCTTTTTAAGTTTGAAGAGATCAATAGGGCGACGGTCAAGCTGAGGCACTTTGTTCACGGGATGGCCGTTGAGTCGATGGAAATTATACAGCTGTTCTAGATAATTGACATTGGCTCGTGTTTCACCCTCCATACTGTTGAGTTTTTGAAGACGAGTACGAAACCTAAAGGTCTAAACATGGTTTGTTCAGTTTAGCTCTTGCGACAAAAGTTGCTCATTCCGCAATGAGCAAAGAGGATAAAAAAGTGTGGGATAGGCTTGTACACTACCTCTGTATCAAGGGCAAATCCAGGCTTGTAATCTTCAGGCGGGACAATCTTTATGATGCCATACTCCTCTGCTTCTGCTCGTATCTTTTGGATATACTGAATGGGATCATCATTGAATTCTTCCTTGGTTGGATAATAGGTGGGTGCTTCTTGTAATCCAAAGATGCGGGGACGTGTGCGTGGAGGTGCCTCACTTGAAGTTTTGACGGTGCTGAGATCAAGTGCGATGCTCTTGCAATCAGCAGCGGCGGTAGAGCTCCGTGTCTCCCTCATTTCAGTGCTGATGGTATGACGCATCTCTTGTTGAAAGGGAATAGGGCAATATATAAGACGTGGTAAAAGAACGATAAAAGATTGAAATTATAAGAATTGAGTGAGTGAAAGAGATGTGGGATTTTCCTATCCAACCGCCCAAACAAATTTCTTCAATCATTTCAGCAATCCCCCATTGACACAACACTCACCACACACACACACACACTTATATACATACATCCTCGCTCTACTTTAAATAGTGGCTATTGTATAATAAGGTATTCTTTATCTATCATTCTAATCTACTACTATGATGATAATAATAAACGCTCTTGCACTCGTTCAAGCACCGTTGTACATCCCATTTCTATCTTCCAAGACGCCAATGCATCAGCTCTCGTTTGTCCTTTACATAGGATACCGACAGGGATCCCGAGCTCTTCGCTGGCCATCCGAACAAGCCTGTATGCTGAATAAGTAGCCAACGATGACCCAACAACCAACATGGCACTTGATGCCCTCACCATGGTTTCTGCTGCGGTGGTTACTTCCTTGCGGATATTTTCACCAAAGAATACAACTCGTGGCTTCATTCGTCGACTAGCGCATGTTGTGCAAGGAGCAATATCAAATTCCCCATAAGACATGTGGTCTGGTAACTCGACATCACCATCAGGATTGATTTTAGGCTTCTCTGGTAAATACGCTGCCCATGTTGGATTCCTTGCAAATAAACGTCGTTGATAGGCTTCACGTGGAACAACCGTTTTGCAATCGAGACACTCCACTTGATATAAAGAACCATGCAACTCTGTGATTTGATCTTGGTGCGGTTGTTGTGCAGCTGCTGCAGCTCGATGAAGATTGTCCACATTTTGTGTAATGAGATGATTGATGTATCCGTCGCTTAGGAATCTTGCCATGATATGATGACTTGAATTTGGGCGAGCTTTACTCATCTCTGGCCATCCCATAAAGCCTCGTGCCCAATACCTTCGGCGAAATAGTTCAGAGGAAAGTAGCTCGTGATAAAGAATAGGTCTATGCTTAGGATTACGGACATAGGTGCCCTACGTTTGGTTACTACACAAGGCTCTCACACATGCTTTCTCATACACGTACATACCCCATCACCACGGTAGTCAGGGATACCAGAGTCCGTGGATACGCCTAGATACCTCGTTAACAACAACGATACAATACATACTTGGATATAGACACTTGCCTGCACCAGTCATAATTACGGTGCGTCCCTTGTGTCGAGTCAACATGTCATGTACGAGCGACGATGCTTCCTCAAGATCGTCATGAATGTGTGGCACGGTGGGAGGAACGGTGGTTTGCGCAAGTCCTGGAATCTTGATGGTGGTCGACCATACTTTGGAATAAGCAGCACCGGCAGAGGGTGATTGCCCGAGACGTGGCAATGTGGATTTCAACATACAAAGTCGATAAAATATACCTTTCAAGCAAAGATACGAGCATCATTGTACGCCAATCGCTTATCCAGCCAATCGCTTCGTTGTGGCCAGTGAGCGACATCCAAACACGACACTCCCATATGCAAGCACATTTGGTATGCATCCATATCATCAACCCCCCCCCGTGTATGTATTGTTTACAATGTTGAGAATGAGTCAAAGAGTATTCGCTAAATAAGGTTTGCATGATGTGTGTTAGCCTCCACCCACTACTATTACGACTATTGTATACGTTACATTCATGCGCATAAAAACAACGCTTCTTCCTCCCCCACTTTACCTATTTCTTCCTCCTCCTCCTCCTCCTCCTTTTACAACAGCATAAATTTGTGTTTACAAGTACACGTGCATATGAATGGTGTGGTGGCATATGACAGTAAGAGCCATAAAAAGGAGAAAGAATCTTTGACCTTTTTTCACCTGAGTGGTGGTGGAGAGTAAACAAACCAAGATGATAAATTGGCGCTCTAGCCTATTTGGCAATGACAAGCTTGTGGGAGAATGACAGAAAGCAAAATAAAGAGTGAGAGATTGAGAGTAAAAGAAGGACATACACACACACACACGCACGTAATAGCGTATGTATATAAAATGCAAGCAGTTGCAAAAATGAGGCCATCATCTAAGTCTTCCTTTTTCTTTTTTTTTTTCTTTCTCTATAAAGGAATCTACATACAAGCAAACATGAACACCTATGATGATGATCGCCACTCTGATCCTTTGGATGATTACAATGTTCCTTTGCATGGGTCCATGTTATTATCAAGCACTGATCAAATGGTGGAGGATTACACGTACATATACGACCCACTTGTCGTGAGCCCTTCTTCTCTATCATCATCATCTGCAAGTGGTAGTAGCCATCCTTTCATGCCTTCACAGCAGCAAACATTGCCATCTCCATTATCCAGTGTTCCATCGTTATCGTGGCCCCCTTATTATCCATCCATGGATGTCTATCCTCATGTCAGCAATGCTGATGGCGAGTACTGGCCTCGTTTTTCGGATGGTGTTGATTATGACACTTACACGCTAAGCTCCTCTCCTGAAGAATTAACAACCCCCAACCATGATGAGAGACCCACCAGCTATATGGTTCCTTCTTCTTCTCGCGGCACCTTCCATCTCATGATGCCACCAATAGGTGTATCGTCACAATTTCACCATCCTACTACTACTACTACTACAACTCATTGCGCTGTTGGTGGTACTACTACTACTGGTGGGATGGCTTCAAACACCAAGGCTGTTGCTACCACATCCTCTTGTGACAGAAAGAAGCGAGGCGTAAAACGTACCAAGGAGAAAAAGAAATGCATGAATTGTGGAGCCACCAAGACACCCACTTGGAGGCGAGGTCCTATTACTCGATGGCTGCTTTGCAATGCTTGCGGTCTATAGTAAGTGTGAATTTATTGTTTGACATTTCTTCTCCCACTCATCAATGATATAAAGTGAAAAAGTCAGTCGTCAACGACGTATTGTTGTGATCCAAGAAGATGGCAAGGCACGAATTTCTCGAGGCATGCTCAACAAAAAGGACGAGCAACAACAACATCATCGCCCACTCTTGGTCTGCGCATCTTGTGCAACCACGGATGCAAAGAGATGGCATATTCGTGGTGGTCAAAAGTATTGTAAGTTGACAAACCAACCCCCGTGATTAACAAGTCATTCTCACACTCATTCATCAGGTGAGCGGTGCTCCCGAGAATATGCTCGTCGATCATGAAATCAATGTTTGCAGTGGCATAACCAATGATAATAAAAGGGATGTTGTTCTGGCTATGGCATGTTAGTAAACTTCTACTAGATTCCGAGCAATGACGGTCATCATCGGGATTGTCAAAGTAGTTTCCGGTTCGTACGGTTTCACCTTGGAGTATAATAATCCTTGTGGTGAAGAATGAGGAGGGTGACATAAAAAGAGAGTTACATGTCATAGTACACACTCTCTCGGAAGAATAGGTTGTAAACGTTAGCACAATGATCTTATTCAGGCAAAAGAACGCATGTTAAGGTAGTTCGCTCTTTAAAAGCTTGTGATGTGGTTGACAGAGAGAGGAGGGAGACATGTTTAAAAGGACAAAAAATTTTTGGTCGGGAAGCGGTTAAAAGAAAGAAGAACAATGAACAAGGTAACAGGATTAGTGAAGGAAACAAACATGCATAAAGTGGCATGTGTGTTTGTCTATTTCTGTAAATGAATATAATGAATGGGTTGGCTTACTATTATAAAGCATCCCTACGTGTGTGCAGTGTGTGTGTGTTGTTGTAGGTGGTTCAACCTTCTAAATTGGTCATCCACAACCTACTACTAAACTTTACAGGCACTGCTCTTGATGTCCACATCCGGGGTTGCCTGTCCAAAGAGTTGTCCTATTTCAGCAACTGTTGCCGCTCTTTCGTTTCTGCTCTCTTTCAAAGCTGGTTTCACTTTAACCCACTCACTTTCTCTCTTTCACTCTCTCTCTCTCTCTCTCTGTGGACCTTGAACAACCCCACCTTTGTCTTCTTTCCACCACCCTTGTCCGCTTTATACCCTTATTTCTTCCACTTTGTTACACATTCACTTTATTCACCTCTGCGCCACTTTTCCACCACTGGCATCACCTCATGTCAGACTCCAATTCACCCATGCAAGCAGAGTCATCGTCCAATGCTAGAGAGCAGCAACAGCAGCAACAACGACAGGGTTTACCTGTTCCTATACACCCTGACGATGCCAAAGACAAGGTCTTTACAGCCATTCTGAAGGCTTTATTGAAAATGGGCAACAAGCCAAGCTCACCCAAAGAACTGGCCAATGTCATTGTCAAGTACAAATATGCTACATTAGGGTAAGCTACATGCTACTACTACTACTACCATTACTACACGAGGAGAAGAGGGTATAGGTAACTAACGACTTTGATAGTGGTGCAACTCCATTCGCTACCGTTTCTTCTCGCATATCCCAGCATTTTAAACGCGCAGCACAGCATAATCCGCCACGACCTCCTTTGTTGGCCAAACATTTTGATGAAAACCACTCACGCAAAATCAACTATTCTTTGGCAACCGAGCCTACTTCTTCTTCATCACCACAAGATGACGATGGGTCACCAACAACATCAACGCATCATCATCATCTTCATGACAACCATAAAACATTGTCAGACATGTCGGAGGATGAGACATCTCGTGAGCAACAACAACAACAACAACAACAACCGTTACGACGATCCAATCGACATGCATCACCACCCGTAACACGTGCATCTCGAAGGAAGACAAGACAATCAATAGAAGACGAAGAACAAGTTACAGTGGTTATCGACGAAGATGATGCCGATGATGAAGCGGATCTTTTGGCAAAACGACGTGGAGCCAAGCGTATACGTCGACATTATCACAGCAAGGACAACCTCCCGCTTTCTCCTATGCGTGGTATGTTACTATATTCAATGTAAGAGTAGTATATCCTCTTTTATTCACTATTATAACTTGTAGATCCGATTACACACAAAAGCCAACATGTTTTATCACGAGCAATTCCGCCTGTGTCACCACCACCCACACAACTGGAAGAAGCGTCTGATCAAGATGATGATATCGAGGATGAGATACAAGAACATGTCAAGCAACAACAACAACAAGATGATGAGGAAAGTGAGGCTGATGAATATCCTGATTATCATGAAGAAATGTTGAAAGGAGATGATGCAATGATGCTGGATACAACCACGGGCCTTACCGATCGACGACCTTCAGTCCATATGGTCAGCTCTCGACGACCCAGTATAGCACAAGCAACAGCCACTGGATCAAGTAGTAGTAGTAGACATGGCGAATCACCTCGATTAACAGCACGTCGACAATCCTTTTCGCTCAACAATGGTGATGAAATATGGACAACGAATCCTTTGGAGCATGATTTTGATTCCGTATTCTTGTCCGACGAATCGACTAGTACACATGCATTTCCTCCACTCAGCATTGGTGCACCCGAATCAATTTCTATGGCCGAACTTGAAACTTATTTCACTGGTGCAGCAGCAGCAGCAGCTACGACTAGTAGCAGCGACAAGCAACAAGAACCATCATCCATTGCTGCTACTACATCATCATCATCTTCTTCGACATCAGATATACCAGTTATTTCACGATTACAATCATCACGAAAGAGCTTTTCAGCACTCATGGGAACCCGAGAAACGTCGTTATTACAACGAGCGCTTTTGGCAAGTACAGCGGCACGTGGTATGGCTGAAGCTGCGGCTGCTGCGGCTGCTATGACTACCGAAGATTATGATGATACAACAGAAGAGGATTTACCATCACCACCACGACAACGACGTAAATCATGGCCTGATGAATCCACAACCTCGGGTGCAATTTTATTCCCAGAAGACGAGGATGAAGAAGATCAAAGTAAAGAGGAGGACAAGAAGGATGAGGATGTTATTATCAATACAACAACAACGACAACAACATCGGATGATCATGATCAGCAGCAGCAACAACAACAACAACCCTCTTCTTCTCCTGAGCCCACAGCATCCACTACAGACACGATCCAACAGCAGCAGCAACAGGAAGAGCAATCGCAACAAGATGAAAGCTTTACTATTCGCAAACGCACATGGGGATCTCTCGAATGTTATCAATTGGATTCACCTGACGACATTCCTGATACCAAAGTTCTTCGATTTATTGCATCTACCGATGGTGCCACAGAGCATGTGGCGTTGCGTACTCGTCATGCTGCCGATAAGAACGCCAAACATCGACGCAATAGTCATCAGCATTTTTATCTTGGTGAAGGCTATGTCAATGCGACTCAGCTACGTAAAGCAGCTCGACCTGTTATGGGCAAAGGACCCTTTGATGCTGCTGGTGAAACTGGAGAAGGCAGAGTGGTGGTTTCATTGACAAAGGGACCCATGGATTGTCGTGGTGCATGGTGAGTACTATGATCCTATTCGGAAATAGCAGCTGGTCAATACCAAATGGAGAAGGTAAAACTAAAATCTTCATTCTTTCTAGGGTACCTCTCAGCCGAGCTCGTGAATTGGTCAAGGAATATGGTATTGATGGATATCCTGGTATCACCAAGCTATTGGGAGATGATCCAATGGATGGCAAGGAAGATGATGACGATGTCGAGGAGGAGGAGCAGGAGAAAGAGGAGAAAAAGAAGAATGCCCAAAAAGAGGTTAATCATGATCATGTCAAGAAACCTTCATCCAAAGGTAAGTTATCATTGTTGACTCATCCAAAATATATATGGCGTGCTCATTCTTTTCTATAGAAGGCGATAAGAAATCCACACCCACTCCTCCAGAATCAAAGGATCCCGCTAGCAGCTCCTCGTTACTCAATGTGGATGATGGTGAATTCTTTGTCAAGTTTGAAGATGATGAGGAAAAGAAGACACCTGATAATACAACAACAACAACAACAACAGCAACGACGAATGATGTGGCCGAAGAAGAAGCAACCGCTATGGCAGCAGCAGCAGCGGCGGCAGCAGCGACAACATCGATGCCATTGGATTTATCAAAGACCTTCAATCTCGCAGCACTTCAACAAGTATCAGCGGCATTTCCAGGTGTGGATTTAACAAAAGCTTTGACGGCCTATATGCAATCTGTCAGCAGTAGTAATGGTGGAAAGTCCGATAATCCTACTACAACTGCAACTGATATCAAGGCTGCATTGGCAAGGTTCCCAGCATTGGAAGCCCTTTTACGCAAAGATCCTATTACCACAACAACCACAACAACAACAACCGCTCACACCCATAATAACACCAATACCACCACCACCACCTCCTCCTCTCCGGCCATTGTAAATACCGATCAACATCAACAACAACCGGTGGTTGTGCATACAATTATGCCTACCAATCCCACCATGTATATAACCGTCGCTGATAATGTCGCTGTCTGTATTGCGGTGCTGGCACCACCAGACGCTAACACACCTGAATATCGTATCATGCGCCGGCTGGACACCAATTACATTAATGGTACGACCTTGTTGACGGCTGGTGGCATCGACACGGATAGTGAACGAAGTATGATTCTCAGCTTTGAAATGGAACGACGTCGTATTCCTGAAAAGAAGAGCGCATTGTATGGCACATGGATTCCTTTAAGGCGAGCTCAAGAGTTGGCTGTCACATGTTCAATTCAACATCGCTTGGGTCCTTTCTTGACTGATTCCATTGAATCCTACTTTCCATCACCATTGCCTATCACTATCCATCGTCGTCCTCAGCTACCATCATTGAAAGAAAGCAGCAATAACCGTTGGGCATCATTGGCAAGGCGTGCTCTACGCAATGGTATCACTCATCCTGATAGTGATGACGCTACTGCTTCAGCATCATCTTCATCCTCCAGCAGTAATACCAAAGCCTTGACAACCTCCACGGCTGCTCAATTACATCAACTCTTATTGACCAACAATCCACGCAAGATAGCCGAATATGCACAAAAGGCACCTTTATTGGGCACATTTGGTGATGATCATGAAAATAGCAAGCGCAAAGTGGCGGTGATTGATGCATCCAGTGTAGCAGCACGTGCAGCAGCAGCTGCAGCGGCGGCTAAGAAACGTGCAGCCAAGAAACGACGATTGAATGAGCAAGCGGATCATAGCAGTGATGTGGATATTGAAAACAGTGGTTCAGAAGCTGAAGCTGAAGATGATGATGATGATGAAGGCGAAGATACGGATACCGATACCGATGTGGAAGAAGTGCGCAAACGAATGAAACGAATGCGAGATGCAGCTATTGATGCTATGGAAAGTGGCAGCTCGATCGATTTGGAAGAACTTATTCGACGTGCAAGCTCACCTATCATGTCCTCGGGTATTGAACATCGTGGTGGTGGATCTACTAGTAGTAGTAGTAGTGATGCATTGAGACGTACAGCTACTGTTCGCGCCACCTCGCGTCGTCGTCCTCAAGCTCGTCATGGCAACAGCAGTGGCGGTAAAATTGCACCATCCAATTTGAAAAAATCGGCTTCATGGAGTGGTAGCTTGACATCGCCATTACGTGTGGTTGTGCCTTCCAAGAAATCATCATCCAGCAACAACAATAATCGTAAATCCACGACCTCTTTACGACCCAGCAAATTACGTGGCTCAACAAGTAGTAACAACAGCACCAGTCATCATGACAACAATCGCGTCGTAGAACATACTTCATCCTCGTCGTCATCACCTTCCCCTACGCTTTCCAAGGCTGAGCCCACTGAAGTTACTACTACTACAACTACAACCACTACAACCACGCCTCCTCCTACCACCACTACTACAAAAGACTCATCTTCTTCAGGCGATGTTTTGGCTACTATTCAAGAAGACGACGAAGATGAGGAAATTGATATTGGTGGTAGTGATCGCGATGATGACCTCAGATAAAAAAGAACCCACATTGTATACACCTCTTATCATATCACATCCCCCCCTCCTCCTCCTCACTTGTATATTGCAGTTTCACCACGAAAAAAAAGTACCTATCGTTTACCCCCTCTTTCTGTTCGTTAATGCATGTTATAAAATAAAGCATATGTTGGCAAAACATCAAAGGATATGGCTTCCCTAATCGCTATGATAGTACTAAAAGCAAAAAGCCTATTGCAAATGTGATGATATGAAAAGTACACATACCACGCGTCGACAGGAGGCGGCTCAAGATGTAACGTGTATGATGCAATGTAGCGCGTATATGCTTTATGACCCCTCATCACGTCATACCTACCATGGATGGATGAAATAAAGTGGTAACTTCCCGCCTCGGGAAGTCAATCAATGCTTTTGAGGAGATGATCCGTAACAATTAGGTCCAGACATTGAAATATGGGGGGGCGGATCATCCGTGAGACTGATGTCATGTACAACCATCACCTTCTCTTTCTCTCCCTTTCAGTCACGTGATCTAGCCATCATCATCTTGGCATGGTGTGTCCCATTTCTGCATGCTTTAAAACATGTGCGCATTGCCACATTCTCTAATGCAGGTCAAGGGAGCTGATACTATTAGAGTGGGTAGCAGTAGGGTGGCCTTTTCAGATAATGCATTTGATCTCCTTAATGCGTGTAGGGTTATAAGCATGGGAATGAGGGTCCCTGGATTTAAAATGATGTCCGACATACACGCACAACAACTCCTGTATCATATTTCTTGGGGAGTCCAATGGCATAACATACCAATGGTAAAGCACAATACTACACATAAGGAGTACAACAGCAGCAGGTGATAATGAGCGGTCATTATTGCTGAGCAAATTAAGGAGTGCAACAAAGAACAGTACGTGGCTGATGTGTATGATAGCATGAGAAAAGGACCTTTGATGACATGAATCAGCAATAGATAAATGGGTGAATTGAGTGATGCAAGATGATTTTCTACAAGAACAATGATGCAACAAAAATGATCGCCCTTGGATTTCCATAATGAGAAGGAGGTGTGTGCTCATTCTACTCCGCTGTGGCATTCTCGAAAAGAAGCATATGTGTGTGTCACGTAAGAAATGAGGCACAAATTAGCACGATAGTGCATCGTATAATCGACATTTGTGTAATCTGCTACGGAATCCTATCTCGATTGAAAATTGGGTAATAAGTTAAAAGGTGATGAGACGTAAAAAGTGACACTGATGATGATGGGGAACGAAAACAACGTGCCTGAAACAATGCCAGCTAAAAGAGAATGAAACATCCATATTGGATAGGTGCCTTTAGTAGCAGTAGACTACAACACATACCCAACGCAATAAACCCCGCCTGGTTGGGGCCAGCTTCGCACTACTGTTTTCATTCACTCACTCCCGTTTCCTATTCCCCCCTCCCCTTTCCCTCTTAACCACCCACCCACAAGCCCTATCTCTTTCTACCGCCCTCTTCTTTTTCGGTTACACGTTTTGTCTCGGCTCTTCAAGTCTCAACAACAAAGAGAAAGAAAGGAATCGTCGGCTTTTGCTCCTGAAAGCTCTTTCTTTTTTCTTCATTTCGTTTAATCGGTCGAGAATTATACACTCTCACGCACTCTTTTCTCGTGCTTGTTCACTCACTCACTCACTCACTCACGTACGCACGCAAGCAACAAGCAATGCCGACGACCATGCAAATGCAATCTATCTCGGGCATCATCACTCAAGTGAGGAATACAACGGGTGAAGTACCACCTCCGTTGGTGGGAGCGTCAGTGACGGTAGTAGGGGATCGAGTCTTTGTATTTGCTGGACGACTTGTCACCTCACGAAAAATGACCAACCACATGTACGTATTGGACATTGGCGACTTGACTTGGACACGACACATTCCACCACCTGACTCGGATAAACCGCCCAAGGCTCGCTATTTCCATTCTGCAAGTGTGCACAACAATTCGATTGTCGTCTTTGGTGGCATGGGATATTCGCGTGTTTCTGGTGATGGATTATGTGTATTGGATGACATCTCGATCTTCGATATTGACACAATGTCGTGGCGTCGCCCTGAGATTAAGCCTTCACTATTCGCTCCACGTCCACGCTATGCTCATTTGGCATGTATCGCTGAAGATAATAAGCTCATCATTATTGGTGGTCAGGATATGAACAACAATTATCTCGGCGAAATCAACATTCTCGACCTTGATACTTGGGAATGGGTGCAAGTCAAAGAGCTCGACAAACATGTAGGCGCTTATCGTTCAATTGCCATCACAACTCCACCAGGCACTCGTTTACCAGCTGTACTCAACATGAATGATCAACAACAACATCATCATCAGCAACAAGGATTGGATGCAATGGATAATAAGGAGGCTTCTTCTACTCAGCAACAACGTCGAGCATCCATGGTACGGCAATATGGCCAATTGTTGCAGAATACACAAGAACCTACGCCAATCTATTTGTACACCAACTACAACTTTGCAGACGTCAAACGTGAATTGCAATTGATATTTTCACCTTCGTCACCTTCGTCGACGATCGAGGATTGTTCGTCCTATATGACAGGTTCAGTGATGCCACCAGGGTTGCGTTTCCCAACAGGACACACATTGGGTCATCATCTCGTACTTGCTGGCACCTATTTATCTCCTCAGAGCCATGCTTATACCATTTGGGCCCTCAATCTTGGCACATTGACTTGGTCACGCATCGAGACAGGATCTGTGTTTGGTACTGGATCATGGAACAAGGGTGTTTTGCATGCTGATAGCAATCGCTTGTTGGTATTTGGTCATCGATCTCGCAACCTACTCGAGGATTACAATCATCGACAAGTCAACTTTGATCACGTGGCTACGGTTGATTTGGAAGCATTTGGTGTATACAATTTGCCCAAGCCTACTTGCTCTTCACTTGCACAAGAAATGGGCTTGTCATTACTCAATGAACCATCCGTATCGGATTTCCGCATCATCACGCGTGAACGCCAATCGATTGCTGTTAATTCGGCAGTGTTATCACAACGATGGCCCTATTTCGCTGAATTGATGAAGACGAATCGCGACATTACCACCACGGAGACGGCGAGTACAACACCAACGCAACAAAGCAATAGCAGCAGCAATAGCAACAACGATGCACCGATGCCAGACGACAATGAATCACAACCAGAGACACCACAACCACAACCCTTGCAACGATCGGCTATCAAGAGTCACAGCATGATGTTTCCATACCCACACGCTGTTGTTGTTGCCTTGTTACAGTACATTTATACTGACAACCTATTGACAGCCCAGCAGTATCAGCCTCATGTTCTTTCACAGCTCTTGTTGCTTGCCGACATGTACAATTTGACACGGCTACGAGAATTGACAACACATGCATTGCATCAGATGCTCAACATGTCAACTGCACCATTGATCTTTGAAACAGCAGCATTATCTCATCAAACAAGTCTTCAGATTCGAGCACTCAAGATGATGATTGCAGCCAAAAAGATGATCCAACAACAACAGCAACAACAAAGATTGACAGCAACAAATACCAACAATGGATTGCCCACTGATGGACGACAACGATTACCATCATCGGCAGGTCTTGTGAGCAATAGTGGTGGTGGTGATTCGCCTACATCAATGACTTCGGGTTATATGCCAAATCCATCTCCACAACGACAACATTTTTCATCCAGTGCTTCATCACCTTATGGGGATTCACGTACACCATCCATATATGAACCAGGCAACCATAGCCCATCCAGCAGTAGTGCTGCATCACCTACCTTATCCACTTATCGTGCACGTACACCATCATTGACCAATCGATCCAATCCTTTACCACAACAACAACAACAACCACGCTCATCTCCTTTTGGAACAACTCGATCCACGGGTTCATCTACAAGTCCTCCAGGAACACCTCGCCAGTTACCCATGGGTCTTCCACAGCATGTCATGGATACGGATGATCTCAGCGTTTCTTCAGGTGCAACACCCACGTTTCCCTTGGATCAACCTCCACCTTCAACACCTGCACCCAAAGCAAAAGAAAAAACCAAAAAGAAGAAACCATTCCTGGAAGCATTTGGCAGCAAGTTTTCAATGTCATTTCAGTAATAATACTAGTAGTAGTAGTAGTTGGAGACAGTAGATCCACACAACCACCTCTTTTTTATTTATTTGCTCTTTGCTTTTGACACATACACATATATAAAAAAAGAACCACTTATATATAATAGATTACAGGGATGAATGAATGACATGGCTCACTTTGTGTGACACATGTGAAATGGAGGATGCGTGTGGGCCAAGCTGAGTTAATCTTGCGTTGTTCGTACAACGTTTAAAATTGTCACATGGAGACAAACGCGGCTTGGATCGTCTTTCTTTCGCCTTTCTCTCTCTCTCACTCACTCACAACCACTACCACCATGACGCAATCTACTGTCAACCCTGTTCCCTCTACCAGTGTTCCTCTCAATGGTGTCGACCCATCACTCGAAGGTCTTGTGCGAGGTGCATTGAATCTTGGTATGGGATAAACCATGTTGTGTGCGTGGCATGACAACACGACGACTGAATTATGCAAAAAATTAAAGGCGAAGGCAAACCACTCACTGAAGAAGATATGACCAAGTTACTCGAAACACTCAACAAGAATGATCTCCCTGAAAACCAACAAGAAAACGCAAAGGAGCTCAAAGCCACGCTTGAAGCAGCACGACAACCTGATGGCAAGATTGATGAGACGGTCGTGTACACTGTTTTAGGATCATTCTTATCGGATGGTCAACATGTTGAGGAGATAGCAAATACCATTGGAGACTTTGAGATTCGATTTTAAATTTGGATATATGATAACATGATCTTGTTTGTTGCTTTATTGATGATGTGTACGTCCATGGTTGGTGGATGATGGGTGGGAATTGTCTATATATTACCAACGCACCCGTTGCGTGTTAAACATGTCTGCAAGATTTTGAAGCTCGGTAGTACAATCACTGGAAGCACGTTTCGCCAATGCGGTCGGCATCTACATGATGTCATTTGAATTTTTTGATTAAAAAAGAGCAACTCACATGTTAAGCAGAGACAACTCACCTCCTTTTCAAGAAACTCAATGCGATTCTTATGGCTTGGATGGGTACTGATGAATTGAGGGATATCACCACCACCTGCTTTTTCCATTCGTTTCCACATGGCGACGGCTTCGTGTGGGTTAAAGCACGCTTGAGCCATCAACTGCAATCCAATGGCATCGGCCTCAGTCTCGCATTTACGTGAAAAGGGCTTGTTGAGCACAACATTGAGGAGGACTCGATTAAAGACAAACGAGGGTTCGATCCCAAAGAGGACAAGCGTCAACTGCAATGCGAGAATCACCTTTGCAAAACTCAGCTTTTCCGCACTGTGTCGTGCCAATTGATGGGCTACTTCGTGACCAAGCACAGCTGCCATGCCATCTATCCATATCCTCTTGTTAGCATGAATGATAATATACATGAAGCTATTCATCGTCCTTCCTCTCACCTTCATTTTGTACAATTGGTAAGATGCCTGTGAACACAAATACTTTGCCACCTGGGAGTACAAAGGCACTAATGCATAACAACAATGAATATAGGTTGATTGTCATCAAATGGATCACACTTACTTTGGCTCAGGTGAATCAATAACATGGAATTCCCATTGCAGATCATCCATACCCGATACTTGCACAATCCGTTTCGCCACCCTGGATACAAATCGCGTGTATGGATGATTCGGAGGGAGCACACGCAATCCATATTGTGACATGACTTCTTGATACGCTTGTTTGGCCATGGCTTCCTCTTGTCTTGGCGTCACATCCATAAATCGCATACGTCCACTGATGGGTACCTTCTCAAGATGTGTTGCATAATATCCACCAAACATGAAGACGCCCGTGCCCACAAACACCCATAAGCGCTTCGACATGTAAAATGGCTGGCTACTCTGGTGAAAGCGTTGGTATCCATCCTTCCCCGTCATAATGGTCTGTGGTCTTGGAAATCCCGGTGGTAATGTGGCCAATGGTCGACATTGGAACATGCGTCCTCGAGACACAGCTCCCATGGAGGCAATGCAATTGGGTTGTTTATGCCATTGAGGTGTCAAGGGTCGTACGAGACGCGTGCGTAGTAGTAGTCTTGGTCCAAACATCATCCGTCGGCTGGAGGTTAAAAAGAGAGAGAGGGTGTGTGCGTGCGTAGCTGGTAGAAAGAAAGAGAAATTCAACGATGACACACCTCTATATTAAAGACACACAAGCGAAACAATCAAAATAGCCTTTCCTAAATTAACTCAAAAGAAATATCAACTTTATTTGTTGTTTCGTGTGGTTCATTGATGTGATACGCTGTGGCGCTGAAAACCCCTTTTTCCTCTTTATCCCCCTTTCACTCTTTGATGGTTGTTTGATTCCATGCAGGATGACCTTGTATAACCCGGGTCCGAGTTTCATTTGCCACAAGGCTTTGTCCTTTTCGATAAATGTATACATCGTTGATCTCCTGTACTCCATTCTTTGAGTCAAATGCTTCCTTGTTCCATGCTCGAGTCTTAAACGATTTTGAGAAAACACATTCGTACTGGATCTATTTACGCGTTGAGACAAGAGCAGCAGGTTGTATCCACCACATTACATGAATTCGACCCTTTTCTGCAAAAGCTAAAACCGTACCGCTATGTGACAGCACGTTAGGCCCATATTCTTTTCATTGTCTGTGCACCTTGTACTACTCGGCTTACAGCAAACATTTATCACATGATATTAATGGTGGATTCTGCACTTGCATGATTGCACGTAAAGCATTACATTACACCCAACCATCAACACACAACATAAGCCTATATGTAGTGCACCGATCTTCTTACCTTCGCATTACACAGTTCAAAAGTACATAAAACCAATTTCGTTATAGAGCAATTGAAAAGTTGTGTGAGCCACGGTAAGTGACAAGACTATAAAGGTAAGACATGGGAAGAAGCAAACGGAATCGTTGTTTCTATTACCAACATCCTACGCTTTACAAGATGTATACTACATACAACGCGCAAGAAGAACATGTCTCTAACTTACATATCAAATCTAGCAGCCTCTCTTGTGTTGCATGGGTAAATTCCTTAGCCAAGCTGATTTAAGAAACCCTTATTCAACATGCATCATCCATTTCTAAGCTAAGTATTGCAAAAGTCGTCGCAATGATTACCATCGAAGCCATTCATTTTGGATCAAACTTGAAAGGCATTGTGTGCACGCTTATTGAAAATTAGAATACGACATTGGGCCAACCGTTTATTATCACTGTTCATTGAGCGTTATTCTAGTATGTGATGTGCCTTATCATCCGAATACTATGGCGTGAATGGGTGTCTTGCTTGTGATATCGGGGGAAGGATATAGTGATTTGTGGGGGGTGAGGGTGCAGGCATGGGCGCTGACTGATCCTGAAATTAGCATGGAGAGCAAGAGAACACAATAATTGCTGGTACCTTCCATTATTCCCTTTTCTTCTTCTTTGCCAACGTCAGCAACACCTTCCAAACATTATGGATATCAACACGCTACGTCCACGCATTATCGGTAATGTCAACACGCTACCTTTTGCAATAGACAACTTGTTTGGCTAATCTCGCCGCGTCTTGGTAGAGATCTTGAAGGCCTCTGATCTTGGTAGTGTCAGCGCCAAGGCTGTCAGAAAGCAACTACAACAGGAAACAACTATTAACCTCGATGAACACAAGAAGCCCCTCAATGCGTTGATTGGCGAATGCTACGATAAGGTCAATGCGGAAATGCAATCCAAGGATACCAGTAGTAGCAGCAGCGACAGCAGCAGCAGCGACGACGACGATGACACGTCTCTTGCAACAAAGGCTCAAACGACCACCACCACAACAACAACAAAGAGCAGTAGCCAGGGTACTGTGAAGAAGACGGCACCTAAACGAAAAGCTGAAGCTCAGAGCACAAAAAAGGTCACCAAGAAGCCAAGGAAACCTCGGCAGCAGGATCCAGAGAAGCGAGAGCAGAACAACTTTTCTAGGACGTGGATATTAAGCGATGATATGGCAGAGGTCACTGGAGAGAAAACGGTAATAAAACGGATCATTTTTGGGATGGAAGATTTATGCTAACCCCCCCCCTTTTCTTCATAGCTGTCTCGTCCTCAAGTGGTGAAACATCTCTGGAAATACATCAAAGAGAAGAACCTGCAGGATCCTGAAAAGAAGACTCATATTCGATGCGATGACAAGCTTACACGGCTCTTTGAAGGGGAGACTTACATCAGCGGCTTCACCATGAACAAGTATGTTGGCAAGCATCTTTTAGGACCAGCCGTTGTCAATACCCCACCATCAACTGCATCCGATCCTGTCAACACCACCACCACCGATACCAATGGTAGCAATACGATCCCACCAGCTTGAAAGGAAATGGAGGACTAGGGTCTTCTTTGCGATTGTGCGGTCTTTGTTGGATCCCAGATGAATTCCATTGTTACATGCTTCTCTTCGTTTTATCATCACATTCAATGCCAGTACTTAATGGAACACGCTGCAATAAAACTACTGCTGTATTTGCATGATTTGGACTACTAGAGTGCTTGACAATGATCCTGCGTTTTAATGGAAATGTAGCTTGCTGAAGAAGGAGGGGATGATAATGAATAACAACAATTACTTCTTGTATCGTAAAAGGTTGCCTTTTCTTTCGTCGTACATACTCTGTTTATAATGCAGCATTTGGTTATTGATTCAACTATGCCCCGTATCAAAATAGAACCCCTTGCTTGCTATCGCGTTCTTGCAATCTTCCTAAGCTCATCCTAGTATCTATTGTATTCTTGCGTCACTATTACAAGTGCTTGCATCAAACAGGAGCAAGTAATGAGTGTCATCATGCACCTTTAGTAATTCTCGGCGTACTTTCTTCTGCTTTTGAAGAATCATTTTTGCTGAGACGCTTGCATCAAGTTGATAGAGCCATTTACCTTAATGCCATGGTTAAATAACCGATAAAGTGCATTGATGACTACCTTACGTGATACCTAAATGAGCGTTAATAAGATGCACAATAAATAAGAGTCATAGCTACTAGCAACCTTCAGTAAAAGATACTACGTGACCATTGTAGATCTAAAGCTAGCATTGGGAGCAAATCACGTCACGTGACCACCCAAAAGAAAGAAAAAACAAAAAGAACATCGAAGATGGAAAGCGATGCTCACTACAGGGGTCGAACCTGTGACCTTGGCGTTATTAGCACCACGCTCTAACCAACTGAGCTAAGCGAGCTTATTTCCTTTTTCGGCTTGTGATTTTTCATCGGCGCGGTAATATATATATCACAAAATTTCCATATAAGGAAATACAAGCATTATGGGTATCTATTGATAGTGTAAACGACAACAAATGCAGTGCAAGGGTTGGTTTTGTATTATGGGAAGATGAGAGGCGGGAAAATGGAAAGTTTTACGGCAAGCGGAGAGTCAGGTTGTGGATGGCAGGCCATGATGAGAGCTTGGCCACCGGCACCTTCGGAATTTGAAAGTCAAATTTACGAGAGACTGGCTGCATGATCTCATAACCCATCTTTGCTTTGAGAGCCATCAAGTTTGAATTCTTATCTACATCAGCACGTCAACTGCACAACATTAGTTGAACGGTCTCGTTGAAACGACATTGCGTTCTGAATGAAAGTAAATCGACGTATGAAGATCTTGCGATCGGCACCGCGATTGCTTACGTTCACTTTTTGGCCACAGATCTCCAGGGGCTCCCGTACAGAACCAAGCAAGTCAACCACAACCACGCACTGCATATGTACATTGGCAGCGAAAAGCAAATTCTTACGTTGTATTGAATGGGATTATGAAAACTCGCTCCATGACAACCACAAATAAACATATAGTTACATAATGGAACATAATTACATAAGAAGGGTATATACAAAAGAGAGGATGACCAATGACTATGGTGGCCTGTAAGAGTCTGTGGTACTATGCAGCATGTTACAGTGAGTGTACAGGGGTCGTTTGAATAATCTTGCATCGTGCTTTTAAGGATACTTTGAAAGCATATGATGACTTCGACTACCTTGTTGATTTGCGAAATGAAGATTGGAACATGGCATGCAGCAATCCACATCAGATCAACACCAAGCAGTCGATGATGGTTAAGAGCTTGGTGCTGGGCTTTGACTTCACCACAGCCAATCTGTTTGCCCAAAGTTGATCCATGCATAATGTTGATCGAGGCGTCTGGTCGCGTGGTCGTTTGCTTTTCCTCATCGCTGATGGATGTCCTATTCAATTTTGTATTATAGAACGTTAAATCTTCCCGTTCTCCCTAAAACCATTCATTTTTAGCAAAGGAGAGCCTTGCTTACCATCGAAAAAGAATGTTGTTACCTAAGTTTTCAAACAGCTGAGCAAGAATTGCTTGCATGTACTTTTGCCACCAACAAAGGAACCCCACATCTCGAGGCTGCCTTTTGCCTACAAATGTACAAGGCATCCTTCAACAACATGTATCAATATAACGAAGATAGTTAAACCTACCAAAAGATTCCATCAAAGTACACATCCAAATGGCATTAGGCAGCAATGAGCACTTTGAGTGTAGTAAAGCAATGAAATGAGCTACATAGATGAATGCATGAGTATCCTCATTTAGGGAATCATATTACAAAGACTATCCTTGAGACTTACCGAAGGCCATTGATGATGACATGAATACAAGTAGAAAGAAGGGCTTATGATAGTGTTGGTGACAGCAAGCTTGTTTATATGTGAGTGGGCGTGAGAATTGTTGTCATGATTCATCAAATTGATAAAGTGGTCAAGCGTCTTGGAGTACTTGAGTCAAAGTGATAAATCCACCTGCGGCTTGAAAGGTGATCTTTTATAGGTAACTTAAGGATGCCTGTTACGTGAGGGATGATGATCTCTTCATGCAGTCAAGGGAAGCCCGATGGCAAAGGCAAGTAGCACAGCGACAAAGAACCATCACCATCAGAAACCTTTCAGCACAAGAGACCAAGCACGCGATAGTTTCACTTAATCCTGTTCCTCAGTCCTTTATCTTTTCTTGCTTTCCATTTCTTTTTGGATCATCCTGATATAAAAGGTGATGGTGGTTCATCAAAATGAAGCTCAGCTGGACGTCCATTGTAATACTTGGATACCATGGCAACATAGCTATTAGCATATCAACCACCCTGTTACTGTATCTTTGGCACAATGAACCTTCTTGCTGAGTACATTTCAAATGGCTCAACAATGGTTACAGAGTCATCTTGTTATGTAAATGAGAAAGCTTTATTAATACACATGCTAGTAAAAGTGATCTTTGTTGTAAGTAAAAGGGAAAAAGACAAAGACGATCCATGTCGATCGAGAATAGAAATCCGGGTTTCTTGGCAGTGGTACCGATTGTCTTCTTTAATTAGATCCAATTATCATACACAAGAGGAAAAGCTCAAAGTTGGATGATTCGGCTTTCGAACTGAGAGGCGCCAAGCCGGTCCGTGTTCCTTTTTCTGTTTGATATCGTTTGCCTGTTGGTATTTGCAGTCAGCCGTTTTTCCCCTTTCTCGTCCTTTCTCCCTATTATCCACCTCATTCACATTCGTCATGGACCGAACACAAGGCTATGAGGCAGGAGGCTTCAATACAGGCTCTTTGCATTCGCCACCACCAACACGTAGGAATTGGGATGATGCCACCACCGATATCCCTCTTCATGAAACGGGTTCGCCTCACGTTCAGTTTGCCGCCAAATCGCCATCTATCATTCCATCGCCAGTCTATGCCAATTCACCTTCCATGCCTTCTGGATCAGTAGTCGCTTCGCCAGCAACGCTTCCACCGCCTTTACCTATGCATACATCGAGTACAACCACTGATTATCCAAGTGGATCCACTACGGCTCGTAACTTTGGTGCCGACACTTTCAATCATAACGGTGGCGAAAAAGTGGCTGTGGAAAATGAGGATAGCAATATGGGTTATGCAATGTACGAGCGAAACAACAATGCAGCAGCAACAGCAGTCAACAATCAGCCAACGTATTATGGAAACACCGGTCTACGATCCGACGGATTTATGCGACTTGAATCTCAAGAGGATGATATGCAACAAACACGTGATGGTGGAGCAGCAGCAGCAGCAGGTTACAAGGATGGTCATTACGCTCAAAATACACAACCCATGCCACAACAAGGCACTTCCTATGTACCTTACTTGCAACAACCTGCCATGATGGATTCTGCTGGTAGACGTAATTTGGGCATGCGACTCTTGTTGGGACCTGTGCGTCGACCTTGGTTCAGCTGGATATCAGGTTTAGCCATGCTCATTGTTTTGGTGGTCGAGTTTGTCAAGAATTCACAAATGACTGGAAGCGTGATTGAAACAAGCCCAACATTCAATCCAATGATTGGACCTAGTTATACCGTAAGTATTATCCTCCAAGTCAATAATAGGATCAAGGTACTCACCCTCTTTGGATAGGTATTAATCAACATGGGTGCAAGATTCACACCATGCATGCGACCCGTACCCAACTACTCTCCATCAACATCAATCAGTTACTGTTATCGTGAACAAGAAACGTGTACTCTTGAGGAATTGTGTGGTTTTGGAGGATTTGGTGGCAGTGATCCTGATCAATCTTTTCGATTTATCACACCTATCTTTATGCATGCAGGCGTTGTGCATTATGTCATGAACATGCTTTCTCATTTGCGATTGGGAGCGGATCTTGAGTGTGTCTTGGGTGCACCACGGTACATTCTTCTCTACATGGCATCAGGCATCTATGGCTTTGTACTAAGTGCAATGCTTGCTCAGACGACGACAGGTATGACAACAAAATGAATTAAAGACCAATGAGAAAGCAATCCGATGCTGACACATCATCTACGAACTTTCTATCTTTTCATATATAGCCAGCATGGGGTGTTCAGGCGCGCTCTTTGGCTTAATCGGATATATGTTTATCGATGTACTGGTCAACTGGAAAACGATTGCAAATCCGATCCGAGAACTCATAAAGTTGCTCCTGGTCACTATCATCTCCCTGGTGCTTGGCTTGTTGCCTGGTCTAGATAATTTTGCTCATTTGGGTAAGGGAAACACACACACACACACGTATCCATGGGGTGGGGAAATGAGTAGGAGCTCCATTTATTTTGACCTAATATGGATGATAGGCGGCTTTGTTGTGGGTATTGTTATGGGCGCGATGATCGCTCCAATGCGTGAAGGTTTGGCAAAAAAAGGAAAATTGATCACCTGGGGCATTCGGGCCGTTGCATTTATTATCTTGATCATCCTCTTCGCGGTCAGCATCACTTCGTTTTACTCAAGCTCCGATCCATCTCAGGTATGCGGCTGTCAAAGTATTAAAGTGCATTGTGGGACGCTGATCCATTATTTTTCCCGCTTATCAGATTTGCCCGGGCTGCAAGTACCTCTCCTGCCTCCCCGTCAACAATTGGTGTGATATATAGAAAATCAACAACATTACGCGTATTACGTATATATATTTTATTCCCTTCTTCATGTGTCTTTCTTTCCAAGGAAGACAGCCTCTGTTTATGTGTATAAAAATACTTCTTTCTGTGTACAAGCAAAAACGTTATTTTTATTTGTGAGCGTGATGGATACAAGCTTAGAGCTGGGTGGGATCAATCTCAAAACAGGAAAAGTGGCTAATGACTGACCAAGCCCATTGTCCAAACATAGAGGGTGCGTCATGATAAATAATGTCGCACCTGTCTCGGAGGGGAAGGAATCTTGAATATATAAAAGGTGGCATTGTTTGCTCTCCCATAGACGCATCATCTCTCTTTCTCTTACATACACACACAAACTCATAACCATGGTCAATCTTCGTACTGCCGTTGCTGCTATCGTTGCTGTGAACAGCACAATTTCGGGCTTTGTGCGCTTCTCTCAATGCGATGGTGAGCGTACCAAGGTCCACTTTGAATTGGATGGTCTCGAGCCTGGAACTGAACATGGTGTCCACGTTCACGAGTTTGGTGATATGTCTGATGGTAAGCATGAATTAGCTCTAAAGCATACACGTATTCATGATTTGTTTGTAAACAAGGTTGCACTTCCATGGGTGCTCACTACAATCCTTTCAATGTTACCCATGGTGGTCCTTTCGACAAGGTGCGCCATCAAGGTGACTTTGGCAACGTCAAGGCCGATGAAAATGGTCATGTCAGCTTCGATTTGACAGACCCAGTCGCCACTTTGCATGGCCCACGTTCCATCCTTGGGTAAGATTTTATCATCTCTCATCCACCAACGATAAATTTGGGCTGACATATGGCTTGTATTTAGTCGTGGCATTGTTGTTCATGCTGATAGAGATGACCTTGGTCGTGGTAACTTTGAAGATTCCAAAACCACTGGCCATGCAGGTGCACGTCTCGGATGTGGCATTATTGCTGGTAAGTTGAAGAACACGTTTTGTACAAGTAAATGATCATACTCATGATGGCAAATAGTCACAGAGAACAACCAAGAGTAAATGTATAAACACATAGCATCATTATCATCCATAGCCTTTCCAGAATAAAGAATACAGTAATTCAAAACATCTTTATAATTGCGGTCTTTTATGTATATAGTGTGGTGTGGCAGAAATGCAATGTGTTGTTGAGGGATGGCTGAAGAAGATGCGAAACGAGGGTTATGCCGTATGGATGGAATAAAGGTGACAAGGAGTAAGAGGGTTCTTGGTTGTTGTATTGTTGTTATAGCTCGTTGCCGATGGTCACCCAGTAATCACGCAAGTTGTTTTTGCGACCAAAAATCTCCAAATACTTGCCTAAAAGTGATTGTGAATCATAACACGTCGTAAGTTGGGGATGAAAAAATAACGTGAAACTGAAGCTACTCACCATCCGGTACAAGCTCTTCAATAAGCTCGTAAAGTTCTTCGGGTTTTTGACTTTGTCCTCGTCGTTCGGAAAAGATAACATCAGATCCAACAGAATGTCGGCAGTTGGGTGGATCCTCGCCCTATGGTATTGCCATACAAGGTCAATCCTCTATTCCGTAGAATGCCTATCACTTTAACCCACCTTTTTGCCCACAAGACAAGTTTCTTTTGCATGTTGTAGATAATAGCCGTGACCTTTAGCCATTCTCCGGTTGACAGTTTGCTTGACCCAAGTGATATCATCGACATAGCTACACAAGGCGCGGCACACATTAGCTATATTAGGATGTATGATATTGTTGATCCTTTTGAAACTTACGTATAGCCCCAACGTTCCATGAGCTCAAATGCCTTGGCATATTTGTTGTTGATCACCCAAATAAATATGAATCCATTCTTTTGCAACTTGGGAATCGGGATTTCTTCGATACAAATATCAGGGAGTTGTTGATATGCAATAGCCACCTAATGATAGAGATGATAAGCATCCTTGTACACCGGGATAGTAAGATAGATGGGTAACTTACACCACGAGTAGGAGCATGAGTGGCAAGCTGCCATGGTGGATCAGCAACAATGACATCGAACTGGACTTCGGCTGCAAGTGACTAAATAGCATGGCTCTCCCAATCAGCAATGTAATCCTCACTTTTATCATCATCGCCTTGAATAAAAACTCACATCCCAATCAAAGTTCATGACATTGGCCTTGATAGGTACACACCACTCGGGAGCTTCGTATTCCTCAAGGTCTTTTTGGTCATAGTGAGCTCAAGCTGTTCCTTGCAACAATGTATTTAAATACCATACCTTGGTCGTCGAGTTCCTCTTCTTCATCACCTTGGTCTTTGCCATTGATGCGTTCTTCCAATTGTGAGATCTCGGTTTGCAAGGCGTCAATAAGGAGTTGCAGTTCGATCTCTCGCTTGAGCAAGTTTTTCAATCCGAGATCGGTCACTTCATTTTCGTCAAAGTTGTCAATGTCAATGAGCGTATCCGACGAGGGGGTGCCTTCGCGTGACATGGTTGTGTATGTATGAGAGAGAGAGAGAAGGGGAAAGAGAGAGGAAAGGGAAAGAGGAACCACAAAACGCGCCATACGGCACCAATCGGCGCGTGTAACAAAATCCGTCACCAACGCGAAATTCCACATAGGCATGCGAGCGACATCCAATCGAATGATCCACCACCTCTGTAAATTGATTATGTATCATTCCTCCAAGTACCAAGTATTCTATACAAGATAGCTGAAAATGGTGCATAGTAGTACATCATGTATGCTCAATAAAGGTGTAACGTATGGTGTCTTTGTGATAGAATGACAATGAATACGGAAATAAAGATGATCATGTTACAATCAAAGCATGTATCATTCCTAAAGGTTGCCTTAACTAGCATCATTCTCAAAATCTGTAATCATTTATTGAATGTATTTGATGGTAGAGATCAATAGCGCTGTCAGCCATTCTTCATTCAGCAGAGATCATTACAATGAAATCATCCCTCTTATTGAAAGCTGCAATGTTTATTCTTTGAATTCCTTCCCTTCAGGAACGATGATGATGATGGGGCTCGGCATTGATCTGTGCAACGCTATCCATTGCAGCATGGCTTTGTGGTCGGGAATCTTCATGATGGCATTGCCCTATAATTGGCACTCAGTTACGCTTTCAGTCTCTTCTTTATCTCCTTCATCCCACTTACGCTTCATCACCCATGTCTCATCAAAGTGGCATTCAAGGTACCTTGCTGAATGGGCGTACCCTTGTTAATAGCAACAGCTAACCCAACATTCCACCTGGTATAGTTTCCGAGGATCTCGCAAAGACCTTTGCTGATGCAGTTGCCACGGGAAATACTCGTTCCATTCGTATCTCCATTGTGAATGGTATGTATCGACGAGCCACGTGAGCAGCGAGTCACCAAGACGACGACGACAACAAGAGTACTAAAATAACTTGCCTACTTGCAGAATCCTTGGAGACCACGGGAACGACACCAGTTGAGTCGAGCCTGGAGCAAGGTAAATGGGACATGTGATCACTTGGCTTGGTTAGGCTGATTCAGGCTTAGATTATACCAAGATCACAAACTTTTTTGAACCTGTAACGCCTGCCTATGTGCTCGTACGTTTGGATGAGAAGGATACCAAGGGTGGCTACAACTGGTTGTTCTTGTGCTACGTCCCCGACAACGCCAAAGTCCGCGACAAGATGCTTTATGCGTCAACAAGAGCTTCATTGACAAAGGGACTCGGCGATAGTCATTTCACTGATAGTGTTTACGGCACAACAGAGGTAATTTGGTATGATGGAATCATGTCTTTTATAGGTATTGATGGGATCGCTTATACCACTAGGCTGAGCTGAATTGGGATGGCTACAAGAAACATCTTGCTCATAAGAAGGCTGATGCTCCTTTGACACAACGTGAGCGTGAATTGGCAGAGATCAAGTTGGCTGAAGTAAGTTGATTTCGATGAAAAAGGTATCCAATTTGCTAATATTTCATGTTCTAGGCCAAAGCTGTATCCGATTATCAAGGAACTACCACTCGCAAGACATATGCCCCAGGTATCACGTTCCCCATGGCCGATAATGTGTTGGAAGCGCTTGGCGATTTGAAAAAGAGCAAAGATGAGCGTGCACATAACTTCGTTTCCTTGGTAACGTATCATTGTGCGATTGGACACGGCCGATAGCTGACCAAATCTCTATTTTTTCTAGTACCTGGAGAAGGAAACGATTGAATTGGACAAGGCGGATAATGTGCCAGCAAATCAAGTTCACTCTACCCTTGCTGCAGATGCCCCACGTTTCACCTTTTATTTGCTTGAACATAATGGCACCGAGAGCTTAGGTAAAATGATGGATAATGGCTGTTGACATCAACAATGCTGATAACATGCTATGTATTAGTCTTCATCTACACTTGCCCATCGTCTTCCAAGATTCGTGAACGCATGTTGTATTCATCCTCAAAGGCAAATGTCATCAATGCAGCTGATAGCCAGTTGGATCTTAAGGTGACGAAGAAGGTATGTATATGGAGGGATGGATTATGGCAATATCATGTTACTTATTGAGATTTGACAGCTTGAGACAAGTGATATTGCGGATCTCACCGAGGAGTATCTTGTGGAAGAGGTGTCTAGTGCTACCAACGCAGCCCCAGCTCAAGGCATTGTTGGCCAGCGTGTGCAAATGTTGAGTGGTCAACGACAAGGCCAATTCAGTCGACCTATGGCCCCAGGAAGACGACGACCCGTAGCTAATACCACTACAGCTCCTGCAAGCCAAGATTAGATGATACTATTATAAATGTGGGGCATTTTTTTTACACAAAAAGACATTGTCAATGTTTTGGGACAAGATCGGATCATGTGAATAACCAATGTTTGTTTGTTTATACGATATAGCTCATAATTACAAGTATAGATAAAGATTACAAGAAGGTGTTACATTACATATGTATGGGATTGATCTAATGAGGGATGTGCAATGGGCGTACGCCTGTTGATGGCCCAGTAGGAGCAGCAGTGTTACCCATGGGTTGTTGATTCATCATACCTGGTTGCTGTTGTGGATGGCCATACGACATGGGTTTAGATCCAAAGTGTGGTTTAGTCATTTCGGGGTCACCCACGCGGCGTTTGGGCTTGGGAAGACAACATGAGCCGCTAAAGAGGAGAGATCCAATCAATAGAGCACCCATAGCACCGAGCAATGTCCAAATCGAATTTCCTGCAACACCACGCCATCCACCAGTGAGGCTCCTATTCAAGGAGATGGCAAGAACAAGACCGATAACGATGGCACCAATCGTTGTAAGGAAATTGAGCCAAGTAAGAGTGGACATTAAGGAGCTTGAAAGACGACGATGGGCACAGCAGAGCATGATAGGCAAGCTGAGAATCCATAGCAAAAAGCTCAAACAAACTCCTGCCATGCAAAGTGCAAACAAGGCTGTGAACATGCTGTGATGATTGCCTCCTGGTTGATATTGCTGGGGTAACATGGTACCCACGTTTGGTGTGTTTCCCCAGTTATAAGATTGAGTTGGGTGGCCACAAGTCTCAATGGATTGTGTGGTACCAGAGCATGCATTCCTGCGTGTAACATGTGAATTTGACAGCAAAGCATAATCACTTTTAGCTTACCATAGACCGAGATTATACACCTGGTTGGTGTCAGAATTGCTGACTTGATCAAAGTACATGCTACGCAAAAATGTGCGATTGGACAAGCCTCCAATCATCACAAAGAGATGCAGCAAGAATGAAAATAGCAAAAAGAGTGAAGCGAGTAGTGCACAACACTTGAACAACATGGTGCAATAAAAAAGAAGCCAAAACTTATTACGATGGTTTACGACAGCTGATGGCCTTTATATAAATTTCAGGCGTTTTTCTTTTTACTGGGCCTTGCGCTCAAACCCTTCCAGCATATAAATGCATGCTACCCACCCATGTATACTTCCCCATATCAACGCAGCGTGTGATTTGTACCATACACAACCCCTTAGTACGACACTACCAGAAACGACTCCTCAAGCACTCCTTCATCGATCTTGTTGATTCGTGCCCTTTCTTGGCAGGGAGAGAACAAGCTTTTGTCGCTTTGTAATAAACTACAAAAATGATCTTGCTCTTTCTTTATCATTCATTCTTCTTCTTTCGATCGTCCATTTCATATGCAAAGTTTGTCACGTTTGGTATCTCGTTTAAGTGTGCGTAGAAAACGACGTGAGTCGTCGCCAGCCGTACAAGAGACACGAGAATGTCAACATGATAGTGACCCTACTCCACCGATCCCTCAGCAAAGTCATCGATACTCTGCGCCACCCCAACCAACAGCAGCAATAGCAACAACAACAAGGAAAACGGATGATCCAGCCATAATGGCAGATGAGCAGCAGCCTATTGCTGCAGCTGAAGTATCCTCACCTTCGTCAACTGTGAATGACAATCAACCATGTGCAGCGCCTCAAGTTAATATAGATAGTCTTGAGTTTTCGGCTTCGAGGGATTTAGCACAAAGCCTTGGCAATGAGTGGAATGAAACGAGTGAGCAAAGTAGTGAATTGATAAGGTTTCCCGCCTTGGAGCACTTTTTGACACCTTGTTCATCATCACCACCATCACCATCACCACCTCCTTGTTCAAGTCAACAAACAACTTGTCCTTCTTCTCAGCCCCTATCCAAGCCATCCCATCGCCAAGTTACCAAGAAGCCTACAAGAAGTCGACTCTCCTTACATAGGCACAAGTCTGCAGTGCAGTTGCTCAAGCGTTCTAAATCCATTCCCCAAATGGTTGCTTAATACCCTTCAATGCCCTTTTTATTATTATTCACCTCCCTCCCTTATCTGTGACGATGACAAGTAGTAAAATACGAGCATGTAGAATTCTATAATGTGTGTGTGTGTGTGTGTATCACCAAGCCAGCGCTTGGGAGAGGGATGTGACACATCGCTCCTCCGCTGCTTTGTTGTGTTTTGTTACCGCTTCCTCCTGCCGACCCAATTTTTCCTCTTCACATATATACATACACACATACACGACATGGCATTCGTCAACGCGTTAAAGACCAGCGCGTCCATGGCTCAACATCGGGTAAATGCTTGCAACAACCCCATCGCACTACACGCCATTACCAAAAGTGTCTCCATTAACGCTCTTCTTTATTGCTTGATAGCCGACAGCATTACGTCCTCTTATTCAACATGCCGTGCGTATGGCTCCCATGACAGTAGTACGTTGACAATGACACTACGATCTTGAGTTGAATACATGGGGTACTCACGTGGGTATGGGTATAGCAACCGAGTCGAGTGGTAGCAGCACGTTTCCAGTCAACGACGACGGCACAGCAGAGTGGTTCCGAAAAAAAGTATTCAGACACGACCAAAAAGCTTGTATACGGCCTTGCTCGAATGTTGGGATGGAACTCAAAGCCCTCTGTGGCTATCCGTACCAGTCATCAATTATACAATTCATGTGCAAAGCAAGTGGAAGCCAACAAGGCATTCTTTATTGAAGGTATATCAACGCCCTAAAAATTTTGGGATAAGGGTCAAGCTGACACACCATAATAGCTTGCAACCTTCCTGACAATTTTCAATCTTGGTTCTCGGTGACACAACTTCATGTCTGGATGTTGATGGTTCGACTACGAGCTGATGATAATGGCAAGATGCTTATTCAAGAATTGGTCAATCGTCTCTTTGAAGATGCAGAGGCACGCATTCGAGAACATGATGTAAGGATCGAGTCAAGGATTGGATTGGATTGGATGGGATGATCTAATCAAGCGCTCTATAGATCACGCAGCAAAGAATGATCAACAATTACATTCAAGATTTCCTTGCCCAATTCCATGGTGGTGTTGTCTCGTACGATGAAGGCATGTGCAAGGATGATCCCGTTTTAGCAGCTGCATTGTGGAGGTAATCTTATACATATGACATGTGGGATGATGGGTGAGCTAACATGGTATGTATAGAAACCTTTTTGCACCCACATCGAACAATGCCGTCAACCTTGCATTGGTGGTTCAATATATCCGAAGAGAGCTGAAAGCATTAGATGAGCTAGATGGTGAAAAACTCAATGCTGGCATTGTGCAATTTGGCAAACCCGACATGACCTTTTGAACACCATAACAATAAAGCGTACTATTTGTTTCATAGATAAACTATTACGTCTTGAACCCATTACACATACACATTAATCCTATATAAAACCCAATCATCACCACCAGCAACATTATGTTTAACATCTTCTGGAATGTTGAAGAAACATTTATTGATACAAGTACTAAAAAAGTGGTGCTTAGTTCTTGTCCTTCTTGAGCGAACCCATGAATTGGTGCTTCTCGGCGGGAGTTTGGAAGCGACCATGACCGAACTTGGAAGAAGTATCGATGAACTTGAGAGTGACCTTCTCGAGAGCGGAACGCTTGGTGTGGACTTGGAGAGACTTGCGAAGAGTAAGAACTCTCTTCTTGGCACCAGAGCAGCCACCCTTGATCATGACGAAGTCTTCGTTGACAACACCATAGTGGGGGAAGCCACCCATGGGGGTGATTTGCTTCTCAGTAAGATCGTACTCAGTGGAACCAGACTTGGCATCAGCGCCGTGAGCGATGCGGTAGATCTTCTTGTTTTGGTCAGTACGACGATGGTAACCACGTTGACCAGCGCGAGCAACAGAGTACATGACACGAGCAGGATGCCAGGCACCAATACAAGCAACCTTACGGAGACCACGGTGAGTCTTACGGGGAAGCTTCTTGGTACCCCAACGGTGAGTGACACCTTCGTAACCGTGACCCTTGGTGGTACCGATGATATCAATCATCTCATCTTGCTCAAAGACGGAACCAACAGTGAATTCCTTTTCAAAGTGCTCACGAGCAAAGTCAACCTTGTCAGCAATGGAGCCACCGTTGAGTTGGATTTCCATAATGTGAGCCTTCTTTTGACCGAGACGGGCCTTGCCAATTTGAGTGTGAGCAATGACACGGACGACAGAGCAGTACTTCTTGATACGCTCAAGCTCACGGGTGATGTCCTTAGCACCATCAGCATACTTCTTGGCGTACTTGGTGAAAGCCTTCTTCTTGGAGGCATACCAGTTCTTGTAGAAACGACGCTTGGCTTCATCAGACAAGTGCTCAGCCCAAACGGTGGTAAGGGTACGAAGACCACGGGGAGTCTCAATGTAACCAACAACACCAACAATGACCATAGGAGGAGCCTCAATGATAGTGACAGCTTCAACGATCTCCTTCTTGTTCATCTCTGTAATAATAGTAATAGCCCATTAACGATCTGTGATCTCCCCCCATTCCTCACTCACGATACTTACTGGAACCAGGACGATCCAAATCACGAACAATGTGGGTCATACCAGCCTTGTAACCCATGAAGGCAGTCAAGTGAACAGGCTTCTTGGCATCATCCTTAGGATAGGCCTTGACACGACCACGGTGTTGTCTGGTGCGCTTACGGGGGAGGAAACCCAAGTGACCGTGACGGGGAGCTTCGTACTTGCGGTGAGACTACAATGATGATAAAGAAGTATGTATTAGATGGATGAATCAATGGATGGATGGATTGATGGATGGATTGATGCATCCTTGTGGATTAGATTCTTACCATCCCTAGAAGACGTTATGAGAAAGAGGAGGATCAATCGTTTGTGCACAAAGGCTGATTAAAAAAAAAGACGACGCGAGCCCGCTCTTTAAGCCTCCGATTCATTCAACAGCAGTCATTGTTCTCATCTGGAACATCTTTTAAATAAGCCTCTTTTTTCTTTCAACGCCCCCCTTTGATCTCGCGTGGATTGCACGTGTGTGTGATATGATAAACATGCATGTATGGCTATTACCTATTCTATCCCTCTTTGAATAACATGGTATCTTTTATCCTTGATCATTTCTCCTAAAGTCGTCAAAGTGCCCTGGATCATACCCAGCAGACTCTTTTGGCTCACCACTTTTGGTAAGCCTAATCGGATGCACAATGATGTTTCATTCATCCCAACAACAATCACGTAACTGAATTTTCTTTTTCCCAATGATAAGGTATGGATCAACAATGAATGATATGATAGCAGCATGCTTTATAGAGAAGATACTTCTAATAAAGCACCGATTCACACAACACAACGTGTTGCTTATGGTATCCAAGCTTCCTTGTATCCAAGTCAACCACTATTGCCATGGCAACCACCTGTCCACCAACACCTTTTTTTATCAACGCTGACATCCTTTCATTCATGGAATCATAAAACCCCTCGTTTCTTGGAGACAAGAGCAAGACGATACGCGTCGTGTAGTAGTCATGTGATTTGATGTGTGGATAAAAGAGGATGAATGTGCGATTGTGGTAGGGTAATGGGATGAACAACATGCATCATTGTGCCTCTATTTCACTGGATCTATGGTTGATCATCATTGTTGGAGAGGGGGGGTTTGCCATTCACTGATACAAATGGGTGGGATGGTGGTAACAGCATAATTTTTCGCAGTGTGTATATACCATAAAGAGATTCAATCCATCCATCAGCTTTTTATTTAGCAAATGCATCTAGCAAAGACACCTCTTGTTGCTGCAATGATTCGTTCAATGACAGCAAGGTTTGGTCCAAGGCCATAATAATAGGCGGGAGTTAAAGAGGAGAGCCACATCCACGGTCCCAAGCCCTTTTTTCCTTTTCAAAACAAGAAGCTTTTTTCGTTTGACCTATGGCTCGTGGTGCCCAAAAGGAACAAGCAAGGTAAGCCCTTGTGCATCGTTTGCAGTAATCTCGTTCGTGATGAGTAACCAGAGGGGTGATTGCAGACAAAAAGCCCAGAAGGAGGCTGCCAAGAAGGGCAAGGCCAAGTCGCAACTTGGAGCCCGTGCTGCTGGTCTTCAGGTAATAAAGGATAAAAACGATACCAAGGCAATGGCTGATAGGCAGGCATTCAACAGGTCAAGTGTCCCAAATGCTTTGTGACCATGCCCACTTACAAGACCTTGGTGAATCATATGGAGGCAAGGATCATCGATACGATGAAAATGGTATTGGGTTTATTGCCAATGAAATAATGGGTTGTTCTTTTTTTGATAGGCCAAACATCCAAAGGATCCTGTTCCACCCGAGAGTGATTTTACTTCATGAGGCTCAGTCGACGTGTTTACTCAAAACGACATTCCATACCACACCATTACCATTTACACCCTTGTGCGCCAAGGATATTGATTGCTTGTTTCCGTTTCCTCAATGGGATAGAAGGAATTGCTTATATTAATATCTTGTAGTTCCTGTAATGCCATTAACAAATTTGCTTGATTAGATCATGTCTCATGCTTGGATGATGGATTGCTTGTTCAGATCAGTGTACGTGTTATAAATAGAGCAGAGGTAATATGGTGTGTTTATGTTGTTGAATATACTCGAGTTGTGCGTGTGCAATGTTGGTTTGGATAGTGGATGATGAAACATGGCAGGATGGGTATGCATGGTAACCACACGTTACGCCTATCGGATAAGAGATGGGGTGATTTTCTCTCTTTTATGTCTTTCCTACTGATAATCAGATATCACATGATATTGGCATTTTGACTTTTGCTTGGCAGGATCAGCATCAAAGATCCAAGATAATGCCTTATCATCTTTCTTTGTACCTTCCTTTCCCCACGATTCCCTCCTCCCCCCCCGCACGCTCTTCTTTGATGCTCCGAATGTCCCCCACAAGGGGGTGAGCAACCATGTCTTCTTTAAGCATTTTATTCAGACACGCTTGTATTATCTCCTTCAATTAGGGTAAAGAGGCCCTTGATCATGAATTGACAAATGGCTCGGGAGGAAGGATCATCTCCATGGAAAAAACATGCTTTGATGGTAGAGAAGGACATGTGCTCTTACAGCGGACAACTCTAATTGGCCGGATGGGGCAATAAAAAACGAATAGGGCAGTTGCCAGTTTCTGTGCCTTTCCCTCTTTTCCTGCAATTTCTTTCCTTTTCTCGTTCCTTTGTTACTTGTTTCCACTTGCATTTATCTACACAACACAAAGTAGGTTCCATTCTTCCACAAGAGAGCTATACATGTAGACCTCCATGCTAATGAGCACCACCTCCCCTTTCTTCGTCATCGCTCTCTAGTTTTCTTTTTGTCAACCGAGTTCATCGCTGTCCATTCGAAATTCATCTCATGTTTGTTCACTTGAAGAGCCTTTTACGTCGAGGCAGTTCAAAGCAACAATCGACTATGCCAACCAACGGCAAACGCCACAGCAAGCAGCATGAAAGCGTGGATGACTTGCCAACCCCGCATAATGAAAGTGGATTACCATGCTACAACGGCCTAGAGCGTTATGAGCTTACAAGCAAGCTTGGCGAGTAGGTGTATATACATTGTGAGAGAAAAACACCAAAGTACTAACGAGCCCCATTCTTTGTGTTTATTTTCTTTCCCCAGTGGTGCATTCTCAAACGTTTACAAAGCATTCGATTTGGATACAAAACGGGAAGTGGCTGTCAAGGCTGTACGAAAACTAGAACTTAATCAAGCGCAGGTATGTTGTTCGGTATTTTGGGGGAGAAGTATACGATGCATAGGAACAAGAATGTCATTGCAGAGAGTGGAATTTTGGAGACAAAGTGGATGGAAGGTTACACACATGGGCAGTTGTCTAATTTGTTTTGAATCATTATAGAGAGCAAGTGTCCTCAAGGAGGTCCAGCTGATGAGAACCATTGACCACCCATCAATTATCAAGCTATATGGATTCATTGAAACTAAAGAAGTAAGCTACTGATTAATAAGCTAGGGCATAAGCATAGATACTTACCTTATCCGCTTTGTGTGTGTGTGTGTGTGTGTTTTTAGCACTATTTCCTTATCTTGGAGCTTTGCGAAGGAGGCGAGTTGTTCCATCGTATTGTTCGATTGACCTATTTCAGCGAGGAGTTATCCCGACATTGCATTCGTCAAGTGGCCGATGGTATCCGTTACCTGCATGAAGAAAAGGGTATTGTACACAGGTAACCAACCACAGCATGAACCATCATTTTTTTCAGGGGAAACAGCTGATCATCATTATCCTCATCGTGAATAGAGATATCAAACCTGAGAACTTGCTTTTTGAACCAATCCCATTCATGGAACGAGTATCACCGATGCCACCACAGCAGCCTGAAGGTGACGATGAGGAACCCAAGGAAGATGAAGGCGAATTTGTGCCGGGCTTAGGAGGCGGCGGTATTGGACGGATCAAGATTGCCGATTTTGGATTGAGCAAAGTAAGTACAAAGGAGAAAGGACCCAATCAATATGCATGATGATCATTCATCCATCATTGATTTTTTTTCTTTAGGTGGTTTGGGACCAACAAACAATGACACCTTGTGGCACGGTTGGATATACAGCACCCGAGATTGTACGTGATGAACGCTACTCCAAATCAGTTGATATGTGGGCTCTTGGTTGTGTGTTATACACGTTGTTATGCGGCTTTCCACCATTTTACGACGACAACATCCAAGTCTTGACTGAGAAGGTTGCTCATGGACAATACACGTTTTTAAGCCCCTGGTGGGACACCATTTCAGATTCAGCCAAGGATTTGATTTCACACTTGCTTTGCATTGATCCCAATGAGAGATACACGATTGATCAATTCTTTAATCATCCTTGGATGGAGGAGGAACATCAACAACATCAGGAGGTAAATTTGTGTGTGTGTGTGTTACATAACAACATCATGGGCTCATCCATCCATCCATCATCTTAGTACCCATCTGAATTACCAAAACAACAAGACGATGACATTGAACAGACACCTGACACATCAACCACTGCAACTGCTGATACCGATGATGAGATAAAAACCGATGCACCTACAAGCAGCAAACGTAGTAGCTTAATTGCACCATCAGCTCCACGCAATATACCAAATGCTACCAACACGACAGAGAATGGAGCAACCCGTCGGCATGATATGTTCGCACCTAATATCAACACGCTCAAGGAGATGTTTGATGTGTCATATGCCGTGCAACGCATCACTGAGGAAAAGTCCAGGAGAAAAAACAATTACACGCTCTCCACCGCATTCGGTCACCCATTAAACATGGATGCTGGTGATGATGCTGATCAAGCTCTTATCAACAAACGTCTAAGGAACAGCCGGCATCAGGACAAGGATATCGATGGTTTACGTACACAAATGGAAAACTTTACGCTGATACCACCTTCAACAACAACAACAACAAATTCATCGCCTATCAACAATGGTAATGCAACACCTACAACGCCTTTATTCGAGTTGAGTATGGATAATGCTACTCTTCTTGGTCGACGACGTAACACTGCCACCGCTACTGATCCCCCATCCGCTGGCTCGGGCATCCACCAATAACCCCACCACCACCACCACCCTCATCACCCCCCCACGTCTAGTTAACTTGTCTCTTGTATATAGTTCCATTTACATTCAAATACACCATTGAAAGATAGGATGATTTATATGAAGTGTGGATGACGTAATATGTTGCAAGTATGGAGGTCTTGGGTTAATCATCTTGTGAGCACCTTTTTTTTTTTGGGAAGAAGGATATCCTTTGTGAATGTCAATATAAAGCAACATGTGTTCAAGCGGTTGCCCTGCTGTTGATGGTTCGCATACGATCGTTTAATAGTGCTATCCAATGACTTGCATGAAACCTTAAAGTAAGTGGGTCATTGAAATCAAAATGGTCCACTGACTCTTTTTTGTATTAAAGACGACATCCAACTCTCGGAAAGATCATAGCTGATGACAAGATTCCATCATCTGATAACAACACTGCATGCAATAGGCTATAAAAATGACCCAGAGATGTTGAAGACATTTGAATGCATATCAAAGTAGAAGCAGCCATGTTGTGATGATCATTGTAAGAAAGAATAGCAGGTTTATTGTTGGTTGCATATATAAAACCGCCCATCGCATATAGTAAGTAGTGTGTAGTCACCAAAGCCACCTGCCCGATTTTAAGGGAAGACTATCCAAGCCTGGTCCGAATTATAGCTATACAACACAACATATCCCACTCTACAAATGGCTGCCATTCTCGAAAAGATTGCAAAGTTGGCCATCCCTGCTGGTCTCTTGGTCGGTGGTGTCCAGTCCGCCATGTATGATGGTAAGCACAACAAGAACTTCCTCTTGCCCATGTACTTGACAACTGACTCTGCATTGGGTCTTCATTTTTAGTCCAAGGTGGTCAACGTGCCGTCATTTTCGATCGTATTCAAGGTGTCAAGGAACAGTCGACTGGTGAAGGCACTCATTTCCTCGTCCCTTGGTTGCAACGTGCTGTTCTCTTTGATGTTCGTACCAAGCCTCGCAATATCACTTCCACCACTGGTTCCAAAGGTGAGTTGAACCTATTCTTTGTGTCTTCGTATAACTCATTGATGGAATGATGATGATGCTAGATATGCAAATGGTGAGCTTGACTCTTCGTGTGCTTCATCGTCCCGATATCAAGAAGCTTCCTGCTATCTATCAAAACTTGGGTCTTGATTATGATGAGCGTGTGTTGCCATCCATTGGTAACGAAGTCCTCAAGGCTATCGTCGCTCAATTCGATGCCAGCGAATTGATTACTCAACGTGAAGTTGTCTCTGCCAAGATCCGTGAAGAATTGTACAAGCGTGCTAGAGATTTCAACATTGCATTGGAGGATGTGTCTATCGTAAGTATGGGTGGCTTTAGGGAAATAAGGATATGGGATATTGATGGAAGCGATTTAGACCCACATGACCTTTGGCCGTGAATTCACCAACGCTGTCGAGCAAAAGCAAATTGCCCAACAAGAAGCTGAACGTGCCAAGTTTATTGTCGAGCGTGCTGAACATGAACGTCAAGCTGCTGTCATCCGTGCTGAGGGTGACTCTCAAGCTGCCGAATTGATCTCTCAATCCTTGGCTAAGGCTGGTCAAGGTCTTGTTGAATTCCGTCGTATTGAGGCTTCCAAGGAGATTGCTGGCACTCTCTCGGCTTCTCGCAACGTTACTTACCTTCCCAGCAACCGTGGTGATGGCAGCAACATGCTTTTCAACATTGGCGCTTAGATTATCAACACATCCCATCCCCCTATCAATATTGCAATCTTCAAAAGTAATACAAATGCCATCTCTTAGATGGATCACCACTTTCACGCATACATAACGACCATCCAATGAACAATGTTGTCATATTAAATCATGCACCCATATGCACTGAATCACCGCATAGTGTCGTATAAGAACAATGGAATAGCGTTGATTGTTATCGAGCATAATGGTCCACACTTTCAAAATTGCAAACGCAAAACCTACAATACCGAACCAACCAAGATCATTGGATAAAAAGAGCGTATAGTATAATGCAGCAGGCTCGCCCTTTAAGCACGTGGTAAGGGATCTCATGGCTTGATCGCAGCAAAAAGTAATCAATTAAGGGGGGAAGGCACCAACATCAAATGAAGCAATTATAATAACATTATCTTTGGAACTGTGTTTCTATTCTGAACAAATGGGATTGGAGTTGTATCCTCGTTTGAGGACATGACAAACTTACAAAAGCAAAAAGTGAATGTGACCATGTCTGAATTGGGGGTTAGGAAGGGTATGTCTATGATACAAGGGAGTAGATGGGCGTATATAGATAGAACATATGCAAGGGAATCCATCACACACTACTTGGCCTGCTGCCATTTGATTAACTTGGAAAGTGCATAACGGGTCGTCTTGACCGGACCAGCAGTAAAGACACCCTTGATGGTTTGTGTCAATGCAGGGGCGGCAATGATTTGTTGCAAAGCTATCATAAAGATGGTCAATCTATGGCTCAAAGCATCATCCCAAATAATACGTACAACTCTGCATGTTTTTGTTCAAGGCCGATGACATGGCAATTTGTTGATGCAATTCGATCTTATCTTCGGGGATAGCGACACCATTTCGTACTGCCCAAAGCTTGTGCTCATCCACCAGTTTCTTGTAAAGGGTGCTTGGCAGTTTTCGGATCATGAGTTCTCGAAAGCGAGGATTGACATTTTGCTATAAATAGAGAACCACTCATGAATGACTAAACTAACACACACCAACTCAGTTGAAAAACCCAGAAGCTTCCATACCTGATAGCGGCCATTGTTTAGTGCTGATACATTGGGAGAATCATCAAGCAAACCAAAATAGAGACGATGGAAATGGGACATTTGAGCATGGACAATGTTTCGAACCTTGTTAGGATTTTCACCAACAATCATCCGAAAATCACCAGTGTAGCTGATACCAGCAATCCGCTCAAAGAGTTCCTCGTCACTAAAGTTCTCGGGCAATGTCAATAGAGCCACACGTACAGCTTCAGTCAAATTGACTTGGTTGGCAAGTCTCACTCGTGCATCATCCCGCAAGATTTTGACCTATCCAAAAAAAAAAGCTTTAGGTTTCCTATGACATGAAATGAATGAATCATCACTACTTACAGGCTTATGCATGCGACCCGCCAAATAAAGAGTTTCCCAATCAATTAAGTCCTTGCAAAGTCGATCGATAGAGACAACGCCATACTTGATCATCTGTGATGGAAGTGACCAGGGACACGGCAAACGGCACAACACGGATTAATAAAATATCCGTGGACACCGATGCGCGCATGCTCGGAAACTTACCATGCCATTGACCTCGACATAGGGATTGAAGTAGACACCTGCACCCATCTTCTCTTGTAACATGGAAACCGTACTTGATCCAAGCATCCGTACACTGGAATAATGATGTGGATTTTGTTGCATATTCAAAGCATGCCAATGACCAGGATGAGAGACACCAAATATGAAATCGAGCATTGGCTTTTTCTGTTGTTGTAGTATGTGAGTTATGTGTCAGGTGGCAAAAGATGAATATCGCAAGTTGATGATGATGCTGACAATGAAGGGTATATTTTTACCTTGGTATCATAGCCATTTTGACGAAACACACCACTACCATAAGCAAATGCATAACGAATGGGTGCATGGAACTGTGAGACGACGCTTTTCAATTGCTGTTTTAACTCTTCGTTGATGCTGATGTATTGGTTGGTGCCAAAGTCAGGAGAGTCTGGAATATTGGTAGGATGGAATTGGAACTGGCGTAGTCGTTCAAGTCGAGCACGAGTCTCTTCGTTGAAGTATTGTTGCTGTTGCTGGGGCTTTTTCACTCGTTCTTCTGATTCAGGTTTACTGGCAGATACCATGGAAGGAGGTAATTGTGACGAGGAGGTTGATGAGTGAGTGTCCATCTGACCAGAAGTGTATCTTCGAGCGATCACGATGCTGCATGCCTCGGTGATAGTTGGGTTGCTTAGTGTGTATTTCCTAGTGAGCTTTAAAAGATAAAAGAGTGAGTGAGTTGGTTGCATGGATACAAGAGACACGAGTCATTTGCTTACAGTCAACATGGTTGTTATAGTAAAGAAAAAGAAGCTTTTGAAAACGAGAGCAGCAGACCCCGCTTTATCCGTATCAGCACGTCAATAAGAGAGAGTTGCATCAACCAATCATCTCCTTGACACCCCGATCGATTCGCAAGGGGGGTTTGCGTTGCGATTGGAGACCACCACAAAAGGGAAAGAAATGGCGTTGTACAACAATCACTCTCAGGGCATGAAACGAAAAGAGCATTCACCACCCACCCACCTCCTTCCTTCCTTCCTTCCTTTGTTCTCTCTCTTTCTCTTTTCTATATAATATAATAACAACACACATTCCTTTTCTATCCCTCTCTCTCTTTTAAGAATATGTCTTGAGCTATTATGGTGTCACAAACTCAAAAGTTGAACGCTTCCACCGGTTTTGCAAGTTTTTTGAAATCGAAATGGCGATCTCGAGACGAAAGACCTTCACGACCACAAACAATCAACGCAATGACAGACGTTGAAAGGGACTATGTACGGCATAGTGCTTTAAAGCTTGCATTGGATGGGTAACTATTACTACTTTACTCGTATCGTTATCCTCCTCCTTGCCACACTCACGCGCGGAAACCATAGAGATTTTCAAGCCCCCATCCATCAATTACTCAAATCAGGAGGTAGCGAAATACTTGACATTGGGTAATGCGTGTGTGTGCGTGTGTATTGGGAATACTCCCGAATTTACTTTATTAATGACATGGATTTCCTTCTCTTTCAGATGCGGCGCAGGGTTCTGGACAACTGTAAGCTTTCTTTGGATAGACACACGCCTTAAAAAAGAAATGGGTCTCCTTACTTTACGTCAATCATTTTGGAATACTAGGACATGGCTGCAAAATACCCCATTTCGCACTTTACTGGCATCGATATCGACAAGGATATCTTTCCTACTAGGCAAGTACTACAATCAGGGGAGATGTGATGATGGTGCAGGATCAAATCAGGGGAGAGCGAAAAGAGCTAATATATATGAACCACGCTCTTGCATATGTATCTATAGTGGAGTGACGAGAAACGTTATCTTTCAACGAGTGGATCTTTTGGAATTACCGCTTCCTTATGAAAACGATACCTTTGATTATATCTTTATTCGGTGCATGATGGATGTGGTTCCTGACGAGGATTGGGATGACGTACTCAACGAACTTGTGCGTATCATGAAAAAGGGTGGCTACATTGAATGCCTCGAGACATACCCAGATCTCTTTGATACAGGGCCTGCCATGTCAACCATAATGCAACGTAAGTCAACCACCACCCCAACCACCTCCTTTACTCCCATTCGGACAATGTAATCTCATTTATGCATGCACGGCTTGTCAAGTAGTGGTAAATGCGGATAAATCTTCATCGGATGAGCCTGCCAGTATGGTGCTGAATCCATTACCCAATCGTATGGCCGCTATTAATCAACTCACGGGCATGCAAATCAAACATTTACATACACCTGTTGGTCGTTATGGAGGTGCCATGGGCGCTCTATTGCTGGAACATTGGGTGCGCATCATTGAATCATCAAAGCAAAAATGGATCCAAAACAAATTGATTGGGGAGAAGCAGCTGGCTGCGACTCTTGAGGAATTGCAACAAGAAGTGGACGTGTACCAGACATACATGTCTTGGTACTCTGTTGTAGCACAAAAGGTAAGGTGAATGGATGATGGTGATGCCCATTTGTAACACTTGGCTATTATAGAAAGGATACAAAGGACCAATTATCCGTGTCGAGGATTATGATACACTTCAATCGCAAGAATAGATCATTATTCGTATTGGAATATTCTAAAAGAAAACATTTACAACCCTTTCAATGCACATTTGCTCATGTTTTATTGACTATTTCAGCTAATCTTTACTCCCACATAAAAAGGAAGCGTGTGTAAGAGTGGCTGATGAATATATAAAGGACGTGTATCAGAGTATGTAAAAAGGGATCAAACCATGTATGCTGGGGCTTATGTGTACACACAAATCACATGCGCTCATGGATTATGCAGCTGCTGCATTTAAACATAGGTATTACGAGAATGCTTTATTACAAAGATGCCATAAAGTTACCAGGGACAAGCCCTCTTGCATTGATATTACTATCATTATCACTGTGAACGATTTGAGCATCCCACCATCCATCACGTTTCTTTTCAAACACTGCCAGAACGTCATTCTTGGAAAATGTCATCTCGGATTCAATCTATCAACATGATCCTGGATTAGTCTCATGACATCCACACATGGCAAGCAGCACAACTTACCTTTGCATCGTAACTCCATTGTGCCTGCACGTATTCAAGGACCGATGCACGATCATTATTCATTGATGGGTATTTGGCTGGCATGGTATTAAACCGACCATTGGTATTGTCGATAGGAGATGGCGTATGTTGATGATTGCTCGGGAAAAATGGACTTTGCGGTGATGTTTGTCGAGAACGAATGGGCGAACTTGTTGCTGATTTGAGTTGTTCCTTCTTCTGCCCACCACGCAAGTTACTCAACGAAAATCGTGTTCGTTCATCACCATTTTGATCTTGTTTCTTTTTGAGAAAAGGGAACATTGAATAGTTCTTTTGCTTCTTCTTCTCTTTGCGCTTGTTGTCCTCCGAATCCTCAAAATCAATTGATGGTGTACTCGTGTTGACGATTGAAATCCTTTTTTCTAACTCGGCTGTCGGTTGCAATTGTGATGCTGGTGGTGGTGCATTGGATGATACGTGTGGTATATATGAAACATCGGCATAAGGTTGCTGTTCAGGTATAACGATACGAGGTGTCCCTGCTTGGCTCATTCGGTGTACACTCTTATCACCATGAGCGTACGTGCCATACGACAATCGATGCTGTGCCTATTCATGCATGTCAATGAACAAAGATACTCATGTTGCCATGGTAATATCCTCCTTACTTTTGGAATATCAGCATTGTTGTTGTTATCCATGGGTGCCGTTTTCTCTGCAGGTAGTGATGGCAACGCCTTTTGCAATAACTTCTCTTTGAATATTTGAGGCGGATCAGGCGTTTCTTTGCTGAGCGTCTTCTCATTGGATAATGCTGTATCTGATGGTGGTGGTGGTGGTGGCTCTTTTGTTGGTGATGGTTCAAGTGGTGACACAACATCGTGAGTTGGTGTAGGTTCAGCTGTTGTTGGAGCTTCCTCTTTTTCGGGTGGTGACATGGTCGTAGAAGTAGCTCTTTTGATGGAGGATCCTTTGGGTGGCGGTGATGTTGCATCGTTATTCTCAGCCTAACTATACGCGTTAATGCAAGAAGTATATAAATATGAAAATGTATCGTACCGAGGTCCGAATCGAAGGAAGCTTGTTTAATTGATCATTGACAGAGCGCAATTCTTCATCCTCAACAGGTATGTTGATCTCGCGAATCGTCCGTGGCATCATTTGTATCGTCGGCTTCGGCTTATCCTCCGTTTCCTCAAAGCTGGTATACTTGGGTGTCTCTAATGGAATGATTTGAGTGAAATAGTTCCCCTCAAAGTGAAGCCATGCTCTGACCTGGTATACTCATGCCTGTTCCCTTGATCCGTATAAAGGCTTCGATATCAGCAAGAGAATCTAGGTTGTCATATGCAGCACGAATGCGATCGCAAGACTAAAAGAATATCATAAGTCACTGGTTTATGTATACCTCTGGATCCCTTTACCTGATCATCGGTGGTGTACACGTTCGATATCATATTGGCATAGCTGATGTAATGTTGGCGTCAACAATGAAATCGGTATCCTTATCAAATCAACTTACGAATTCAATGTTCCCCCAAGGTAATTGTGTTTCCTTTCTTCAAGCTCCTGAAATACATCACATGACGTTCGCCATTCTTCCACCCAACTCTTGGTTACGGTTTCGAGAATTCCCAGCGAAAGCTTGTATTCTTGTTCTATAGCATTTCTCAGCATCCCGACAATAAACGTTTATCTTGCAACGTACCTACTGACATCGCTTTTTGCCTCATCTATGAAATCCAATAGTCAGTATTGGATACACACGCCCCCTTGCATATTCTTTGTTACCTGTATCATCTCCTCACAATCAGGATCGACACCATGCTTTTTCATCTCTTCCAAATTGGCACATACTGACAAGTAATTGTTGCGAGCCTAAACGATAATACCCATTGAGCCATGATACATGCGAACCAATTTCATTCATGCTTACCCGTTTAACATTGTCCATGTGCATATAACGTAGATTTTGTATCTTGTCAATCTCAGCCATTGTCTAAGTAAGGTACAAGGTCAAGCCAAATCCATAGCCATCGATAATCGACCATCACTTACTGCTTTCCTCACTGCCTTTTGATCTTTGATGAAACCAGCCAGTGGTACCTCCAATAGATGATGGATTTGCTGAGCAAGGTCGATATGTGCACGTGCTGTGGCCTCGGTGGCGGTAGGTACGCTTTCCAGTAATTCTCCAAATGTGCTATCTGCACCTTCGCCATCCAACAATTGTATCTGTGAAAGCTTCAAGAGACGTTCCCCATATTCTTGTTCGATTTGTGCTCTGCAAAAAGGAACCATACACAGCGTTAGATAAGTAATTCACGTATCCCATATCACACTCACCTCTTTTCAAAGACTTTCAACATAGTCTCACAGGTTCTCTTTGATTTCAATAGTCGATCGAGGATAATATCGAGTGCTGTGTTGTCATTTGACTAGAGAGAATAAAGATAGAGTGCGATTAGTGAAAACGAACGTTTATTCAAGTGGTAACGGTTTACCCAAAAGTGATCGCTTATGCGTAAATGGTCGTTTATATGCGATCCTGATAGTGGCATGGCATTGTAAGGTAGAAGTGGAGGAACTGCCATTTGTATTGAGAATGGGTGTGTTGAAGGTGTGGGGTGGGAGGTGGGGGAGAGAGAAGGGGAGATAAGTACAAGTGGAACGTCGAGTGGCAGAAAAAGACAATGCCAATGCCTTGGCTCGCTCGGTGGTTCAAACATACCAACCAAATGTTGTATCCAGACTTTAACCCCCCTGGTGCTTGGCCTCATGTTACTTTCCAATGCAGAATTTGTTAGGCTGAAGCAATGCTGTGATACATGAAAAGTGGGTAACAATTATAGACGATGGCTTGGGTGCATTGTAGTAATGCATCATCATTTGGTTTTGATATCTGTCACAGGCCGCGTGCTCACTTTTCGTAATGCTTTGCATGTGTAATCATCAAAGGAGAACGAAGTATAGGAACAAATGGGCTTAGTGGCAATGATACGTTACACTTGTATTGTTCATCATGCTCTCTACGGATTTAGCCACGTTTTGGATCATATATTACTGCTATGACCTGAGCAAGCATTTCATTCAATGGTTGATTCCTCTTGGTGGTCTTGTTACAGGGCAACGTTTATTCATTGTGATTGATACATGATTTCCTCTTGACGTATTATACATTAAGCCGTATCTTTGTCATTGGTTTATATTTGGCAACATCCATCATGATCTATATTAAAGCTCATCATTCCCCTGTATATAGCTATTTGTGTCTTGTAGTTTTGTTGGGATGAGAAAGGTATTCTATTGGCCATGAGGAGCAGAATGTTGATGGCTGAATGATCCAGAAAAGCACTTGGCAGCACTCACCACTAACAACAGCGTCCATATTGACTTGCCATTCGGAGACAGCGCCAATTCTTAAGTAGAAGGAAAGCGAGGTTTCGGTATACTTGTTTCTTGCCACGAGGTACAACATTATCTTTTCTTCCAAAAGGCCGCAGCTTTTTTCTCAAATCATGCATCATATATTTGAAGGGGGAATGGTGGTGGTCCACGAGCTGAAATGCTCAGCCAGCTGACTTGATATCAAGATTGCACATGGGTGGTGGAGGGATCCATCATCAACCCGGTTGCCTAGGTGATCAAACAATTGCTATTATCAAGGCATCCTCATACCATCGTTCAATAGACAAACGTCTCTGCATGATGTAACACTTGCATGTATCCTTGCATATATGCGATCGAAAAAGGAGCAATGATCGGTGAAGCATGAATCATACCACTGTTGGGATTTGAGAAAAAGAACTGCCAGTACTCCATTTTACTCCTTTCTTTCTACTACCATACGTTACATTGCTTGTCGAGCTTTAATAAGGTATTACAAGCATCCACCCACAGAATGTCGTCGTCGGAAAAAACCCTGGCCGATGACAAGGATAGATCTACAAGTCATAGTAGTATTATAAGCAAGTACCCAAGTGCATGTATGTAATTACCCATCAAGGGCATTATCCATCAATTGCATCGATTACGTTCTTGTAATATCGAACAAATGAGTAATTTATTTCAACAGCGATATCTTCATGTGACCGCAGCAGCACTATTCAGCAGCGAGAGAAGCAAAACGAGCAAGAAGAGGAATATGAAGGGTGGCATAGCCGTGGATGGCTGACCGTGTTGGGGTCGTTCCTGATTATCTTTTGTTTGGCCAGTATAAATTCAAACTGGGGGGTTTTTGAAGTCCTGTGAGTACCATTGTAACATCCCTTCACTCATTTACATATCATGTTTACAACCGATACTACTAAATAGGTACCTCGAGGTATACCCAGAAGTTGATCCATCCATTCAAGGGTTCACAGGTCCATTGGCTTCTGGTGTGAGCTTTTTGATGGGCCCCATTTCCGTTGGCTTTGTACAATGGGCTCAAAGTTATCGATGGCCTTGCATAATAGCAACTTTTATTTGCCCTACTAGCTTGATCCTTGCAAGCTTTTCAACCCAATTTTATCATGTCATGCTAAGCCAAGCAATCCTCTTCAACATCGGTAGCGGTTTTGTGTACCTGATTGCATCAGTGCTTCCAGCACAATGGTTCTCGCGAAATCGGTCACTTGCAAGTTGCTGTGCAGCAAGCGGTGCCTGTATAGGCCCACTAGTAATGGCACCAATAATACAAGCGATGATTGATTCACCCCTTGGTTACCGCAATACCCTTCGTGTCTTGGGTGCGATCATCTTTGTTTTGCTTGCTACATCAACAGTGCTCATAAGACCCGCTAGCTCTGATATCAAACATAACCCGAATTGGTACAAGCTTATCGATCCTGAACTTGCAAACATTCGGTACATTCTTTTAACAATAGGCATCGTTCTCACGTGCCTAGCGTTTTATCCTTCATATATGCTCGTTCCCGTGTACGCTCAACACATCGGTGCAAGTGCAACCCTGGGATCAGGATTGGTCTCTGTTATGTTTGCTACGAATGCTATATCGCGAATTGGAATAGGGTATGTGGCTGATCGCCTTGGGGTCATGAACACACTCTTTGCAACTACGTTGCTATGCGGTAAGCACTATATTGCAATGAGCAATATGATGTCAATTTACCATGATTACAGCATACGCTAATATCAAAGGCATATATGCAGGTATATGGAACATGGTGATTTGGCAATTGTCATATGAGGTCGGCGTCTACGTTCTTTATCTAATACTCTTTGGGATCACTGGCGGTGTCTTTTTTGGACTGATTCCATCTTGTGTTGCTCAAGTGGCCAATCCTCAGCTAATACAAAAGGGTGTGAGCTTAATTTATCTTCTCGTACCCATTGGGATCTTTCCAAGTGGGTTGATTGCTGGTGCTCTTTTCAGCAATTATTCGTGGACGGTTGCAATCCAGTTCCTGGGATCTGTATTTGTGCTTGCAAGCATTGTCATTCTAATTGTACGATTGCTGGTCAGCAACAAACCTCCCTCCAAAAGCACTTCATCAAAATAAAAGCTGCCTATGTAATGTAACGAACTAGCACCCCTGATTTCTCGTTGGATGGCTTAATGCCACCTATGAAACAATGATCTTATAATGAACCTACATTACAGCTCCGTAGTATTCGTCTTTATAGGAACCTCCAACGCTTTACCATCCATTAGTGATTACCTCTGCAATAGGCTCCATGCTCCATCCGTGAGTAGTATCTCCTACATTCGCACCAACCCATTCAAAACTCACATAATGAAGCGTGGGTTTTATTATAGTCAAATTGATCAACATGTCCCAGCGATCATTGTGACCAAATTTCAAGTTCGAGATGGGCAATCTCGGAGGCATGCACTATGTCTCACATAGTCAACCCCACATTATACCTGATCATTCAATATTTTCTAATGAACATGATCTCTTTGTTAAAACCATGTGGATCAGCATGTCCAAGAGCATCTCGTGTGAAAGTTTCAGGTTCGAGAGTGACAATCTCATAATCAAGGATTGATGTAGAGTGTGTTTATGCATTTATACAAGACGTGTCCGACCTATTTAATTTCCACTTCTTCCCTCTTCCTTCCATTCTCAACTGTTGCCCCATTCAAGTACATACAACTACCACCTGCGAACGATTGTCCTGCTTCAACCCATCATGTCAATCCTGCAGCTCTCTTGATCCGATTGTCTTTGACTGAATGGCAAGTCCATGGCGTCTGCACTCCATTACAACACCCGCGTTTCTTTGACACTTCACCTTCTCTTGTACAATCCTCGACCACAATCAAACGCAACAGCATTCATTCCAGCAGATGCTATTAGCAAGGTCTCACTCCATTGTCTCAAACAGCGTTCAAAGCCTTGTCACTCTACTACAACACACCCTCTTGCATACTTTTCTGCCACGAGCAAACGTAGCAGCTGTTGCTATTACAAGTTCTTTACTCCACTGTCTCATGTTACTTGCAACAACTTGCTTTGATACATACGAGTTCCAATGGATGGGATGCCATATCAACCATCAAATCCACTACAATACAAGCAATCTTCACCTGGCTGAGCTGCGATGGAAGAAAATGACCAAGGAGAGATTGACCAACAGCCGAATGGAAAAGGGAGCATACCAGCAGCGATCACACGGCTATTGTCAACTAACATATTGGATTTGACGGATGGATACAATCAAGTGCAGTGATGAGATGTGCTGGAATGTCGCTATGGTTACGCGTTGTCAGGAAGGATGATGGATCACGTGTAAACGGCTGAGGATGATGCTGGATGGGATGGAATTGACGAAAGAAGGTGCTTTACAGCCATGGATGCTATTGGAATACTCGAGTCAACGCATGCAGCAGCTATTTTGCGATCATGGATGAAGGATGTTTATGATGGCAGCAACCGAGAATACAATGGCACAATTATCCCTGTTGACTCGATGTGATTCACCCCTAGCTTATTCAATTTACAATGCTCTTCCCTTATCATACTTACTCGATAAACATCCACACTATCATGTGCTATTCTTCGACCTTCTCATTGGATTCAGCATAATGTTTAAAATGGGCATCGTACAATCAGTTCATATGCGCAAGATGTGTATCACTTGGTGGCTTTCTGGATTGAGAGGCGGAATAGGAACTTGAAGGTTGGAAAGCGAGATAGGATCTTTATAATAATAAACTTGGTTCATTGTAAGCTTAATTCATTGTGTTAAGAAAGGATGAGCTGTGATACAATGTTCCACGAGTACATGAACATACCATGCTTACCTAAAGTAATTTTCAGCTAACGCTATCCTATGTAGCCGTGTATAAGAACAAACCAATCTACTATACGGGCTGTCATAGCCGGCTCTTTACATAGAGGATGGGGCTACAATCATGCATTTATCCACCAATAGCATTGACCCTTCAAGTCCCGTCCTCTTGGTTTTGAGTTACACAAACAAGTCCTTCTGCATTTTGACTCATATGAGTGAGGCTATCAACGAGGAGCAAAGACCACTTTTCATATAGCATCACGCTTGCAGCGTATGGAAAATATAAAGGTGCCTGTATCTCCAAACTTTACAATGAAAAGTGGGGTTTTTAATAGAGCAATGGGCTCGGCTTGGCCAACAGCACCTTGTGTGAAAGTTTCGCGTTCAATGTCGCAAACAGCCCAAAAAATATTTTTTGGTCGTCGTCGTCGAAGAGGTCGACCCCCAGATCCAGTTTGGCTGGTGGCGACATTGCGAAATCTGGGATTGGCAAGCTTGATCGTGAAACTTTCACACAAGATGCTGTTGGCCAAGCCGAGCCCATTGCTCTAATAAAAACCCCAC